TTCAAAGCAGCGAATTCCAATTAATTCACAATTCGAACTTTTAACATTTGTGCCAGGCAGTCTGTTTAAGCTCATAATATCTCCTTCCTGCTTTCCTGTTGCTTAAGATTCAGGAGAAATGTCAGCGCTAATCAAGCAAAATTACAAGTTACAGCTACGGGGTCCAGACTGTTCTCTCTCCCCCCCCCCCCCCCCCCCCACCCCCACACAAACGTCTTCGTAAACACCTTCACTCCTGGACTCCTATTGTCCCTCTTTTGTTCATACTTTAAATTTTTAGGAAGGCCTCCCATATGTTTTGTACCCTCAAATGTGGACCTTCGCTTTACATGGACCTTCGTTATAGGCTACAATGAAACAAAAGTGAGTCTTTACATCCACTTGCAAAGGAAGTACTTTTGGGCGTCGTTTCTATGTAAGTTACTACGCTATGACCTACAAACAATTATTCATGTGGCCGAAGCTTGCCAGTGCACAGAGACTTTCAAGCCGAGCATATTCCACATACCGTTGGCCATTATAGGCCTACCACATACCACAGTTCTTCATAGTTTTCAATCATGCATACTTGCACTGAATCTTTGCACCCTTCTGTCCCATATTTGACTGTCCGCCTCCCCTTAAATATATAGCTAGCTCCCATTTAAAGCCATTGATTGGATCACCTCTGCGCGCGCGCATCACGATTTATTTTTTCAAATCGATGTTTAGCTCTAGTGCATGGACAATGATTCAACACACGATTATCAAAAACTCACTCTTGTCTTACCACAAAAATTACGTATAATCAACAGTGTCTCCATGAAGATAACTTTCAAGCATTTCAACTGAATATAGTTTTAAATACCGAACGGTAATTTCTCTCTCTTTATTAATATTTGCCAGAAGACACTTTCGAATTCAGTAAAAATCGAAGCTCATCAATTTCGAAATTGTACATTCGTGGCGCGGCTATTGTCATTTTTGCAATAGGCTGGTTCGGGCAAATGTTACAGTTGTGATTTTCAATTCAGAATTAAATTCAGACCTGTACACGTCATGCACATCATTTGCATACATCAGGAGGGATGCCTCCTGATGTATGGAAGATTCACCACTAGCTACCTGTCCCCATTTTTGAAGTTCGAAGGACAATGGGGTCAGGGAACCAGAGTAATGTCCGACGGGAGGCTTTTGAGAAGCTTGGTGGCAGCAAACAAATTGGCTTTTTTCTTATGTTTGCATAAATCGCACATTAAAGCAAGCTCGGGCGATGACCATTAGTCGACTGGTGGTTGATTTGTGACGTAACCTACGCCCGAGCATAAATATCATGGCAATGTGCGAACGCCTCTAGTCAAACCATAGTCAGTACTCCTGTCTCCCCGTTGCGCTTTATGATGCGCATAACCAGCGATGGAACCGTGGCCCAGACTCCGGTCCAAATAGTCGACTAATAGTAGCATCTTGCGTTCGAGCGAAGTAAGTCGAACTATGGTTTACCATAGTCCCCCCCCCCCGAACTTGCTCCAAACGACTGGTCTGCTCCTGCCACCAAACATCTCAAAAGATTCCATATCTGGACTTGTTTCCTGTACAGGCCTTACACACATACGAGCGCAACACACAATCGTAACACCTTAACTATAATGTTGGACTATCATGGTATATGCTTGTCCGTTATCTTCGAAGGTAATGGCGGCTTAATGCTGATATTTCCTAGTACCCCGACTGTAACTCTTCTGTCATGTTGAGTCTCCTTTAAAAAAAAAAAAGCAATCTTCTCGTATAAGTATATATATGCCTAATGGAACATTTCAAATCGTTTGATTTCTTTAAGTTTTTGTTCTGAACGAAATGGTGCTAACTTATAGACTGACTTTTTCCAAAGCATGGTAGTTTTTGTCAATGTAACTTTTTTCATGGCCGTTTCCACAATCAAGCATGAAGCCTTTGACAATGTTACACCAATGGTCCGAAGGAACGAAGAAATGTATAGTCGTAATTGGTTCTTTAACTCAGTTTATTTTTCATAGAGGAACAATGCAATGTACTTTCTGGTACAGAATACACTTTCTGTGCGATGAATGGTCACACAGTTCATGGGGCAATAGCGAATGGCAGTTAATACAGTGAGCGTACATGAGTGATGAGGGTGATTATCCAATCAAAGTGCTACAAAAGAAAACGGTGACTGACAAAACTAAAAGTAACTGCGCATGATCGTGATCGGCGCCCACAGTCAGTATGCAAATAAGTGTCACTCATCGACACCCGGCCAACACCTCCGTCATAAGAAGCTGTGACGTCGATGAACCTATAGTCACGTGATAAGTACCAGCCCAGCCGTGTCCAGGTGGGAACGTGATGACGACACACGCGAAGTGAACATGACGCCAAAAAGCCAAAACAGTTTTTCTCATTATTTTAGTTGCACAAAGCCACTGGGATACTGTTTCCGGTTTGAATTTTTCATGAGTTTGCACGCGCTTCAGGAAAGAGTAAAAGAATGGAAGGCCGGTTTGAAAAACAACTTCGAAGAAATCGGGTCCCAAAAGACTGGAATTCCCTCCAGGAACACAGATTAGGTCACCCACGTGTTTACACGAGTTGTTGATCCTTTTTATAGACTTACAGATGAGTTGTTTTGACCAAACCATCAATATGCGCATATCATTAAGCAAGAAAAAACTCTGTGGCGCGCTCCATTTCCTAAAAAAAACACAGGCATAAACTACATCTTATTGACTAGTAACTGTGAAAATTTCACGTAATTTGCATACTCTATTTCCAAGTTACGTCAATTTTAATAGAAAGATCACAACATTCAGCTGTCAACCAATGATCATTTACCGTTCTACGAACTGATGAATATATAACCATTAAAACAATGAAACGTGAACGCTTTCCAAACTGGATGCATGGACAACTTGCAAAGGGAAACATACCAAAATCGCTATTAATATTTCAGAACAAAAAACAGATGACTTGTTCCTCATATTCAAAACACAAAATCAGACAGTAAAAATATTGTTTGTCATGATTTAAATGATTAATATTTCATTTGTATACGAATGGTTGTTTAAAACCTGTAAACCTCACTCAGCTCAATAGCTTCCAATGGCATTCCACGAACAGCTATATAAATGTTTGGGGTTTTTTTAATAGTAAAACGTGCATAACCTCTGATAGCATGGATCAATTTCAGTCATTCGTTTTTGAGATGGGTGGAAGAACATGCTCTTTTATACTTCATTGGTGTTTCAAATTTGATTGCTTTTTAGGGGGAAAAATCGATAATTCGGATCACTTTCGTTTTGACTCACCCTCTAGAGGACGTGCAATTTGATGTCATTGAACCAGATGAACTCACGGCCCAGGATTTAAAATCTGCGACCTTCCGGTATCGTGTGCTTCAATAACTTTTTTCTTTTCTTTTTAATCAAGCAGATAATTGTTCAAGATGACTTAGCGGCGATTGTGGAGGATTTCTTTTCATTTCAATTTTGGTAAAGGCGTTCCTGCTGCAACGTCTCAGAAGATTTAATTTGTAATTCGCAATTTAGGCACGATTTTTCTTCAAACTTTTTTTATGGTTTGGTCTTTGGGGGAGAGCTTTAAAGATATAAATAAAAATGGACCATAAAAATTTGGTTAAATGAATAAAAATATATTTATATTTTTTCGAAGACCTGCTCTTGTCTATTTTTTTATAGGGGGCCTAATTCCGTTCATTCTGGTCGAAGGAATATAATTTGCTCAAATATAATTTCAAAAAGGTGTCTTTTTTCTGGTTGGAAATCTTACAAAGTTTCCACAAGAACAAAAATAAATATTACAGTCTTCTGGGGGAAAAAACGATAAGGGGACATCAATGGAGAGTTTGAGGAATTTATATATTTAATTTACACAAAAATTGACTACCGTATCTAACTTTATTTAAGTCTCCATGAGAAAAATATGCAAACTAGTATTAGGAAGAACAGTCTTACAGTCAGTCTTCCAGAAAAAAACCCAGCTGGTTAAAGGTGTCATTAAACCTGGGTTGTCGTGAATGACGGAAACATAGCACAGCCGATAAAATAACACTGTTATCATTTAACATATAAGCAAAACATCGTCCATGTCTTTTCTCGTGTATTATGCCAAAAAAGATGTCTTGTCACAGAAAAAATCGATGTTTCTTTTCCATGAAAGAGTGCGTTGCCTTAAACAATCAGTTCTCAAAAAAAAGGATTTTCAGTTATTCATCAACCTGTCCACTTTTGGTAAATTTCTCAAACTCAGAAGAAAATATTAGATACTTTCAAACCTTTCCACATTTTTTCAAACATTAAAACCAATGCAGCATTAATTGTCCAACATTCATGGACGGTTCGATAAACTCTCGCCAATGACTAAATACCGGTTATTTTCATTTTCTGTGGATTTTCCATTGCATTATTTTGAAAGCACTCTTGCAACTTGAGTGAAAAAGAATTTAAGTTCTTTAGAAAGCAAGATAAATGGCTTTTCTCAGTTTGTATAAACTTGGCTTACATCTGATATTTGATATATTGTTAAGTTTGCATATTTCCATGATTTATTATATTTTTGATACTCGTCAATAAAAGCAGATTAACCAGAAAAAAAACGCTGTTGCTCACTCGAATTTGAGGTGTTTACACATTTGCAAAATGCTACGATTCCCGTTCAAAACGGCTCCAACTTTCCCTGCACATCCTGTGTAATTATCAGAAAACGAAAAATGCAAAGTAAAACAATGCAAACGATAGTTTCTTCCCAAATACAGTAAAATCTCGACAAGTCAAACTCAGATAACTCAAAACAACTTAAGTCAAACAAAGAATCCATTCCCTTTAGTAGTATAACAATGATATACAACCCTGCTTCGCTCAAAACTCTGCTCAAGTCAAATTTTGAACCTGTTCCGTTGAGGTTTGACTCACCAAGATTTCACTGTAATGAAGTCACTTGTGGTCAATAGTCCCTCGATGGCTCATAACAAAAACTTTACTTACCTAAATTAAATCGAGGTGTTCGTTCATCTTCGGAGGTTTGCAGCGAATCCTCTTCAATATCTGTGGTGCAGCGAACCGTCAGAATGACGAAAAATACACTACATCGCGGTACTGCCCAACTTTCAAAAAGCTGATTTTCTGCACTTCCGCATTCAATTCGAAGTGGTCGTTCCACTGAGCTTTCGCATTCTTACGAGCCTTCGTCAAAACACCACATTATCGTGCAAGACGCATACACCAGCACTGGATGGAGAAATTGTAAATGAGGAATATCGTTCAATTATTTCTCGAGATAATCCATAGGCAAAGATGGTATTTCTATTTATCCGATCGTATAATCTGTGTCCTTCCAGGTTTTTTAGGTTGCACACGACTCAGCGTGACGCGGCAAAGGAAATGCATTTTTGGCAATGAATAATGTACAAATCATTCTCCGGTGTCCTAAATTCCAGCTACCGGCCGCGCGTACTTGTCCTATTGGCTGCGCAGGGATGACGTAGTATACGCGGTTCGTAGTGTTTTGTTTGTTTGTTTTTTTTCTTTTGGGACGGGGTACCTTTATAAACAAAGTCTGTTTCGCAACTGCTTATTTTCGGTTTGTCTTGCACGGGACGTGTTGTTTTGATTTTTTGGCAGAGGATGCTATTTGATGGGTAAGTTTTGCACTTGTTGTTTTGGTCTCTATTTGCTGTACTCTAATGGACACTGCTTTCATCTACACTTCGCCCGCCTGCAAAAAAATAGGATAAATTGTAAGTCTGTTTCTTGCCTCTTTGATCATTTTTAGTTAAATTTGATTTTTTATGAAATGAAATGACCGATTGTGCCCTCACCAAATGGCAATTTGGTTTTTCTCCCAAATGATGGAAGTCAAGACTAGGACTTGAGTTCCGAAAAGCAAACTTTTTTTTTTACACCGTTATAATTTCAAGCCCAAAGTGACTTTGGGCTTGAAATTATAACGGTGTAAAAAAAAAAGTGTTAAATGAAAGTGCTCACTGCTCATTGATACATCAACCAACCTTCCTCCAAAGTCAGAACACAATGCTTATGAAGAATACTTTCTTCTGATTTTGAATTTAGAGTGTGAGCAACGCTTATACCAGTTAATTGTGTATGCCGATTTGCCTCAAAACTGTCCTAACGTCACTTATTTGTTTGCTGTTCTTTACTATCGTTTAGTATTATTTGCAATATAGTCTGCTATAAGATTGTGTGTGACAACACTAATCAGAAATACATTGCCAATAACTTCATCTTTGGTGCATTGTATAGCTGTATCGCAAGGAGAGTTTTCTCATTAGGTTAGACGCAGTGAGCATCTATTCGGATACTGCGAAGCCATCTGCGCTCGGACAACTACCAAAGTCCCGGGCACTACTTCAATGAGGATAGTTTCTTATAATGCCCACAGCTGTTCAAGTTCTTCCAGTGCGCATATATGAAGTAAAATTACCTGCGAAAGCAAAGTACACGTGAGTAACAGACAAACTTGGTATGCGGTACAGATCTTGCTGCAATTCGTCTGCACGAATCATGAATACGCAATTTTGCCAAGCCTTAGTGAAATTCTCGTACGATTAACCAATAATGCACAAATGATAGAGTTTAGCAACACTGTGTGATAGGTCTACCAACTTAATTTGATTTGCTAATTTGGGCACTGTGAAACGTCCTGTGTTGAATAATCTTGACAGAGTTAGAAATATGAATATCCTTGTGAACTTATTTAGGCTAATTTCATATTTTTGTGACCAAAGTTTCCACAAAATACCCTACGACAACGACAACGACAACGAAGAAATGTGTGTAGTTTATGAGGTGGAAAAAAACTCACGGAATTCCATCCAGTGAAAAAACACGAATTTCATTTCGGGACTGAAAAAAAAAACCCAAAAAATTCCACATGTCCTTCTAGGTGGGATTCGAAACCCGATGTCCTATGAAATTTGGACTCCTATGAAATCTGGTCTGGACCCTAACCCGCGCACCTGTCACTTTCCTAATTATCTTCACTTAGGCATGCGCAATACAGCCAAGGAATCCGTATTTCATAGAGTCCAAATTTCACATTACACCAGGAAGTACCACTGGGCCATCAACTTGACTCGCCAAACAACTAAACCTTGATGTCACTGTTCTCGGCCCCTTCACATCGTCAGTTACCGAAAGAGCTTCCAATATAAAGGTACTGTAGCTTAGTGATACTCTTTCACATTGACCTAATGTTCGATCAGAGGGAGTGAACAAGGAATGAAACGAAGCGACTTTGTGTCATCTTCAGTACAGTATAAACAACAGCACGCACGTGGTCGGGAGCGCTTTCGAATCTCTGTCTAGTTTGTATTATATTTTGCAGCGATAGACGATTGTAGTTAAGTCGATCACATTTTGCTCTCTGACAATTTCAAACGTTTTCTAACGTTAAACATTTTGAAACCCTCACAGACAATTGACGGTTAAGCAATTTGAAAAATTTGTGTTGACTCATCCCCGTGCGTTCTGGTTTGATCTATGGTCTCACACTAAAGTCACTGAAACGGAAACTCAAACTATTCATGAATTAATTCATGATCTGCAACACTGTGGCGCGTCAAAACAATTTCCTTCTCGGAATAGTAGATGGGCCGGGTGTGTTATTGACGTCTTGAAATTCCATTACTATTTGTGTACCACATTATACGCACCATTTAAAACAACCTTCCTACTTGACATTTTGAAGACACGCATCAAGATGACGACAGTGCCGATGACGTCAAACTGATGGTAAGTCCTGTGCGACCTAATAACCAAGGTCTGCCTTAAGCGGCAGTTTCAACGATAAACCCTGGTTGGTAAAACCACATTGATTGGGCACCACAGTAACAAGCAATGGAGTTGTATCGAACATTTGGTTATTTCTTTGTAACCTTTTACTGCCTAAACGCCACGGGGGCGAGGTTGATGCATATGCTGTTAAGGTATTACCTGCAACCTCGATCCCATTTGGTGATTATTATCCAGGGGCCGATTTCATAACGCTGCTAAACACAAAATACACTTGCTTATAGCGACAAGAGGTGGCCAACCACTATTTCGCTGATGTTTTGCTCAGCACCTAAATTTAGTTACTTTTTTTAAATTGTTTACCTATCAGCTACAAACGAAACTGGACCACGGTGTCTTCGAACGGAAAGCATGCAATAATCCGTGCAGTTGTCTAATAAAAAAAATCCGCATCACACGAACACACGTTTTGATACGATTTAAAATTAGCAGAATTTTGTTTGACACTGAGGACGGGGGAGTTGTGTCACAAATAGCCTCTCATGCATGGACACAGAATGGCGTCGTGTTACAACATAATAATGTATTGAACAGATTACTACAAGGAGCATCCATTTTGTGTCCAGCTTTTGGGATGCAGTTATCGTCGCAACGATGTACATGACCCTGTCTTGCACGTCCCCACCTCCATACTAAATGGCATAAGTGACATCTTTGTTCTTATAGCCCCCATTTTGATAGATTTGAAATTGTTGACACGGTGGCACGGGTTAATTTCAGTGCATTTACCCATAATGCTTTGTGTTTCCTATATATCAGAGTTTTGTGCAGGACACAACCTGTCATGGGAGTGTTTTGACATTCGCTGGTCCCTATCGCCCTACTCACATGGTGATGGTGAACTTAGTCTGGTTCCCTGGCCCCATTGTCCTTCGAACTTCAAAAATAGGGAAAGGTAGCAAGCAGTGAATAGCTAGACCATTATCATAATGTAGCCATTTGATTTTGTCCCATTCAAATCAATGTGACCAAAGCGAGGCTGGGAGGAAAACTAGTCTGGTTCCTTTAGCACAAAAAACCATTACCATTCAGTACTGTTATTGGATACAGGGAACATGACTGAAATGGTGGCAGCATGATAAAGGTCTATCTTACATCCATCAGGAGGCACCCTCCTGATGTACGCAAATGAATGCATGACGTGTACAGGTCTGAATCCTGCCTCCTGGATTGATAATCACAACGGTAATGTTTGCCCGCAACCAGCCTGCTGCAAAATGGCAATAGACTGAGCCACGAATTTACAATTTCGGAGATGATGACGAGCTTCTATTTTTGCTGAATTCATAAGTGTCTCTGGCAAATATCAATAAAGAGAGATAAATTACTGTTGTGTATGTGTAAAACCTATGAAGTTGAAATGCTTGGAAGTTACCTTCATGGAGACAATGATGATTTTGCGTAGGCTTTTTGTGGTAAGACAAGAGTGAGGTTAAAGGTAAATGAGTTTTAGCAGACGATGTTAGTTGTTACCACAAAGGGGATTTAAACAGAGGGTTGGTCGGTTGGGTAAAGTTGATACATACAATTACTATACTCTGTCTAGGGAAAATACTGGAGAAGTAAGTGCCTGACTTTTGCTTGTAAATCGTGTAAAATTTACCAAAACGTTCGTCTTCCCATGGTGGTCATGATGGTCTGCTCATCGCCATGTTTGTTTACAAAGTGACGTCACGAGCATTTTTTTGGTCAGGCGTTTTCGCGGTGCACTGAGAACATGTTTCACGTCATAGCTATGACGTCAGAAACATGTTCAAGGGCCGCCAAAACACAGCCCTGATAGTGGTCAACGAGTCGATTGTAAGATCGACATAATGACGTATTATAGGGATCAACCTTATGCAAATATCTATACGCGCGTACCAATAGGGGGCTGCGTTGAGCGTGACGCATGAGTGTGCAACAGAATAGGTCAATCAAACTGAAGGGGAAGGTCACAACCAAGGCGCACACCATGTACGCGTGGGTCATGTCTTCGGTCTACATTTCCGTGGGCAGGTTTGACCCTGGGTCACTGAACAAAATCTGTCCAATGAGGGCTCAAGAAACTAGAGGTCACCCGCAATTTAGATAGGTTGTTGAGTACGAGTGTATGAGCCCAGTGGTGTAAATCTGTGCCGGCGAGTGGGGCGGAGGGAGAGGGGGGGGGGGGGGGCTGGACACCACATTACACTAGGGAGCGCTCTTCAGGATATAGATGTTTATCAATATGTATACTCGCGCTTACTTCAAAACGGCGCATTTTAAAAGCTTTTGTACTTTGTTTCTCCACTTTTCAGTGCTATTGAATACATTTTCAATGTTGGGATTTTCGAAAATACCTCGAAATCCGCAATTTTTTCCTCTCATTACAAAAAATTGGGGCGGGGGGGGGGAATGATTCGGCCCACCCCCCCCCCCGGTCTAAAAGGGGGGGGGGGGGATACATACCCCCATTCCCCACCCCCGGGATTTACGCCACTGGGTGAGCCTTTCATAGGGCGGTGGTCTGGGTACGAGTGAAAAGCATTGCCTGTGTGCATGGTAGAGCGCCACTAACGGCGAAAGCAAACTGTGTCATACTGTATAAATATGCGCAGGGAATTCAGTCAAGGGACTCATATAATTCATGCATTATGACATTACTTACCCCATGACAACGGGCATTTTATATTACCATTCTGCATGATAATGGTGTTTGATAACATATTTATGTTATTTATTAACAGGGATGGCAACCGGCCATCTGCTCTGTTGCTATGCAGAATTGTTGAAATAGGCAAAGGAGCTGATAAAAGCCAGTTCCTTTGAGTAAATAACGGCGATTTTTTTTCACCAACATAATAGGGTCAAAGTCGCCGTATCAACAACACAGAATAAACGGGCCATTCCTCAGTATACATAATTCAGTACAAGTCATGTTCCATAAGCCTTTGGTAGAGTACATATTTACAGCACTAAATGTTATGGTTTTCAATTGGACTTATTTTTCTCGACAAGGTTTAATTTTAACCGCGATTTCGGCGACCCGCCCGCACCTTATTATATAAATTATGCATATTTCCTGGCGATATATCTGGCATTCACGCCCGAGTGTATGTACGGAGCTATTGTGCGCGTGGCGCTGTGCGTGTTGCCTGACTCACGCGTCCTGGCGGGAAATTAATAACTACCGGTTTTTAAAACTGCTGCTCGTTAATATTACGATGAGCAATACGTGTGGCTTGATGTGATAGCGTCAGTGGTATAGTGGACCCTGCTTAAGGCACCCATCCCGCGTCCCTTATATGGCGGGCGAGGTAATTATCTCGTGCGTCAGGGCAGATAACGAGCGGAGCTATCAGTGACGTAGATACTGACGAGCTTCTTGACGACGGCCAGCGACCAAGAGGGGGGAAAATCGAAGGGGTTTGACGTAGACAGTGACGCACAAAGGACTGGACGGCGCGACAGTGGCGGAGGCCTGGGCTTGTGTGCGCCTGGCACGTCAGTGCGGCCATAGCATCACCGAGTCGCTGCCTGTATGTACTCTCGGCTCGCATTGGCCGGAATATCCGGTCGGGTGACGTCTGCGGGGACGCCGAGCCACCGAAGGATAGGACCAAGTGCACCCACCACCTCGTCCTTTTTCCATTCTTACCAAAAAAGCAGAAGAAAGATCTACCAGTCGTTTCATATGACCACGGTGCTGCGGACCGGACAAAACCAAGCTCTTGCTCTGCCGCGTTTTTTTCCCTTCACTTTGACTTTATATGGAATCGAGTTTTACGCTGGATTGAATAACTGCATCATATCTTGTGGATTTATATTATATTTTGCAAACAAAGGTATGTCTTTTGTCTTTTTTGTCGTCTTCTCTGAACACCATTCAAATGTTTCTTGTTTCTGTTCTTTCTTTTCTCTAACTTTCTAGTTCCTTCACAGGTTGTCGCAGAGCTGGACAGTGGATCAATACTGGTAGGTATACACAGTAGTACAACTACCAACTGCAGTGCGCACACGTACACGGGGTTGAATACTCGAGGGTGGTCAACCAAAGATGAATGCAGTTGTGCTAAAATGTCTATTATAAACAATTTTACCCTATCTACCAGTATTCAGCTGGGCGAAAAATATCACCTTATTGTTGTGTCACACCTTTTGGATCCGGTACCGAAACAACCATGAATCGAATTATGTTTATCCGACCCCATTTTGTGCTCATGTGGTGTGCATTATATTGTTCGAATCGTCACACACACAAAAGTTATACCATTTTTATTGGATGCTGTACCCTTTTTGCTATAATTGTTAATGTGCCGGCAAGCACCGGTTCTGCTTTACTTTCGAAACGCGCTTTACGTCAGCCTTGTTTTCATGACTTCGGCCTGATGTAAATTGCATTGTCCTTTTTATTAAATCTTCCCTTTCGGTCGTTAAATTAAATTGTCATTTGTACCATGAATTGACGGCGTCTGTATTGTTATGCAGAGGGAAGGCTAATATGATTACTTCTGAACATTTTACAATACAATAAGCATGAATAGCAGAACCAGTGCACTTCAATGTCCCATCACATTGACGTGCAACAACTGCAAAACTCCATTTACAGCTTGAGTTCTCCTGGCCAAACTGAGTACAAACCTTTGCGGGTGAAACTACCTGTTAGTCCATTCGTCAACAACAGGACATAAATGTAATTATACCATAATTTTGAAATATGACCAAACTTTTTCAACCTGCCAAAAACATCTGCCATCATTGTTTAGTCATGCATTTCATGCATGTTTTGATCTCTATCCAATTGAAGTTAATACCTACCGTTCAGCAGCTGACACGCTTTGGTGTTTTAAATGTGCCAAATACACCGTGTAATTACACATCCTTCCTGGTGTAATTATTTATTTTAGTGAAGCATGTAATAACTCTTCATAGTAGCAGCGAAGCTTGACCCTCAAAAAACACAATAATTTATACAAAAACGTTGAGTACCGACAATGAACAACTGACACGATTTAGCTGAACTCCGATCGCAATACCAATTTGATGAAAATGTATTCAGCACCAGATGTAGTTACTAATTAGGGAGAAATCTTCATTAATTTTGGATCATAATGATTGTCCGTCCAGCTGTTTACAACTCGTTATGCATTATGCAAAAGTTCAGAGAATTAGTGATTACTGGAGAACATTAATGCTGACATTTAGATTTGCAAATTAGGGTGTACACATGTTGAATTAATTTGCGAGACACTTTTTTTCCGGATGAAATCAGAAACGAAAGTTGAAAAAGGGATGAAAGACTTTTGCGACTTTCGTGTTTACCTATGCTTTCTTGGTAACTCGGGAAAACCGATTACCGAGTCTTCCGTTGACTTGCCAAATGGACAACTGATTAGGCAAAGTCCCTTTTGGGAGTATTGACTGAAGTTGTAACAACAAATTCTTCAACAAGAATTAAATCGAGACAGTTCAGAGGTAAACAGCTCTTCAGTTAATTTACACGTACAATTGACGATGATATATTTGTAAATGGTTATAATTGCTTTCGTGGGCATGTCGAATTGTTTCGAGAATGTTTATTTTGAATACATCAACAGTTTTTGGTAACTGTTACATCAAGAATAATTATACACCTTTAAACGTGTTTGAAGTCTAGCTTTTAGTGTATGGTAAATGTAATCATAAAAGGAATGGCATAATCAAACGCTGAACAAAGAAACAATAATATTTCACTGCTCAGTGACTTATAAATATTTCTATTCTATATAATGCACAGGAATATACCTAATTCAGTGACCTTAAAATTGCCTAAATTTAAATGGAGACTGAAGAACTGTTTACGCCACTATTCATAAGCTGGATCGACCGAAAACAGTCTGCAGCTATTTCCTATTCCAATGAGATGTTAATTATTGCGTCCTCCCAGCATGGCAAAGAGCAGAGACGGACCTATCGCATGACAGCGCGCAACGAACGTCAGTGGATGATTAATACGGACAACTCAACGCCGCTTCCTTTCTGCCGAGCCCGCGCCATAATGAGCCGCCTACGTAAGCTCGCTGATCAGGACCGGTTGTGTGACGCACACACAGGCGAGGATGCTGCTTTATTTTCAGATGCCCGCGCTCGCAGATCCCTCCTGTCTTCTGATTAAATGGGGCTCGGCCCTGGCATCATCAGATATTCAGCCAGCTGATGACGCGTTTGACGCGCTGGCAGCGCGCCGTTCCCGGGGTATATTCGGCCGGTATGTAATTACGGCAGGACGGGCTGACGTCAGAGAGTAAATCAGGAGAAGCTTTCTGGCCTCGGTGCCGGTTGATCGTGCGAGCTAGGCGGCTATATTAAGAACGGCTTTTCAATCCGTGTGTTCATTGGCCGAATACGGACTGCACACGCGGAGCTTTCAGATTTCTTCTCGCACAATGATAGCTCGGCTATCAACCTGGTATATGCTAGCGCGCGGTATAATTAAGAACATGTGAAACAAATACTACAGATGCTTGATAGAATCTAGAAACAAACTTCACATAATCTTGATCAGATCTACATAAAGACACTTTATAGGCAAATTCAGTGCATGCTTCATTTAACTAATTGTACCTCATCTGAAATATAAGGCAATCTAGAAATAAAAAAAAGTTCAAATAATATTTCTACCAAAAGAAAAAAGTAAAAATAAAATTGACATTGAAAAATTTGATTTTAAATTTCGAAGCCTCTCGCTACAAAGAAACAATTTTCATTGAGATTCTTTTGTTTTTAAATAGCCTTGTTCCAAAGTAAAAACAGCGATATATAAAGAGATAAACTCATTCTTAATTACCTCAAAATCTCAAATGTCTTACCATTGAAAATCATTTGAGTGATTTGAAACTATTTGCTCTTGGCACGTTCTCGCCAAAACGAGGCCGTACTTGCAAAAACAAAGATTCGTCCACGTAGTTACTATGCATGGTTGCTAAGCTATTACGTAAGAGCCCGCGCTTGCACGTGTAGCCTCGATTTCAATCGACCGCGCAAAGAGCCAATAAGCTTAAGTTGAGTATGCATTCCGGCAAGGTGTTTGTGCACATATGGAAATGAACTTCGTTAATGTATTCAATTACATCATGTTGACGTCTTCTTAATTAAAACAAACACAGTCAGCCATGCACCAACGGAGAAAATTGCACTGAATTTACCATGGTTAGCACTAAATTAAGTTCATCTTACTTAAACAAAAATAATGACGCAATCGTTAAAATGAACCTCCGAAGTCAGATCTTTGTGTTCTGCAAATGAAAACAATTGGTGTCGTAATATTGTCGATATTACGATATCCGCATGATCAAATTCGTGTCGTCTAATCAAAACCAAGCATTCCTACTATACCCTTATACCTTTAATGTCTTATACTGTTTACAGCGTCAGGGTACCATGCTACCGCTGCTAGCACTCAAATGTGAGCCATTTTTGCTTCCAGCGAAGATGAGAAATGCTTGAATTTTTCAAGTACATTTCTATAAAATTGTTCTGCTTAATCCTCGTTGTTTATTTAACAGGGTAAACCAAATGATGTGTTTCATATAGTTACAATCATACAGCTATGAAAAATGTAAAAACTTGGTCACTTTTAACTTACCTTAACGCCCGATACATCGTCACGGAGTGTTGAACGGAAAGTTTTCTGCCTTCAAAAAATGCAATTTTTCGTCTGAAAAATGTCCACCGAGTCCGCGCGAGAGTATTCACGTCCTGTCCATGCCCACTTTGCCTGCAGAATGCTCCCCTGGCTGCCCGTGAACAGTCTAGAAATACTCAAGATCAGTTTCAGTTTTTGCACGTGGCCACCCACGCTTTTATGAAACGGCTTTATGTAACGCCACAATTGGTATTCATGCGATTCAGCTCTTTCTATTTTGGATTCATTCACTCTTGCAGGAAACCGGAGTCATCCCGCCTTCTTTATGCATTTCCCTGAGTTAAATATGGAACTTTGCAGACGCGGGACTATGGAGAAAGCCGCGTCCCGTCAGCGTTGGAGGAAAACCGGATGTTTGGAAAAAGACAGCCGTGGCGGGCAAGGGTCGACGGATCAAAATACGCACAGTTACGCGGGAGCTGAAACTGAATATTTTGTGTTTGATCCTGGATGACGAACTCTTCCAAGGGGATTTACGAAATTCGGGATTACAAAATATTTTTCTTCGGGTGGACAAACGTAATCACTTGCCTCAACCGATTGTCTGCATTGTTTTTGTTTACCCAGCGCTGATGGCCCACGTGGAGAAATGAGGTAAGCGATTTACGTATATACGAGTTATACCAAAACATTTCAAACTGCTACCAAAAGAATGTGAAAGTTTGTTCTTTGAAACTTGAATAACATCACTGTAAACAAGGGGTGGTTCTTCATGACACAAACTATGCCAGAACTGCTCCAAAAGTTTATAGAATGTAAAACATCAGAACTTTTGAGAAAGTGTGCACAGTTTCTTCGGAACATAAATGGTATAAGCAGTGATTCAAAGAAACGCAGCATGTTCAGAGTTCCATTAAGATGTCATTATAAATGCATGCTATAATGGGTTTTTTTTAAGTTAGTCTAATTGTTCCAAACTAACAAAAGTAATTGCTTCCGATCCTTTCATACAGAATATCAAACTAAAATTAAAATGAGGTACGAAACTCAATTTTGTTATAAATTCACTGCAATAGCTCTCAAAAATCATAAAGAATGACCACAAAGCTGATTGCATGAAGTATGCACATATGTGCCAAACCAATGAAGAAAAGGTATCTATTTTGTCTCGGGGAAAAGAACTTTTTTCCAGATGAAAATGAAACAACGCACTTCTTCACTAAAACACGAATTGTGCATAACATTTTACTTAACTTTTTTTTACATTGCTATACCAAGATGAACCTTCTGTACTTTAGATTCAATGATTTCTGCTGAACAGTTCGCTTTCATTCGAATATGAATTAGCTTTGGTGTACAACTTGCACGGCTTTTTATCGCTGTACGAATGATACCAATCAAACTAAACACCATAGTATTCCTTATAGAACTTTTGGAAATCAGAAATGGTATACATTAAAAACAGAAGTTTCAAATCTCTATACGACTTCTTCAATACCGTGCATATAGGCTTTAATTGATTACCTTGGTTAATCCTCAAAGACTAAAGCTTTTCAAGTTTTCTGGTCTTGGTGCTATCATTAACCTTGCTTTTTGCTCCTCCAACAAAAAAAAAGACAATGAACGTAGCCAAAGAAAAGTTTACCAAATTATCACTGACCCATGCTCCAACTTTGCTCGACCAAAAAAGGGTCATTTTGGAATGCTATCAAAACGCTATTCATGAGAGTATCTACAAGCACAAAGGCCATTATTTTACAGATAAAAATCGATCAAAAAATGCTCGCACCGTACTTTATCTGGTTCATAGAGCGATTTGTTTGAGAAACGGTAAACTATGGACTCTTTTGCAAACAACTTTTGGAGTGATACGGGCGCACCCTCGGTCCCTTCCAAACCTTGGATCCCTGGACTTACGTCATCAACCTAGCAGCCCCTCTTCAGCATTCCCCGGTTGCTCACATATCAAAGCTCCAGGGTCCGGCCGGATGACGTCACATACACGTCATAGCGGCCCGATAATGAGTCTGTGTTTCCGTATTTGGCAGCGACCGGACTTGGTCGCGCTTTAGCTCTGACGTCAAGCGAGCCCGGCAAAACCTTGCAAATCGGGGGGCCGCAGTGTAGCGATTGGCCGTGTCTAGTGTGTGTGTGTGTGTCTGCGCCCAAACTATCGTGAAAATACACGCGTTGGGACCATTGGTCCGGAGACAGTCTTGCAAATACCAGGTGCGTCTTTGAGCCAGCGCACGCACTCCGATACGTCATACGCACTGCGTGATGATGAATACGAGCCCGGACTATTGGATATAGTTGAACGAAACACCAAAGACCAACAACAGTTATTATTGCCGTCTGACAAAAGGACAATCGTTTGCGGCTACCCTGGCTCTATGTACTTTGGATCGCTTTGGATATTATTGTTTTTTCTGCCCACCGACGCAGCCAACAACATTTCGGTATGTTAACTCAACTTCGTTTAGATTCTTTTCTCCTATTCTGAAACAACTTTCGGTTTGATACTCCAACGGTCGTTTGGCTAGCTGTGGGGCTAATAACCAATAAAAACTTTTTTCCTTCGAATATACATTTCATATTCATGAAATGTTATCAAACTTAGCTTTGCTGCCTTCGAATTTGGCACGGACTTAATACAGTTTTCTCCTTACAACTCTCGACCCAACATGGAGAAATGCGCCAAACTCTTTATCTCCACGGAAGCTAAACGATTATATATCCGATGCGCTGCATTCCCACTGCTATTCTCCGTATTCAGTTATTTAAAATTTCGGATGTGGAGAATCATTTCACGCACATCTCTTTGGTTATTTACATCATTACCCAACTGTACTGAAATCCTCATACATTATTCCAGGGTTGATCCTTGGTTTTTTTTCTGCGGATGGGGGGGGGGGGGGGGGGCCGCATGCTTTGATACCTTTATAGCATTAGTTTCTTAAGTGACGTGGTTCTTTTGTAACGTCCCTCGGCAGAAACAGAGCTACCGGCGACGAAAACAACAAGTTCTGTTTAAATTACACTAAACAAACTCCAGTCGCTTTCGTAACTAAACTTATGCGAGCAAATTTAGTTTTCTGTCTTCTTCGAAATAAGAACTAGTTCGCAGGTCGCAGGACCAATCATAAGGTTGTTTTTGGCGATTTCCGCTCTCTGTGAATTTCCAAATTGTTAATGAAAAAAAAAAGCTGTGTGTAGAATATTGCGTCTTAATGTTAGACTAATCAATGGTCGCAAAACGTCAATGTTACAAAACTTTGTCTTCTTTATAAATAAGCACATTTCGATACAAGTTAATTAAGGTAAGGGGGTTGCAAATCTTGACATTTATGAAAATGATGAGTACTTTTGTTCCGCGGTCAGTCCGGCTCACATTGCTTTTACAAGCAAATCAAGTCATTGTGTAAAAAAAAAAGAGCAAATTGTGATATAAAATTAATGTGCTGTCCAGTTCACTAAAAGTTTTAAGTTGACCTTAAGTTTTAAAGAAAAGGGGTCCCAACTTGAATTACATCATTATTTTGCATTTGCGGTGGTGTTTAAGTGGTTAGCATGCAAACTATGTTACTGGTAAAGTGCACTTGGTATTTTACTATATGGTTCTTTTACTAGAGGGGCTAAACTAACTTTTAATAGAGGGGGTGGACTTGCATTGTCTTGGTTCTAAGATTTGTTTGCATAAATTCAGCACGTTTGATGTCCGTATTCCATTACATTGCAATTTTGTTTATGCATGTTTGCGAGGGTCGGTGAAATTAACACCTCTACCAATTGAAGATTTTTGAGAAATACGATTATCAATTATCATGTGGACCTCGCGATTTGGGGGTTAAAAATCCAGTAGTAAACATCGCCGTCATACCGCTATTGTCTGCCGACGGTTGTAGCAAGACGGTCGCAACGCCGCAAAGTTCATTCATAAAAAAGCATATACGTAATCGCGCGCTGTCCGCGTAGGCGTCGCGCAATCACTCGCGCGCCCGTAAACCCAGGCAAACATCATATTACCAGTGTTTGGGTCAATGGTTGGGCGCGCAATTTAACAGGTTGTTTTGCGACAAAATTTCGGTAAATATTTTCCTCATTAGAAGGCGGGCCCCGAATATGACACTGTTTTTGAAGAAGACTTTTACCCAGCCGATCTTTAACGGACAAAAGGCGGTACGCCTTGGCGTGGGAAAAACTGGGACACAAAATAACAACATTTTGCCGCATTAACAGTTACGAACTAATGAAAATGTTGCACAATAATTCGGAGTGGATCTGATACCCTTACGAAATATGTAAACATTGTTTATTCGTTCGATCAAAACTAATCACTTTTTTTCGAAAAGCATTTTTCAAAGTATGAGCTCGCTGAATACATTCTTGAAACTCGCGTTAAGCAATCTTCAAGAAACACTTTAAGAAAATCCTCAATCTAATTAGCATTGCTTTCTTCCGGTAATGAACCTTCATAAAAGTTACTCATCCTTTCTGTGGTTTAACATTATTGTTGTTATTTTTTTTTGGGGGGGGGAGGGTTGTGTAACGTGTTAAATAATCTCAATGAAATCAATGTAAACAACGTTTTGTAACCAAACTTACATTCGGCAGGGATTTCGTGTCCTTCCGAGAATGTGGACTTAAAACAAAACGGAAATAGATCACGGTGCGTCCCAGTCATAAACACAGACGGAATAATAATTTTGTTTCGGAGCATAAACGCGTCGCTGCGAGTCATGCCCACGCGTGTTGAGTGCATAATTGCACCAGTCATGATTGGAAAGAGAATGCATTAAAACAACCGAGGCTACTTAATATGCCTGTGCTGCCCCAAAATAGAATGTCAATATTGGCTGTAAGACTTTCTGTGAAAGCGTGCTCAGAAATATCGTCCGAACCAAAACAAGATCGAAAACAAATTAAGACCAATTCTGGCGCTCTAAAATTGCAGGACGATTTTGGCATCAGTTTGAGGAAAGCGTTCCAAAAAAAATTTGACTGTTCTAAAATTGAGTATTTCTGGAGTAATTCAGCATCCCTTTAGTCAATCATCATTTCTAGAAACAAGTATCCGTAAAAGTATTTTCTTTGAAAAGCAAATGTAAATGCACAAATTGGTGATCCTTTTAAACTTAAGTATTATGGATTAATTGAGGCCCTCTCTTGCCATATCATTGCATTTTATAACACCATTAAAAACTGACAAAAAGATAAGCATTGGGGAATTTTTTTACTTGCAATATTATCAAGCGATCTTCCAGGCGGGTATACTATGCGCAGATAATTTCAAGTCCAGACACACTGAATGCATAGCATGCCTTGGCCAACCATCACGCACGTACTGTTTCTCCCTGGGAAAACTCGAGCCTAATTTGCAAATCCACCCCTCCCCCTAAAAATATCGAAGATATGCCGGTCAGTGTGTGTGCACACAGCGAGATTGTGCCCGTACGTAAGCCTTTGATGTCTTCTTCGCAGCATCACAAAAAATTAATCAGACGATAATCAGGTCATGTAACACGCCCGCCGATTGGTCGACGGCACCCATTGACGTTGTTAGTTATATGATAATGATATGCTAATCACCTGTCTATTTGCTTTCCCTGCTGAATAAATTAAACGGTTCGCGAGGAGCGTGCGTATGACGTCACACGTCGATGAGGCTCTATTCGCGTGTTCAGCAACCATGGGCAAAGGCAATTTCGGCGCCGCTGATTGGTGCGCGCCGAATTTATGGTATGCATGACGAAAATCTATGACGAAAATGTAGATTTGTGACGTCGTTAACGACTGCGATCTGGCGTTCGCGGCATATACTCATATACCTGAGTTCATTGAAATCAGCGTGGCATTGTGTGTTGAACGGATCGGACGGAGAGGGTTTGCTAGCTGTCTGCGGCGAGTTGAGTCGGCTTGGGCCAATACTGGGAAACACACGGCGGCAAAGCCTATATTCTAGACGCTCCACTCAAGAGGGGTGCACGGACAACGGTACTAAGCCCGGCTTTTATTTTACCATCTACTGCAGCTAGCTCGACTGAACTGGGTAACGACCAAGATCCGGGGAATTGCTAGTGTGACTAGAAGACACTGCCGTCAAAGTGGACACTACAAGAACTCCGCGTTCGGGTGAGTCTCCCTGAGATTTCTCTTTTAATCCTCGTTTGGTACAAGCCAAGAATCGGCATTTTTTGGGCAGTATTTCTTTTAAGCAAGATGCAAAGTTTGTACATTTAAAATGTTTTAGTTATGAGTAGCAGATTTTAGTAATTTTGGTGAATACGCGCGATTGTTCCTTTCACCTCGTGTGACCAAGTTGAACGATGCTATCTGTAAAAATCCAAATGCTCGAGTGATTTTTCACACTGTGAAAACTTTTTAGTATTGTGCTATGTACCTTAGCCGATAGCTGATACTTTCCGAAGGTCTTCTTTAAAAAGAGAAAAGAAATATTAATATTTGAAAAACAAAATTCAAAAGATTCAAATATTTACCAATAAAATGCGCGCTTTATACAGGCTGCAGTTTCTCAGCTTAAGATGAAATCAAGATTATAAAAAGTTCTGCAACCTTATGAGATCACTGATATTTTCTCATTAATGCCTTTTGTTGGATTCAAAGTGACTTCAGAAGTTCATCTTCCTTAATTTTTGTAAATTTATAAACGATTTTTTTTTCACCGTGTATGAGTTTTATAACAAGCTTACCAACTTGACATCGCATGCGTTGATATTCGTTCGATTTGAAATGTATTTTGTGAACGCTGTTAGCTCATTCTTTGCTACATTATGAAAACCCTGTATATGAGAAACCTATGACATTTGAAAGGCTCTGAATCTACAATGACTTTCAAACGATTTCAGAAGCTGCAAGTATTTATTGAGAGGCGTTTTTCTGAACACAAGTGCAGTTCTACACCGTGTTCAATGCTTCTTGGAGGAAAATATGATTTTCGTCGTAAAAAAAATGGAAATTTAATACAGAACGCATACTTGTTTAACTAAAACAAAATCATTTTAAAAAAGGCCTTTTTTAAAAATGGGGAAAAAACATGAGCATTTCTTTAATTTTTTGTTACGGACGCACATTATGTACAAAGATAAACTAGAGTTATGCAAATTTGTCGCAAATTTATTTTCCTCTCGTTTGCCGGTTCACTTGCAAATAAGGAACGCATTTTAAAACAACAGCTAAAGAACTGGGAGTCACAGGCAAAAAAAAAACGCGCTAATTCAATCGCTTGCATCAACAAGAAAAGTAGAGAATAAAAAAATCACAAACAGAAATAAATACTTGGAGCATTTGAAATAAGTGTAGTGGATCAGCTGTGCACTTCAGCACTCCTGTGGAGCCGTATTACGCGGCCCCTGGTCAAACCACAGCGGTCAGAGACGATCGGTATGCTAGTCTCACTGCTGAGGTTTATTGCTAATTACGATCCCAAACCACCTTTAATAATGTTTTAAAAATTCAGCGAATTAAGCTGTTTTAAAGCTTTGTCCTTTGCACTCAGAAAAAAATACCCTTATAAATGAGAACATTCTTTTCGTGGTTATCGTATAAAAGATTTCACAGCGTGGTGGCACGAGTAAAATATCTCTCGCTTGAAAGGCCGAAATTTGTACATAAATCATATTCACAGCAGGCGTGTGTAGACGGCGTCTTGCGGGGCAATGCACACAAACCTACCTGCATTAGCATACACGCATCCCGCTCGCACACTGCCAGCCACGGTGTTCTATTTTCGTCGCGGTCGTTTTAAGTGATAACGTTTTCCGCGGTCTAAAAGAAGAGGCGAGTTTGACGTCAGAGCACTCGGGTCCCTGGAGGGTCGGTATGACGTAGGCGGGAAGGCGTTTTTATAGCTTTTGCGCGACTTGGCGGAGGGACGCTATTAAAGCATCGTCGAGAGAATTACCAGAGGAACGGGCCGTGACACTGTACACAGTCACTGCATCATCACAGGCACATCTTCTGTAACTAGACTTTCAATGGGGCCGAGTCTTATTAACATCTTCAAGTTTCTTATTCTTTGGTTACCGAATTGTCTTCATTATTCAAATTTATAGATACAGGTTTTTCTTAAGAAGCATTATGTAGTTGCCGATGTTAATGTGAATACTCCGAGTTCTTAATTTTCAGAGCGTTTTTTTTCTTCAGTTGATTGGTATACACGCATGGTAATTGCTTGTCTCAGTTGACAACTTAGTTTTCAGCGGGTGATGCGCAACCCACATTTTCTGACTTTGAGAAATATGTCTTCTCCATCTGAGGACTTCAATGAAAGAACCAGACTATAATCTACCGAGCAACCACCGGGACCTTTAAGCCGACTTGTGATGAAAAAAATAACGTTTGCTGCGACAGGCCATCTTTTCTGACTTCGTGAACATCTTCTCCAAACCGAACAGCACTTCAATCCAGGAGCGAAAATAGAAGTGACTCGGTTGACTATTATTCGGATCTCAAGTTGACTTGTGACGACACGAATAACTTCCTGTCAAGCGAACTTACACTTATTTAAACCATATACGGACCCCGTACGTGTACAGTGGGTGACTGCATTCAGCGATCCAGCCCGGATCCTTACATATACACCAGAATCAAATAAACAATTCTGAAAATTGGGCTTACGTAGTCGCAGCGGTCTACGGTCACACATCAGCTGTCGTATAACCTACTCTGTATGCGAATTGTACTATCACTGGAAGCACACACGTTAAAAATAACTCGACTACAATGCCGAGTCAGTCAACTGGAAAACGCGCTGCAAAGAGTTGCTAAAATTGTGCATGTGCATTTCAGCTGTTCCGCGAAAAGACCATTGGTGTGTCACAAAGCTGGGACTATTTATATCGAGTGGAACTTAGCCTGTGACGTGTACTGACGTCAAACTAATACAGGGAACTTGCCTAGGGGTGCATGCTGGGTCACAGGGGGCTCATAAATAAAAACCTGGGTAGCATTTCGGATAAAAGGAAAGTTGATCAAAACGCACATTTCCGGGCAACCTTACGGGAAACACTAAAGAAGAATAACTGTTCATATTTGCTTTTGGGAACAAGCTTGGTATTCCTGTTGTGATGACACGGACCTGCCACCTACACTATCATGCCACCGGAACCGGAACGATAAGAAGGTGGCCGAGAAACGCGCGCTCTTTATTCCAGCTATTTTACTCGTGCCACTTGCGAAGTTGCTGCAACAGCAGTCGGAGCGATTTACATAATCGCAGCTCTATTGTGCTCGGTGCGCGCGTGACTCGAATCGATTACGCAATCGCAGTGTCAGGTCAGCGAAACGGAAAATGCGCGCACTTTTCCAGCCAGACCATTCGCAGCTTCAAGCCACTTGCGAAACTGTCGTGCGAGCTACATAGCTCTTTTTCCAGAGCATGAGGCTAGCTTATGAACATGTAAAATGGAAAGTCTTCATATAGCAATCAACCTCAATGCATTTTCTTCTCCTTGCCTGTACACTTTAAATACTACGAAGTTTGCATTTCTTTTCTGAAGCAGTGTCACGTTTTCGCATACTTTACCAGTGGTGAAGTGAACTCTGTACATGGGTACGTCCTAGCCCTTGTATTTCCCGATCACATTGGTAGCTCTCTAAGCCCCGCCTCCATCTATTGTCCACCCTAATCCACCATCGGAAGCACAACCCCAGCTGGAGCCGGCTCCAGGTTTATTTTCGTCACGGCCCCGCGAGTTCCCCGAATGAGCGAATCGCCTCACTGCACCACGACGTCATCAAAGCTTGGTATATGTACTTGGCCCCGGCGCGAACCAGCACCAGTTCACTCACGACTTGCTCTGGAGCATGTCCCATTCGGAGAGTATGTTTTACTAGTTTTGCGCTTACATGCATTACTTTTGTGGGACGAATTACATTAGATGCATTCTCTCTTTACTTCCAAAGAGTGAACAGTTAACTCTCGTCGGGTGAAAAATTTACTCGATCTGACTAAAACTAGGGATGAGACGATTTGCAATGAAATTCGTTTGATCGAACAGATCAACTTTTCGCTCGTGTTTCGGTGCGAGTGATTAGTTTTTGAAATATTTTTAATGGCAGACGATTTCACCTTTTTTTCTCTGGAACGGTCATTTTGGAGTAAGATCTTCCAACTTAATCCACTCTCTGTTATTTTTCATGTGATCAACAGGTTGGTTGCGCTACAGGCAGACAGTGCTACGAGCATCTGAACACTCCTCCAGTACGCTCGACGGTAACACCCAACGCAGAATGATGCTGGTTGGGCCGGCTACGGCGACGAACTACCCCATGCATTCACAGGCAGGTCCGTCCATACTAAACGTGGATTTCGCCGACATCTTTGACTATCTCCAAGGTGCATGATTTGTTCATTGTTTTTAATTAGCTTTGTAGATGTCTTAAAAATGTCTTTGTCTCCCCCTTGTCCATCCAGCACCCCTATTTAATAATTTAACACGTGTTCTTGCGTTGGGTTGGAATGTGTTTAAAACCATCTGCGCCGTTCACTGTATTTTGAATTGAATACTCCCATCGTCTTTGTCATGTTTTTTTTCCATTTTCTGTTGCAAAAAAAATGAGTTGTTGCAAAAGTTAGGCTATCTGGCATGTTAATCACTACAGACCCTGCATTATTAGAAGCACATAGTGCCATGTATTGATCCTTGTCACCTTGCACCAAAATTGAAAAAAAAAAATTAAAAAAATAACATTTGCTGATTGTTACGTTGGGTCAATTGTCTCAGTCCCAAAAGTGTGGTTCAATAGATGTTTTCCTCATCGTTTTGTTTTCATATCCCCCTTTTTGGTTGAAAAGCTGCTTTGCTCATTTTAAAGCTTTGTGGATTTGGTGATGTGCTCGTTGCCATGAAATGGCAAAACATTGCTTCAATCTGTTGAGATCAATTGTGTTACACCATTTACAGAAAACTGCATATTACATTAGGTTTACATGAATATAGTCTTGGTGTCTTTTCAATGGTTGGTTCGCCAGCAGAGTCGTTTTAAAATATTCAACTCTGCCCTTTTCAGATTTTTCAATTGACATTTTGTTAATGATATGCCAAGGGTGAATTCGCAGATGTAAATTAAGTCGGTTCCTTTTCCCCCTTGTCCGTCTTTCCCTCACAGAATCCGCAGATCCAAGCACAGACACCCCGTGTACTTGCGGCGTTCAGGTGGATGCGGAGACCAGCCAGGGTTTATCGAGTCCACTCAGCCAAGCCAGCAGCTCCGGGGTCCAGGATTCACCCCTGCCGCAGCACCCATCGGCCGGCCACCCGAGGCCAGTCATGCCCTCCTACGTCGGCAAGATTGAAGTCATGCCCGCTGGATTCGCCCCCTCGGAAGCCGCTTTCCAAGCCAGCTACGAAGCCGGCAACTTGCCTCTGCCCAGTTTCCAAGAAACCTACGGGAATTTTCTCAGTTTCGCCCTGGACCGGTCACCGTACGGCGAAGATAGTGAGTACGCGTCGCTCACGCCACTAGGCGGCGCCGCTACTGACGGAATGGAGTTCTCAGTCATGTCTGACGCCAACCAGAACTTAGTCAGCTCCGCTATGTTGCCTGTCACGTCATCGTATAACGCCAGCGAAACTGAGACATACCATCATCCCCAACAGCAGCAACATCATCCACAACAACCACCACAACCACAGCCACAGCCACAGAATCAGTACAGCAGTCATCAGCAGCGGATCAGCCCACGAACCTGCTCCGTCAGCTCGCCAGTCTACACTTCAGCTCCACAGCCGGCTAGTTTCCAGTACAGCCTATCTCAAGCCGACACCCAACCGTCCTACTCGGGTCTGGGCAGCGTCAACTACCCCCGGGATCCGATCCCTCCACCGCAGCCACCAGCCCAGTCCTACAGCGGTTACACCGGGGCGAGTGGCGGGCAAGGTGTGTCCGGTGTGTCGGTCCCCGAGCCTCCCCGCAGCCTAGGCTCCTTCCCGTCCCCCACGCCGCAGGGGTGGGCAAGTGAGCTGGGGAATGTGGGCGATGAGTTGGGGATGCCGCCTCACACCGTGCCGCCACCGCCTCACCGCTCCGTTGTCATGCACTCGGAACTCTCCGCTCCGCGCTACGACAGTCTAGACATCAAGCCACTCCCGTTACCTTACCCCTCCGTGTCCATGGGTGCCAGCATGAACCCACCACCGCCACCTCCTCTCTGCTCCAACCAGGGAACCATGCACATGGGATCTTCTCTTCGAGGTAGGAAGCCAAACCCCATCCAGCTCCCCATCTGTACAGAGTCCGCCTCTCTACCGAGCGCCAGTCATCATCATCACCACCATCACACGAAGGGCTCACCGGGCCACGAGGGCATGCTTTGTGCCGTGTGCGGTGACAGTGCCGCTTGCCAGCATTACGGAGTCCGCACCTGCGAAGGCTGTAAAGGCTTTTTCAAGGTAAATTACATTTCTACACCGACAAATTTGAGAAATAGTGTGATTTTTCGAGAAATAGTGATGACCATTTCGCTCACTAAATGCCATAAGCTGACCAACTGTTTAAAACAAAAACCAAAAACAACGATGACTTTAAAAATCAGTTTCCTTTGATAGAAACAAACGCAGTCATTTTTAACGTTGTACAACAGGGATTGTATAGTGAATATCGGCACTAATTGTATTTTTTTTCTCGATACTTGCAGCGCACTGTCCAGAAAAATGCCAAGTATGTCTGCCTTGCCACGAAGAATTGCACGGTAGATAAGCGTCGACGAAACCGGTGCCAGTACTGTCGGTATCAGAAATGCCTCGCCGTCGGCATGGTCAAAGAAGGTAAGACAAGCCCCTAATTCTTCTTTGTTCTATAGTTTTGATTTTATAGAAGTTACAATGTTTGAAATCAAAACGATCCAAGAATTCGTCAGTTTCAAATGTTCAAACTACTTACCCAATGTACGAATCGTCTCGAATCTGTCTCATTAATACATCTCGCAAACCTCGACGAACGATCTGCTACTTTGTTGAAAACATGCAACAAATCTAAATTCCTTCAGAACGAAAGTCAGCCGACAAGAGTGTAATTTTTATAATCTTGTCTTTCCTCCACAGTTGTTCGAACAGCGAGTTTGAAGGGTCGTCGCGGTCGCCTCCCGACAAAGCAGCGACCGTCACACGATGTGTCGCCGCCCTCACCGCCCATTAGCCTCATCACCGCACTGGTCCGTGCTCACGTCGATGCGTCACCCGCCAAAGCCAACCTCAACTACGATCAGGTGAGTGTAGTTATCAGAGCTGGACGGCTCGAATCACGTCTTCAGGACCACGGACTCAGATAGTATTTATCACTTGAAGTGCTGGATCACTGAAACACCGCCCTCAATGTCCTTTTTTAAATTAAATCTTGCGCTGTCTTGGATATAAGAACCTCTGACGTGGACTCGCAATGCAGGTTCGACTATTAAAAGCACGCTGAATATCACTTCTAGCCAAACACTTTGCCTTTTTTTATTGACTGAAGTCAGACGAGCAAAGAAATTAGTTTTGACTTGATCGTTGCCATTGAAGGGACTAACACCTGACTTAAGTAGAGATGTCTCCTCAATTACTCTTCTCGTCAAAATGATTGATTGAAGCAAAGTTCTTAATCATCCAGCGATGATGTAACTTTGTATTAAATCTTCTCCACTGGTTATCACCAACAGTTCCAATTGCCAGACGTCAGCAGCAGCCCGCCCTCAACGACAGATCAACTCAAACAGTTCTACGACAACTTCTGCTCCTCCATGGAGGTGCTGAGAGCTTGGGCGCGTAAGGTGCCGGGCTTCAGCGAGCTGTGTGAGGAAGACCAGGAGCTGCTCTTCCAGTCATCTTGTCTTGAACTGTTCGTACTCAAGATGGCCTACAGGTGAGGACAAAACCCACATGCTTTCACAAGACATCTCTAGTACTTGAGAACACTGACTAGCGAGTGGGAATTAGTGAAAAGAATCAAACGCTGACAATTATTATGATACAACTTCTACATGGAGAAACAAAGTAATCTCATGTTATCCTTGGGAGTACTGTCTTGTACCACAACGCATCACAAGCTGAAGACCATTGAAGTACTCAAGTGATGTACTCATTTCTTTTCTCTCATTTCTCGTGACAGACTAAACCAGAACGACAACCTCGTCATCTTCTGCAACGGCAACGCCCTGCACCCCCAGCAGTGCGAGCGAGGCTTCGGTGAGTGGCTTGAAGACATCCGGGCATTCTCCAAAGTTCTGTCCTCCCTGGAGGTCGACATCTCGACCTTCGCCTGCCTGTCTGCTCTGGTTCTTGTAACCGGTAAGTTACAGCCAATAGCTGAAGGGCAAAACTTATTTTTGAAAGAAATTTACATCTCCAAATGCAAACTCGATCACAAAGTCCATGCCTGAATTCAGTGTGTAGAGAAGGTGCTACCCTGCTGCATATTTACTTGGCACATTACAATCATCTGCTTTAAGACATTGCAGATGATTTCAGGTAGTGAGCTTTTTACTATGTTTCAAGTGCACACTTTCAATTTCCTTATTTTTCCCCTGCCTTTTCCCACTAACAGAGCGACACGGAATGAAAGACCCCGCCAAAGTCAGCCAGCTGCAGAACCGCATCATTGGCTGCCTAAACGATCACGTGACCTTCAACACGTCTGCACCGAATCGGGCCAACTTCCTCTCGCGCATCCTTCTCCAGCTGCCCGAACTGCGCGTGCTCAGCCAGAAGGGCCTGCAGAGACTCTACTCGCTGAAGGTGGAGGGCGCTGTCCAAGCTCCAGCAATGGTAGAGAAAATGTTCCAGCCCAATTTACCATACTGAAATCTCACGACACCCAGACAAACTGAAGTGCTTAATGTTATGTATAAATATGTACCTACTCACAAACATCTACAGGTTAAAAACACATACGCTTCAATATGAATCTCACTAAAAGTACTTAAAACCAGAGAGATCTTGCGTCAAAACACAAAGATTTTTTTTTTATATTTGGCATCCAAATGCGGATAATCTGTTATATGAATATTTTTGAGTAAACCAAAATTTCAGATTTGTACAAAAAAAAGCGAAAAACTTAATTGTGTAAATAAAAGGACCGGAGTGTATCCATTGAATGGAATGTAGCACAACGATCGTACTTATAAAAAGAAATGCTGTGATGATCATTTCAGAACTGGCTTTCTCGGCAGCTGAAATGAAACTCTTCTTATTTGTTGAGTTAAATTGAGAGACAAAAAAGTGCCTGAAATATCAAAAGGCAGGAATATACATTAAATTATATTTCTGAATTTCGGGTGAATGCAATCACTGCTTGGTGGAAGTGTAAGCTGCGATTTATAAACCTCTTTTCTTTACAAGAGTGGCCCAGCTAAGCAGTTGGTCCTCTGTTTTGTTTTTCCTTTCCACGCGCGATTTGATTAAAGTTTCCACGCCAAATTTAAACTGTGAAACCTTATGCAGTTTTATTAATTTATTTGGGGAAAGTGGGATGGATTAGACTCGTTGATTGTATCCATACCCTACAGCCTTTCTTTATATCATTTAACTTTTAATTTTCAATGCATTTAATTGACCTACTAATGCTGCGGTGGCTGAATTTCTACTGTGTAGTAAACGTTGGGGGAAAGTATAGTTAAGTAAAATGGTTTCTTAAGAAGATGCAAGAAAAGCTATGAATGGTTAAGTTAGCACACATATTCAATTGTGTTGCCTGACTGTCAGTGTCTGTGTGGCTCAATGCCACGGCTCCTAAACTGCCAATCGCGATGTACAAAATGTCTATTGAAAAACTTACGACGTCGTGTGTGCCGTCACATCGACGTCATCACCTGTAATTACTTGTTTCTATGGAAATATGTAAATTGAACTTCACCGAAATTGTATAAAAATAATGTCGCACCAAAGTGTTCAGCCTATGTGTGAAGTGATATTTTGTCCGCACTGAAACATATTCTCATCACAGTGGATTCAATGTCTAACATTTTCTAAGTGTTTTTAAGAAGTGAACTCAAGATATAGGTTCATAATTTATTATAATGTAAAATGTTGTCATAAAAAAACCTAAAGATTACTCACGTAAATTTATATATGGTCTTACCACCGCACTGTCAACGAAGATGTTTATCTTGTCGTGTATATTTACATACTCAGATATTTCTGCACTGATTTTTTATACTGCATTGTCATAGTAACAAAGGTGTGTTGTGTCGCCGGGAAAAAAACCCACTCCCTTTTTTCACATCAAATGCTTGTTCCGGGTTAATTTATTCTGTCATGTGTCTGGAGGTGTAATGTGCAAATGGCTTAGTTGACAGTCTTTCAAAAATTTGGTCACGAAGAATACTTATTGCATCCCATGCATCACCTTGTGTACAATTAACCTTTCCTGCAATGTTTCTCGCAGTAATGCTTACTATACCAACAACTCAGTTAAATTGTTTTCACATTTATATTTAAAAAAAATAATAACTTGCAACGTACAGTAAGCAGGGTGTTTATTTTGTACATATTAAAATATTACCGTTATTTTACGTGTACATTATGTAACATACGCAGCCAGTAAATTGGTTGGCTCTGTCGGCAATTTCCTTCTTTTTTTTTTAGAAGCAACAGTGAAATTGATAATGAAAATTATTGGAATGTTTTTGCAATTTTTGGGTGTTTGTCTGTTCGGTATGGATGTACATTCGTTCGATAGATTTTTCTATATTTACCGCCTAGGGATAAAGATTATGATCAGTTTGTTTAATCGTTGGAGAAGCGGAAGGGACTTACAATTATGTCCCCTTGAAGTTGAATTTCGATGTTATTATTTTGATTTTAATTGTCATTTTATACAGTTGGAAATGTGACAAACTAAAAGTACATTGTGAATTGTGAAGATGTGAATTTTTGGTGTAATGTGTACCCAGTACCCAAAAGTAGCCCCTTGTGATTTCTGAGTTGAGTTTGATTTGATTTTAATATCGGTGCTATCTTGCCAGGTGTATTTCGTACGTTATTATTTTTCAGTTCGTTGGCAACAGTAAATCGTATTTTAAGAGTAGGCACGGATCATCACAGTCTGTTTGGATTGGTTCTAAAGTGCTACAACGAAAAAACGTAGTTTTTATTGTGGATGTTCGTTTAAAGATTGTATTCCCCCTGTGGCCAAGCTAAACACCTTTTCCCCTTTTCGGTGTAAAACGTACTGACTGTAAAAGATTTTATATCAATGTTCATCTGACACTTGAATAAAAACAGAAACGAAAAATGTACATAGATGGTGTTTATGTCGATTTTTCTTTCAGATTTTTGTTTGACTTCTAGGATTGCAGACGTGGACATGAACAAACAAGGAAAGATTTGCGCGACACCCCGTGAATAATATATCCTCTGAGTTGTGTGGTTCTGAGAACCAATTGTTTAAACTCTTGTGGATCCGGGAAATTTAAATTCCAGATTTGTTTGTGTATCGTTTGTGCGCGCGTAGTTTTACAAGCTTTTTTTCTTTATTCATGAATTAAACTTTGTATAACCTTTACAGTTTGTGAATCCTGGGAATTTAAATTCCAAAACCAACCTTTGAAAGGTTACCCACTTCCTTGCCAATATTTATTTTTTTAAATGTCTCAATGCAGCTGGGTGGGAACACACAAAACTACGAATGACGTCGAACATTTGAGTACTGTTTAACTCCGAACAATTAAGCTTTCCGGGAATTCACTGTAAGGACAATGCTTTGGACTTTTCAACCCCCAGGTTCAATAAAATCTCAATGCACAAGGATTCTCTCTAACTTTTTGGAAGAGTAAAAGTCAACCGACTCGTCATTCGTCATCCATTTCTCACCTGCCTCGGAATGCGGATCTGGGCGAGGGAGGCAGGCAGTCCACACACCCCCGTGTACCGCAAAAACATTTGCAAAATCATGCAGGAAAAAAGGAGCACATGCTTGCCCCCCCCCCAGCCAAAGCAGGATCCGCCCTTGAATACAACACTGAACAATTGGTGGCGCTTTCCAATGATCAGTTAGTAATAGTGCAGCATACAGGACCAAAACATGTACGGGTCGCTATATGTATGGAGCTATCCTTTTTATAGCTCCATGATACATGTATGCATCCCCAGAAAATAAGTAATACACCTACCACGTTGTTTTGTACTAAACTGTGTACGGCCTAAACTTTGGGTCACCGTGTATCTACGGGCCCGGTTCCTATAAGATTCACTTTTAAATTATTTGACCAACCAAACTAGTTGGCGACATTAAGAACATGTATGTATGTCATAGATAAAGGGCAGGGTTTCGAATTTTTGAGGGAAATTTGTGGGTAAAATGACGATGACAACGACAAAACGCAACACTAATATAAAGATGGCGATCACTGCACGATGTACCGTGAGCTCGCAAGTCGCGCTGCACGGCACCAACAACCGACCGTATACCGTGCAGAAAAATCGTAATTAAGAAACTGTTCAAAAATTACCAAAAAGGTGTCATAACATTGAGAGAAGTCTGCTTTAGGCTGACAATTAATGTCATTCTATAGCAATACAAAAAATCTTGATTCTAATTTGATCGAAACTAAACAGGGGCCCTACACTACACGATCGCCAAACTTAGTAGCCTACGAGTACCAGAATTGTGAATACAAAACAATTTTTTAAAAGGCAACTTTCTCATTCAATTCCAAACCGTAAATATCTCCCTTACCTTATATTTGACAGGAAGACTTCATCGGTACAAGATAATGGTGTGCATTTGAGCTTCCAGTGTAATGTCACGAGTTGTCAGGCAAGACACCTAGAAGACAAAATGGCGGACGGTCGCACAAAGTTGACACCCATGCAGCCAAGCCCTCCGGTCGGCGGGACTCTTGTACAAAACACCTTGGGTTATCATTCCAAAGAGCGAAGAAAGTTACACTGTTGTAGCTCAGAGTAAAGCATTTTGGCAGTTACGAAGTTCCAAATGCATCAGCTTGGAATTAAAACGTCATCACCACTCACCACTGCTCCAAACAGGCATTGTTTCTTACATAATTACACCACACCTAAAATTCGCCTTTCCACGGCCGATCCCGCCCGAACACAACGTCTTTACGTACGTGGAGACAAGAAAGTAAACACATTCCGTTGGTATCAGAAAAAAACTCCAAATTGTAGCTTAAAAAAGGCACTTCTGAAAAGCTTTGTTTAACACACAAGATAAGCTCACTGAGAAATGTGAGAAATGTACTGCCATTTTGTCTTCGTCTACAACTTACAAGTCAGTCACAATCTCCTTTTATTGTTGGAAACAATACTCGTACTGCACGTGCGTTCTATTGTTGTAGCCAGACGGTGGCATTTCAAGTTCAACGCGCCTCTAGGTTGGGAGAATTTAGGGCTCTCTTTAGAAATTTAATGATGTAGTAATTATCAGTATCTCCCTAGATGTCCAAGGGATGATGGCCGACAATACGTAGGGCGGGAAACGATTTTTAATCTGTCGCCAAAAGAAGTTTTATTCACATGCTGTATGAGCTGGATTGTTTTTCTCACTGAAGCTTGTACAATTGAAATAAATCTATATTCATTTGTTCTGGAAGATAGGCCTATTTGACAGTAGCGACAGATTTGCTCAGAAAATTTAAGTTTCTGAGGCAAAATTGAACATCATGCACAATTTAGCTGTACCAAACAAAAAGTGTGGTTCATATCTACAAACAAAGGCCAAAAAAAAAAAAAAACTCGGTCTCTGGTCAGACCAAAGTTCCGGAATTGATGCAGAGACGCGGTTTTTGTTTTGTTTTTTGTTTTTTGCTTCCCCCCCCCCCTTTTTTTCAAGCTTGGATTGTACAGACAGGGTGGGGTACTATTTTTGCTTTTGTACATTGGTGTCCTCATGTACATTGGTGTCCTCGATAATTTGCCTTGGTGCCCTCGATCATTTGCCTTGGTGCAATCCCCATTCCTTGCACTTGGTGCTCCTTGGTACAAAAATTTGAGGCGGTGCAGCAATCGAGGCAAGGGCGGATCCAGGGGGGGCCAAAGGGGGCCATGGCCCCCCCCAAAACGAAACCAATTTTTTTTTTTTTTTAATGTGACATCGTAATAAAGGCAGGCAATGAGTACACCACCATCTTTTCCTCAAAAAATTGGTTAAAGTGGTCAGAAATTGCCTCATATCGCACCACAGAGCATCTAGAATCCAAAAAATTTTCGGGGCCCTCACGGGCCCCGAAACCCCACGCCGTAATTTTTTAGACCCACTTTTTTTGGGGACCAAAATTTTTTTTTGGCCCCCCCCAAAATTGTGTTCTGGATCCGCCCTTGAATCGAGGGCGCTGTTGGAGCAACCGCGGAAAATTTTGGGGAAAAAAGATTGACGCGCATGATTAAAATCGACGCGCGCGCTGACCAGAGACCGACTATTTATTTTTTGGGGCCTAATGCCAATCTTTTTTCTTACACGTGGGGGGCCGGGGGTAGAATTCTGGAAACAGCTGTTCCAAATGCATAGCACGACATGCACTGTAGATGTAAAACTAAAGTTTGTATTAAACCAACTATGCCAACTGACTGGGAACATTCCTTACTGGCAATTCGAAAGAGCGCCCTCTATCAATCGCGTGTGTATTTTGCAGCATGAGTTCTCGGTGAATTATTTCTGTGTAGATCGTGTATCAAGTGCGAAGCGAGGAAGGCTATAATGCCAACAGACCTACGCAGCATTTTAATCTATAAGAATTGATTAAAACAGTCATAGTAGTCATTTAGTGGGGGGGGGGGGTGTGTTGGTAGAATTGCGTCATCTTTCACTACCCGATGTCGTTTATTAGCAGCAATAATCTGAGATTTTTCTCCCACCTTTAGTCAAAAACTAAATCAGGTTTCTCCAGGGTTATGCGAGCCTATTATACCAGTGCCATGGGCACTTTTGAGGAATCTCGGTTTCATATCAAGAACATAAATAATATTGTCACAATATTTTGAGACACAATTTTTACACATGTATACATCTCAACCTGTTCATTAGAAGCTTGCAACTGAAAGGAATTTTCCATCAAATCCCGTGCTCTCTTTAGTAGAATTAAGTTAATGACAAGCTCTCCTGCCTGCAATAGGACCGCGACCTTGCCGTGTCAGACAGCTGATCAAACTTCAAGATCAATATAATGAAGCGGATGATGTCCTTTATCAAATAAAGAAACTCCGCTGTCTGTTTAATACTTGTGATGACAGGCTGGTGGCGAAAAGGCTAAATATAAGAAGGGAAGGTAGAGAGATATCGTACCACAAAAAAAACCCTCGTGCTCAATGATACCATTACAACTTCGAATGCAGCAAATAATGCTCGATCTACGCCGGCGGTTCCAGGGGCGTCAACTGGATCGTGGCCCGCAAAACAATGGCATTTATTAAAAACAACAATCCAACCAGTGAAGACCAGTGAAAAAAAACTCGGGTAATGAAATAAAAATCGTTGCTACTCGATCATCACCTATGATGACCTATCCCTCTTTTTTTATAGTAATAAAAGACAAAGGCCGGAGAAAAGAGTGCCCCTAGCGTCAACCGAGGGCCAGCTTGCTAGTTAGCCTCCCTTTCAAGCCAAACTTGCAATGATGGTGCCATGAATGGCATGCAGTTGATCGAAATGATGCGGGATGTTTGACGCTTTGAAATCAAGATGTGGGGGGAAACCTGTTCGACGTTGAATATAAACGGGTCAGCCCATGCGCAAGAATTATGGCCGCTGCGGATTGGGCGTTAACTTGAAATATTTGTACTAATTTTGACCAATTACCAATTCTAATCTGTATACAGCAATCCGAGCACGTTGGCACTTCTATCACGAAGGCCCCCACGGCCCGGCCCCCATCAATGCCGAATGCATTGTATGCTAGATATTTGTCAGATTACCCGTCACTATAACGTGCACAATTGTTTCTCCATTTTGAGGGGCCTTGTTAGCGTATACATCATCACGTGCATGGGTTCGTCGTGTTGAATGGAAAAACCTAGCGGTTATTGTCAAAAAATTGCTCTCCCATAACAACAAATACCAGCACTAATTTTTTTAATTTTTTTTGGGGGGGGGGGGTTCAAATAGTTCACAATGCATACTATACTTCTATGGCATAGGTGTATACACGAACGTGATATGCCTAGCAGGGCAAATATAAACAATGTGTAGCTATAACTTGGGTCATTTTGATGGTGTCCTATAACAAACATTTGGTCATGTGATGGGGAAGGGGAGGGGCTTACGTTCATCGCTCAGTGCATGGCGGATGTGCTGATGTGCGACATGAGCTTATATTTCCTATAAAAGCGATTGTAGTTTATTTATTGAAAACAAAATCAGCTGACTAGGTTTTATGAAGTGGTGAACCGTGCAACCTCTTCACCATGGCTCCTAGAATTGGCAAACCAGTGACGTCATGAAGTTTATAGGCTTACTGATTGGTCCATTCCCAGCGGTGACTCCCACGTCGATCAGCATTGTGATGATAACTTCACTATAAGATTGGTTTTGGCGATATAACATGTAATTCCGTTGATAGTTAACTTTTCTCATCATGCAAGAAATCCCTTTAACCAAGTTCACAAGGACAAAGTCTCAGTGCAGGGAATAAAAAGGAAGTTTGTGTTTCCGTGAAAGTGGCCAACAATTTGTTCTTCGGTTAAAGCAGGGGTTACAAAGACAAGTTGGGAACTGATAGTCCTCAGCTTTTAAGTTGTCTCAGCCGCTAAAAACACTACTGCATGAAATCGGAAACGTTCGACAGAGAATATTACAGAAAAGAATGCCATTACTTTTTTTTTAATCCACACAATCCTATTGAACATTCCGAAACATGACACGGGTAAGCCGATCATTTCACACAATTACTGACCTAGTACGAGCTCTTTTAGTTTCATTTATGAAAATGCAATCAAGCGTCCATGAATATTGGCTCATGTAGCTTGCGAACCCGTTGCGTACATTTTCTATCAAGCAATTATGGTTTTAAGTACATGTAGAATTTATATACGCCGCTTATACCACCGCTCAAGGACATGCTTTGCATTCAATGAACTGAAATTACAATGTGACGAACTTACCATCGAGTGACGTATGAATTTAATTAATAATGCGGGTCCTATAGGCTTCATTCGAGACGATGTACTGTTTTATGCCCACATCTGCGTTCAAATTTGCGTACCACGCTGTGTTATTACAGGCACACTTTGTAACGTCTCGAATCGAGGATACGGGTTCCGTGTACATAACGGGTCGTTGCATTGACATTGTTGTACGCATAATGTTTTGCCATGTTTACCGGCAACGGACAGTCGTGTCAATGGGAAGAGCACGATAGCATTCCTCCATATACAAAAGATGACACGGTGTCTGCACTGACAGCACGGCTGTAGATTCGCGCACGTTGGCCGTTTATAATCAGCCAAGGCAGGCTACTAAATATTAATACCTTCGTTCTGTCCCATTGTGTTGGACCACACAGTGCGGAGGTCATACAGAATAGACGCACGTACCGTCTGCTCTCCATGTCAACGGCAGCACATCAGCTGATGCAATGATGGCGGATCGTCATCCCAAAGACACAGTCAACGGAGATGCGGGGAATTCGAAGGACTCGGAGCAAGATCTTCGAGACGAGGAGAGCAAAACTTCGGATAATCGTGAGGAGGAATGCCAGGATGCTGCCAAATCTGCCAACGGTCTTAAAAACGGTTCTCACCCGCCGCTTACCATTGATGTCCGCGATGAGACCCTCGGTGTTGACAATCCAAACGGGAGAAACTCAAAGAGTAAGACTAAGACAGAGCTTCCGTCTTCGCCTAAGTCTCCTATCCCCATCGAGCCGCGTGTGTACAAACGGAGATGGTTCATGCTTGCAGTGTTCTGCTTGGTATCTCTGACCAACGCTGCCCAGTGGATTCAGTATTCCATCATCGGCAATGTTATCAGGGAGTACTACTCCGTCAGCTACCTCACCGTGGACTGGCTCTCCATGATCTACATGCTGGCCTACATCCCCTTGATCTGGCCGGTGACTTGGCTGCTCGAGCGCAACGAGGGCGGACTCAAAGTCATCGGTGTCATGGGGGCTAGCCTCAACTGCGCCGGGGCCTGGCTGCGGTACGCCGGGGCGACTCCGGACACCTTCTTCCTAGCTTTCTTGGGACAGGCTATGTGCTCCGTGGGGCAGGTTTTTATCCTTGGGATGCCGGCACACGTGGCTGCCACTTGGTTTGGTGCTAATCAGGTTTCCACGGCTTGCGCTATCGGCGTCTTCGGAAATCAGGTGAGGACTTATCTAGACTCGAAGGGCCAGCCTTCTATCCTCTGACTGACCATTCCTCCATGGACTGACTGACTGACTGACTCCCCGACTGACTCCCCGATAGGTGACGGATCTGTACGGGAGGGGGGGGGGGATCTAAACATAACAAAATGCATGCAGCTAAACCCATCTGGATCCAAATTTGGATCCACCCATGCGGACTGACTGACTATCTATCTATCTATCTGGGTCATTGAGTTTAATAATGTCCCAAACTGCCTAAATCTTCAGACAAACCACTTTGCCTTACACTATGACCACGGAGGAAAGAAAACATGAACTGACCAAGTACAATATTAAAAGCCAAAAGGAAGAAACCAGAAGCTTGAAGCCTAGATGCTGAAGCGTACAGCGGAGACTGATCAGCCATTTTCGCATCCAGCTCGAAATTCTCAAATAGGCAAGCCAAGCTTTGTTTACTTAGTTTTCCATGACCTAGAATACTATAGCTCCCCGCAAGTTGACCTAACCTGTCTTACTATGATGGATAACTCGTATTCAACGGCGACATGACTCAATGAAACCACAATAAATGAAATTTGAGGTTTCGTACGGAGAAGATCCCAAGAGTACAAATTGAGAGGAGGTTGCAGATCCACCCTTCGGATTCTTTTTAAAAACATCTCACGGTTTCTTGGAGTTAAAACACCTCTTATGCACCAGCATTTTGTTCCAATATTTTGACAATGCACGCCATTTAAACAAAAATATAATGGAAGAACAACATTCGCACCACCGATTTAAATTTAATATTCCGGCGTGTTGAATTGCGGTGGACGCATATAGGATGTCAACATGTCACAGTTTAGGTTTCAAAAATAAAAATCGGTGACAATTTAATAATTTCTGTTCCAAATTTGAGCTTAATAGCTAGGAAACAGTATCCTATAAGTTTATTCCCAGTTTTATTTAAGGGTTACATCATTCTGCATGGCTAAAAAACCGAATAGTTTATATGCATTGGAATATAATGAAGGCCGCATTATCATTATCAATTTGCCAGCCACATGTATATGAACGTATTGTCTACATAATGAAGGTCGTCGCGGCGGAAATTGACAACGCGACGACAACCAGACAAAGGGAAATCAATTGCTGTAATTGTATTAACATTCAGCTCACAATTTCTGAGAAGTGCTTTTCGTTTGTCAAATTCAAAAGCGCATTATACAGGGTGAGTAAAAAAAAGCGGAAGCCAAACCCCAAAAATTATATTTTATATTTAAAAAAATATTTAGCACCAAAAATAATAATGAATGGAAAGCCAATTTCATTGGGTACTTTAAATTGAAAAAATGACTGAAATTGGCCAATCCGTTCAGAAAATATCACCATCTAAACACAATGACCCTAAAACCTGTCTCGTCCAAAAAAATGCGATTTCAAGAATAGTCTTCGCAGTTGTCTTCAAACATCACCAGCGATAAAATCTCAGTTTAAACATTAAAAATATTCAACAGAATCCCTTTGAAGGCCCGTCCTTAAAAAAAAGTACATTTTATAAATCATATTGTTTGCCTAACCAGGGTTGTTTGTGTACTACAGTTGGTGACAGTTGTTGAAACAAGTATTCTGTGTCATTTTCTTTGTTGTTCCAAACAGTCAAAACACAAAATGAATTGCTTTTTTTTTTGGACGAGACAGGTTTTTGGGTCATTGTGTTTAAATGGTGATATTCTTTGAACGGATTGAGCAATTTCAGTAATTTTTTCATCCAAAAGTACATTTTAAAATTGGCTTTCCAGTCATTATTATTTTTGGTGCAACATATTTTTTAAATATGAAATATATTTTATGGGGTTTGGGTTCGGCTTTTTTTTTACTCACCCTGTATGCAAAACAATATTTTCTTATATGCACTAAGCAATTAATGTTCAGAGTCTAACAGTTTGTGTGTTGAATTGCAGGATTGAGGAATTTGCAGCAGTGAGGAAGGTTCCTATAGTAAAATCACTCAAGAGGTTTTTGAGCTTTCAAAGGGGTGCGAGAATGCATGGGTCAACTTATCTTTTTTTTAAGGGGACGATAGTTTTTTTTTTTAGAAAATGTCATTGAGGCAATAACATCTGTGCAAAAGATTAAAAGTTCAGTATATCATTTCAAAACCAAGTGTGTATGACCGAAAACTAAACGCAGCTGATGAAATCATTACGGCGCTTGTCTACAGAGACTCTTCCGATCGTTTGAGCTAAAAATGTGCCTGCATTTGTTTTTGTTTTTCACTGTTGAATAAATGAACTAGTGCTACGTTATTCTTTTGGTAATTACTTAAACATTCTTTGAGAATCGTAACATACAAAGATCATTAATGCATCTCGCTTCAAACTGACTGAAAACCGACAATAAGTTTTTCGTAGCATTATTACCGTTTTATGAGCTCGACATTGCATCTGGTTTTATAAAATAAAATTGTATAAATAAGCAAAAATGCGCCAGTGCCGATGTCCTGTAACTTAATCAGTTTGCACTATAGAGGCCTATAACCTATTGACATTCTAATATATACAGACGGAAGGGTCACAAGAACGTCGACAATGGGACCTCAGCTCACGCCCTAATTCCTCGCTTCACAAAAGTGAGCTAATCCGAACCCCTGCGGAGATTTGATGACCACACGTGATCAAAACAGCTCTATACGTTTATTACAATGTACATTCTGTTCGTTGCTCGGTGTCATGTCTGCGTGACTTTCTGTACACTGCCAAACTTTTGCCCTTGTGCTCAAGCCACTACATGCACTATTAAGAGGGCTGACCATCTGAGAAATAACGTGGAGCAGACGGCATTTCACAAGTATGTGCCTTGGGCAATTACTTAAATGTAGACTTCTGCAAAAGTTTAGAGGTAGAGGGCGCTATCCACAAAACGAATCAAATCCAGTCCGTTGGCAACTTTGGCAGCCCCGGGGACCAAGAAGTGGCATACAGGGGACACCAAATCCAAATTATGGACCATTGAGCTATACAAAACGGAGCTCCATGCTTGGACCAAGACTAGTCGAGATGGATTTTTGTCCACAAAGCTCACTTGATTTACACCCTTTTCAGACACTTTCAGTCCAAATGATTGATGTCTTTCGAGTCGCTTTTGACTTGGCAATAAACACCCACATTCGCCTTTCACTCGCGGGATTCAAAGGTCCCTTCAGGACCAACATAAGGAGTGTTAAACCTTAACCCGTGCATTCCTCGAAGCTTTACACAAATCGCGCAAACCCCCCCAAAACATCCCAATAAATCAGTTTTTGTATTGAGAACATATTATGGTTTGACAGCAAGTTACTCTCAAAAACAGTGCAGATATTTAAAAAGCTCCCCCAATGGTAAAACTTTACTTAAACTTAAACTACAGACTTTCTTTCACTGGCTTCAACAACAGCTTCTTCGACTAGCTAGAACTTAAAACACACACTCTCACATTTGTATCCTTGTGGAGACATTTCTTTGTTCTCGTGTAGTAAAGTTTTCAATTTTGAAAGTGAAGTTTCAAAATGCTCTTATTTTAACCAGAATTAATTTCCTTGGCTGAAATTCGGACTTAATATCCCTTTTCTAAAACTCTTCCATTTGCGACTGATCAACCCACCTTGGAAATTCCTTGTTTTTGAGTAAAATCCATATATCTATTTCGTGAAAACCTTGTGGAGACCTATTCATCTATAGAAATTGCCTTGTGGAGACCTTTACAATGTTTTGTTCCCTATTGTGTGCGTGTCTCCACAAGGATACAAATTTGAGCACACATGATCTGAGATGAGGGACAGAATTTCTTGATCTTTCTGTCTGCATGTGAAAACGAGCTCGAAATGATCTGGGAAGCTGCGGGCCAACAAATTTGTGTTCATGCATGTGTGACGTGATTGTGCCATGTAATTTCTGGAAGGAGTTAGTGTTTTCAGTACAGACATCAGGTTTTTGACCCTAGTGACCCAATTTCCAGGAGTGCATAAATTGGAAGGCGGTCAGTGGAGACCAATTAAAGTGAACAACAGAGGGCCGGGCCTGAGGGAGCACTTGATATATACCCGCGCCTGAGGGATGCGGTGATTTATAGCCATGCAAGGCTGTTGCTGACGCTTGTTACTAACTAACTAACCAACCAACCAACTAAGGGAGAGACATGAGGATCATTGTTGAGCAGCTTTCTGCAGATAAAAATAATTTCTGGCAGTAACGCGTCGACCATCTGTTGACAAAATCGTACTTACATGAAATTATTTATAAATAACTTCCATGAAACACGAAAAAAAAATCGTTTTATCCAAAAGGCACGTATCGAAGTTGCTTGCTTACAATAATCAGAATTTTCAAAGTGGTGGGCGACACATCGACGGTCGGCGCACCTCTGGCAAGCATAACCGTCGGTAGGTCGAGGAGTATAATTCATGGTTTGTATAATGTGCTTACTCAGCAATGACCAAACATTCTGTGCCGTTATGTTAGGGAAAACAGACGGCCGTAAACATGAAAGTAACCCTGAACTTCAAAGAAGGGTTTGAACTCAAGCTGAAGCAGCATCATTAATATATAATTGGAATCTCGATTGAAAGACCACGCATTAGTTTTCCCGGATCAGCTGATTTCCTCTTCTTCTTTTTTACTTCCATGTCTGCCATTGAAAAAAAGAAAACACTGTACAAAGTCTTGGAAAGATTTGAATTTCATCATTTTTGTGTGTGTGACTTCCCAGTCGCATGCCTGAATTGAAAGACGCTTTCATAATGATTCTTTTCTTCTCCCGTACAGCTCGGAGTGGCCTTGGGTTTCGTTTTGCCTCCAATCTTGGTTCCTAATGATGGCAATAAGAGGCAGAATATGCTGAACATGTTCCTGGGAATGGCCTGCATCACCAGCGCTTTGCTCATTCTAATTTTTGCCGGTAGGTCGGTTTGAAAGAAGCCTCACAATATCTACCGACCCATTAACACCGCCCCGTGTTGTTTTTGACCAATCACAGCCGTGTTTGATGTCCGACAAATTAACGTCCGACGCGCGCGTCGGATTTTGTATGACGCGTGTACGGCGCGTCCGGATTAGGCCGCCTGTTATTGGACGGAAGCGCGCGTGTTGTTGCCCACGTGTGCAGTGGGCGGGGCCCAATATAGATCAGTCTGTTGCCTGAGGACTTTTGTAGCACAAACTGCACGTGAACCCGTTTCGTTTGTTTAGCATCGATCCAAACGTGCCAAATTGCATTCCCCGAAGCAGCTGAAACAATTTCCGGGCGAAAAACACCAAGCCGGATTTACAGCTTTTAAACAATCTTCCAATATTTTACGATACACCCACAACCCATCATTCTATTTCCACATTTCATGTTTGGGGCCTATATACACACATTTTGTTGCGTAAATGTCAACCTTTATGTAAAAAAAGTGACATTTACAATTGATCCATAGAAAGCAAAGAAAACGGGACTTTGTGTCAATACCATTTTTTTCCCTTTCAAAACGATGCCTGATGCCATTTTCAGAGAACAGGTATGGTGTATATATATTTTACACATGTGCTTAAAATGGCAAAGTGCAAAAGTTCACCACGTTTCGAACTTGTGAACCCTTAAAAAATATGGGCAACTGTTGCGCATGGACAAAAATTTCAGCTATCTATACACATCTGGGGAAATTCTTCCCAAACTGGGACTTTTTAACTCAAATTATCCAGCAATTATAAAGGTAATTTTATACCGATTGTTGAAGGGAATGACATCGCATGGCAATTTTTCATATTTTCCCCATCAAATTTGTTTTAACGAAGAGAATCGTAGAAAATTAGTCAATAGGAAAATAACTTAAAACATCGATGTATGGGAGATAATGTTCATGTTGTCACTGTTTGCTTTTCAGAATTTTAACAATCCTCCCCTCCTAAAATAAAAGATAAAGGGCTATTTTTTTTTCAGCCTGTTACAATGCAGGCTGAGTAAAAAAACACGAAACCCAAATGTCGGGACTATTGTTTCAGTGATGTTCTGCATGTAGCACTTTCAATATCTAGGATATGAAAGCCTAATTCAATATTTTTCGTTTTGCTGAAAGAACACTCACCTTTTTGTGATCCGCGGACAGAACTTTAAAACGCTGGTTGTGTTTAACAGTCCGTAACTTGAAAAGTACATAAGTGATTTCAATTATTCTTGCACTAAAAGAAAGCTTATGAATTGGGCTTTCATATCCTAGCTATTGAAAGTGCTACATGCAGAACTTCACTACAACAATAGTCCCGACATTTGGGTTTCGTTTTTTTTCTGACTCGCCTTGTATATTTCTTTACTTGTATACAGTTTATCAAGACAAGCCGCCCGTCCCGCCAAGCCGTGCTAAGTTAGGTGCTCAGATCTCCCGGACACAGCGTTCCTACAAACAATCTTTGAGGACACTGTGTAAAAACACAGGTTTTGTACTGCTGGTTATAACGTACGGTGAGAAACCAGTCCTCTCAATTTTCTTTCTTTAAAGTCATACAAACTGCTGAACAACCAGTTCAAAAAATACGCAAATATGAAAATAGGTATCTCCAACCACAAACTCTTATAGCCATCAACCCAACCTGACACTAACCAAACTTTAAAGGGAAAATACAACATTTGCAAACATCGAAAAATAAAACTACCAAGTTGTTACGAAATACCTTACTAGGATGTTGGTAAATGACATGCTTAAGCATCCTGTAAAATTATGGCACCTGGTGTGCCATAACGCTGGTCGGCCGACCACCGTTGGAAAAACCTAACTATTTTTCAATTACTGCACCAAATTTACCATTCTTTTTTGGTCTAAATTTTGTTTTGCTAGCTATTGGTTCCATGCTCATGAACGGGTGCAGGCCAGCTAGACTGGTTCCCTTACCTTACAATTTTCTGGTATGTTTGATCCATTTCATCTTTAGTGGAGTCAGGGATCCAGACTACTTGAATATTTTTGTTTTTCTTGGTTTTTCCAGCATTTTCGAACACAAAACTTCAAACATGTCAGTGTAACAATATTTGATCTATTATACTTACCCCCCAAATAGTTCATTTCTGAAAATTACAGCAAAAGCCAATGATGTTCATTCCCTTTAACATTGATCAAAACAACACTTCAAACTGAAAATTCACATGCGAACAAAGTTCAAACTCTTGAGTCAAACACATTCAGAACAAAACTAGTAAAAGTAAAACATGTAGCAAGCCAAACCTAAAGTAAAACACAAACTTATAGTCTTACAAAAACCATTTTAAACCCAAACCTGAACGTTACCATATCAAACACAACCACAAACTCGATCATACTTTATTAAACGAAAAATAAACCAAGCTCAAAACAATGGAACCAAACCGAAATATTAACTCATGACTACAATGTCAGACCAAGAACAAAGGAACATGGTCCTTTATTAATACATTTTGGGGGGAAAAGAAGTCTCATTAATCAATTTTGAACAATTTAAATGGATCATGTCTCACCAGTTATTTTTTTTCCATTTATTCATAACAGGTATTAATGTTGGTTCATTCTATGCAATTTCTACTCTTCTGAACCAACTCATATTGACTGAATTTGAGGTAAGTTGACATAATTTTAATAAGATTACTTTCAGCTCAGTAGATTGTACATGCATTATGTAACATCACGAAAGTTTTGTCAACAGAGCAAACGTTTGTAACAGACATCTTAAAAATATATACTGCAGGGTTCCTACGGAAATCTAAAAACGAAATTCCATACATTCTCCATGATTTTTCCCTGGACAAAAATTATGGCTTTCCATGACCAATTGCTATGCTGTTTCACACTCTTTAGAAATATTTTATTACAATACACTGGCCAGCTGTCATGCAAAATTAGAAAAGGGACGCCACTCCCTTTCAGCTTGACACAAGACCACTGAGCAACACAAAAGCACCGTAATGATGCGTTGCAACATATAAGAAGTATAAGAGCACGGATACAGAGCAAGAATCTAGCATAATCACAAATCGGTTGTGCTGGATTCCAAGACTTCTCTGTGACTTTTTTCGTGGAATATGTGAACTTTCCATGACTCCTGGTAAAAAACAGAATTCCATGACTTTCCATGAGATAGCTTTAAAATACCAGAATTTTCCAGGATTTTTTTCCATGACTGTGGAAACCCTGATACAAAAACCCCAACCTTTTTCTTGGAGAACGCTAAGCTCATTTGGTTGCAAAAGCCTGGCGGGGTCAATTGCTTTCAAATGCAATTTATCACGAAAGTACACCCAAAGTAGTTGCAGATACAAGATTTTATCAAAGGAGGTGAGTGGAAGTGCTAGTCCAGATTTTTCGTGGGTTCGGGTGATGAAGTCAACACCTGTAGGCACCATGGCCTTGGGAACAGAAGTTTGGATTCTTTCCCCAGTAAGTTTGGCAGAAGGAGGAAAGTTCTGTTAGTCATCCAAATCGCTCCAATTCACCTTTGCAAAACTGAATGTCACCTTACAAGATGTTAATCTGATTTTTGTTGGCAGGGTTTGGAGGCAATGGCTGGTATTATTGGGATGACGATTGTGCTGACGGGTTTACTGGGATCCGCTGTAACAGGGGTCTGGCTGGATAGAACAAGAACATACAGGTAAAACCACAAAGAAAAGAATATATAAAAGAGAACTACAACATCCCAACCATTAGTAACATGGAGTTAAATGTTGCGGGGGGGGGGGGGGGGGCTCATTTTTGGAGGGGAGGCACTTGAATAGATTACAATGAAAAGTTAATTGTTGCCTTCCCTAAAATTGAGTGGGGGGGGGGGGGGGGAGAAGGGACACAGGCCCAGTGAAAGGGAGTGCCCCAAGTCCCCCGAGTTGGGTGCATAATTGTTGTCTTCATGTAATAATAACAACACAACTATTCCCGATTCCCTGTGCATTTTTGTAGGAACTTACAGAATCCTCCAAAATCTACCAATGTGAAGAAACCAAATAATACATTCCCGGAACTATCGGCAAACATGCAACTCCACGTTTTACACTTCATGAAGTCCCCCCCCCCCCCCCCCCCCCCCATTTTTTGTGACATCGGTGTGAGGTTTCGAGAGCTGTTGTCTAGGCCCACCCTACCTCAATCCTGCGAAACCTGACAGTGCTATATCCAAAGTTCAAAGAAAGTGTATTTAAAAAAATTTATATAAAGTAGAAATAATTTTTTTCAATGCCCCGGGGTTGGGCATTTTGGACTCCAAATCCCATAGGCCTACAACCATCTAAAGTCACCACTGAATTGAGATATTATGCATACTTGTGTAGTACTTATAGTTGGGTCATTCCACCAGGTTGGGAAACAGTGCATGTTACATCCAAATATTTGGTTATATTATTAAAATTGTCAATATATTATTAAAACTGACATTGCATATTTATTACTGGACACCTAATGCACGTTTTGGTATAGGCAGGGTTCAAATATAGCAGAAACAATATGGATGTAACGGTGTCAAAATCACTCAATGGAAGTGTGACATTTGGGGTTGACACCGTGTCAATGTTATGTCCACAACTAAGCTATCATTTCTGCTCAATTTGATACCTGACTACCATAACAAAAGCTTTTCTTATTGTGTTGCATGTATAGTAAGAAGTTTGTAAAGTGAATTTAGGTAATGTTTCACAGAAATTTAAAAAAATGTACAAATGTCATATTTGGACGTAACATTGACACGGTGTCAATGTTATGTCCGAAATGACATTTTTGCTCATATTTTTGGCAAAATACATTGAAATGATTTCAAACTTTCTGCAGTAGTGAAACACCCAACAACAAATATTATGTAGAGCAACTGCTAGCAAGGCATTCATGCTTTTCTTAATATGGTCATATGTCAAACGTTGTTCCCCAGCCCGGTGGATGTATAGAGTCAGTTGTTGATTTAGTCTGCTCAAGGCTAAAAAATTCAAGGGTTCAGTCACAGGTTTGAACGCTCACAAAATCCTTTCAAGTGAAGTAAAATGTCAACAGTTCCTCGGGATCATTTGCAGGAGTTTTGGGGCATGGGTCAAGACCACACAATAAATAGTCCCATAGTTCGGCAGATTTAAAGCATTCTTTTGCTTATCTGAAAAAAAAAACCTCCTGGGAAACGTTTTATTCCCAGGCACAAGTCGGCACATTTGAGGTGAAGAGCGGTCATAAAAAGTTGGAGTGTAAATAGTATTTAGTATTTATGTGTGTGCGAAGTGGACATGATTCAAAGTTCCATGGGATGAGGGATAACCGATCTTATCTTAACAGTTTTCCTTGGTGCCTAAATGCCATCAAGCCAAAGCATAATTATCATAGAAGGGCATTCATGGTCATTACCAAATCAGTTTGAGACGATTAACACATTTTCTGATAGACCCCTCAGTGTTGGAAGGTAGCCAAGATCAAGGGCGGATGGGGGCGGGGGCAACGGGGGTCATATCCACCCCCCCCCCCCCCACAATCTTTTCCTCAAAAAAATTAGTCAAAGTGGTCAGAAATTGCCTCAGATGGCACCACAGACTGATAGCATTCCTCCAGGGTACATCTTCTTAAATAAGTCAACATTTAGGGGATCATTAAATTTTATGCTTACTTTGTGACTTTATCCGAAATGTGTGTCCTTTGTTACGTACGGAGCACTTTTAAAAACAATATCCACTATATTTTCAATTATAGTAGTATTATATAATCAATTATATCATTTGTAAGTGAGGATATTTACTCAAAGCGGCTTGTAATGTTTACAGCAAAAATTAAGAGACCAAGATTGTAGTTTTATAACCAAAATACTTAAAGGTCTTCTCAAATGTCACACTTTGGGGCCCATTAGTGTGGAATTGCCCATTTATGAAATGACTTTTATATTTTTTTAAATTTAAAGACAACTTTTACAAAATTGATTCAATCACTCAGTTGATGTCTTGTGTATTCTTTTCATCTAGGGGCACTACTGTTGTTGTGTACATCCTCTCCCTGCTGGGTCTGATCGGCTTCACGTTCACGTTAAAATTAGGAAACATTTGGATAGTATTTTCTATATCTGCATTCCTTGGGTAAGTCAGTACTTAGCAATGAGGCCAAGTAAAAAAAAAATAGTTTCTCGTTCAGATTTTTGGATAAAAAGGAGAAGACCCTTTTTTTTCAAGGTGGCAGATTTTCTACAATGGATTCTTCCATTTTCGTGACTCTTTTGCCGACACTTTTGTGTTCAAATGAGCGGTATTGAACGCCTTAAAACAGATTCTAAACTTGCATGCATAGCCGCCATTTTGCTGGAAGAACATAAAAAAAACTAAATATATTGCAAATGATTGATCTGAAAAGGGGGGGGGGGAAGGGGGGGGAAGGGGGGGGGGAGATGTGGACGGGGAAAGAGAAAGCAGGCAGGGACGAGAATTCTCCTTCACTTCTGCAAAATTATGAGAGATTGACAATTCCAAATAAAGGTTGTTTCAGTGGGTCAACTTTAATGCCTTTATTTATGAAATTTAAGAGTGCATTAACTTTGAAAAGAAAATGTGTGGAGGAAATTTAATAGAATTCATCATTTTAAAGCTGATGACTTGGATGATCAATGAATGACCTCAATATGTGAAAACAATTTACTTTTGAGCTCATTCTTGGTGGATATTCACAATTTATTTAAATCATTTATATGAGAAAATCACTCTTAACATCTGAAGTACGGAAGAAATTTGGAAGTTTGTTAATTTTCTTAAAGTAGGTTGAGACACTCAAGGCAACCCCTTCCCCCAAACCTCCTCTACTAGCCCAGAAATGCCAACAAAACAAATTCATCAAAACAATATTTAAGCCATTTTTTCCCCTATTTTCTGGACAGTTTTTTCATGACCGGTTATCTACCTCTGGGTTTCGAGTTTGCGGCAGAGCTGACCCACCCTGAACCGGAAGGGACGTCCTCTGGAATGCTGAATGCATCGGCCCAGGTATACAATAAAACTTGAACAGCTATTTGTCATTTTTGTACTTTTTTTGTCTAAATCCTCCTCTTGGGATGAAAAAAAAAATAGGAAAGTCATGCAGAAAAACACAGCAAATGCCTGCTTACCACCGCCCCCCCCCCCCTGGGTGCTAAACCCACTCTTGACCCAAACCAGGACCCACCCCTGTGGGGAAAACATCACACAAACTAGTTGTGTATATGTCAATTTAAAGGTAATATACGGTACATCATTTGATTTTGCTGTAATTTTCAAAAATGGATTAGTATTTTATAGCAAATACATTGTATTGTAACACTGACTTATTTGCAGTTTTGTGATCGTAGATGCTGGAAAAACCAACAAAAACAGTCATGTTCTTGTACTCTGGTTTCCTGACCCCACTTAAATTGAAATGGAGCAATTATAGCCGTGGGGGAATTGTACGGTCAGGGAACCAGTCTAGAATGCTTGTACCCGTTCATAGATGTGTAATCGCAATTGCAAACAAAAATCAGACTAATTAAATATGGTAAATAAGGGACAGTATTTTTAAAAAGCCAGTTTTTTCCAACGCTTGTCAGCCGACCAGCGTTGGAAATTGATACAAAACTACCACTTTTCTTGAAAATTACAGCACACCAGGTGCCACGATTTTGCAGGATACTTTAGACTATCATTCACTAACAGTCCAGTAAAGTAGTTCATACGTTTTGGTAGTTTGGTTTTTTGATGTTTGCAAATGTTGTATTATTACCTATAAGGCATCCATTCGATGAAAATTCACAAAGAAGATTAAGGCGGACCAACATTGCATTTTTAGGTAATAAAGGGCAACAGTGGTTCCAATAGCAGAACCAGCCTGTACATTGCATGTCTATTTGCACACGTACAGGAAAAATCATTCTTTACATTTAATGCACACCATTCGCAATATTGCACAATATGTACATGTACACTACAATGCACTGTACTGTCTGGATTGTATGCTAATCCCAAGTTTATGATTAACAATAGAAATGTCCCTCAATTCACGAATGACGGATTAGTGGTGCTCCTGAACATGAATAATGTATGTGTACTGAGTACATTGACAAAACATTGTGAAGTGATGAATGAAAGCCGTGTTCACATTTGCAACCCGTAGAAGTTGCAAAGAAAAGTTTTATTAACTTTACTTGATTTAAAAAAATGATTTGTTTTGGGAGATGATTCAATTATAAGATACAATATACAACACCTGCAAACAAGACAAATTCTACCAAATTATCGTGAAATACGTTACTTGACTGTAAATGAATCCCGTGAAATCATGGTGTGCTGTCATTTTTAAGAAAAGCTCAATTATTGTATCAATTTCCAACAATGGTGGGCCACCAAAAAAGTTGGATGAGTAATATCTTCTTTAAATCATTGTAGTAACTACTGATATATTTTATCGGAATTAAACTCAATTTCTGAAATGTCCACAATGTGGAACTGCCCTTTTATAAAAGTAAGTACGACACAAGACAATTATCTTTTAACTGACATACCACCATCAGATTGGCACACAACATGACATACCCTTGTCAACTTCCTGCTTGCGAAATAACCCAGAGCTTTTAGCACCCAGACAATTTCCTATTATTGTTACTGCAGGAATGGGTCACGTTGGGGTCAGTGACAATGCTAACAAGGCTGACCAAATGGCACACATGCTTTCGCATAATTAGGCTAATGATCGGCCTCCACAGCAATGCCATGGGTCAATGAACAGGCTGGCCGCCTCGTTGAATATCAGTGACCATGGAAATGACCACAATAGGGTCATATGACTCACGTTTGCTGGGCTACACAAGGGGCGAAGCCAGGATTTGTGGAGGGGGGGTTCATACCAAAGATTCCTTCTCCCCAGTGTGAATTAACATCGCCCTTATTTTTGAACATGTGAGGGTACCATCTCAAGGGCGAATCCAGGGGGGGGGGGGGGCAACGGGGGCCCCCCCCCCCCAAAAAAAACGAACCCAATTTTTTTTTTAGTGACATTGCTATAAAGGCAGGCACTGCGTACTACACCATCTTTTCCTCCAAAAAAAAATTGGTCAAAGTGGTTGGAAACTGCCTCAGATCGCACGACAGAGCATCTAGAATCCAAACATTCAATTTAAGGAATGTGATGTATTTTGTTAATTTCAAACTGGTGCATTTTTAATGTGTTTCCTTTTATTAAAAGCTTTGGGATGTGTTTTTCTAACATTTTGTTCCGTTTGGGGGGATGTGTTATTTTTAGTGTTTGGTTTGCTATTTATTGCTTTTTAAAGTTTAATATTTTGTTTATGCAGACGTTTGGGATTATTTTCACAATGATAATGGGAACGTTGGCGACAAACTACGGTACGATAGCAGCCAATCTCTTCCTGTGTGGATGTGTGCTGGTTGGATGTGTCCTAACGAGTAAGTCGCCGTACTTCAATGTGGGGGAAAAATTGTACCCATTCTTCACACTAAATTTACTGAATATATTTTAAACTGTAAGTGAAATATTACAGCAGCATGATACATGTACATGAACAGCGTTCATTCAGTATTGAATACAATCCAAACGCAAACGTTCTTCTTAATGCGCACATCTTGTGTACATGTACAAAGAGACTTCACAATTAATTTTGAGGAAATACCTTAAACTGGAAAAACATTCCTTAATTAAAACCCTATTTGCCATGAATCCTTCAAAATCCTCTTTGCCAAGGCAAAAGTGCGTTACTGATTACATAGGATGCACTTTGTCAAGGTCTTGGGCCGGACCTTGTGTTGTTTTTGCTCAGCCATGCATAAATATAGGCCTGGATTATGCTTGAAATCCTCCGTACTGCTCCAGGATGTCACTGGCCAAGCCTCGACATATTTACAGTCACTGCTGCAGGATTTTGCAGGATTCAGGCAGTGGTCACCCCTCCATGGACCATATTCAAGAAATAATGGAGGACTTTGCAGGATTGAGGCTATATGCTATTTTTCCATGAGGCTGATTAGAGGATTTTGCAGGATTGAGGCTACATCCTAGCAAAAAGGCCTAGGGAGTTAGGGTTTAAATTTAATTTTAAAAATTGCGACGTTTTACAGTAGTATCTTTTCTTGTGTGTTATTTTAACGTGCAGTGTTCATCAAATCAGACCTGAGGAGGCAGGAAGCGGAACGAGTAAGTTTCTTGGAAGAATTGTTTCTTGGAAGAATTTCACTTTAATACAAAGCATGCGCACATAAAAAAATGCAAGCAAGAAAGAAAAGAAAAATATATAGGATAGATCACGTTCAAGCGTTGCGAGTTAGTAATACCACACTCAGATTGACAGTCAATTGAGTATTTGTTTACTGGCAATGGGATGGCGGATACTTTAAGTGGATTTTTATGCTTGACTGATCTGGCAAAAAGGGCAACGTATGCAGGTACTGCAGTACCTGCAATAAATTTAATTGCTGTGTGTGCCTAAACGCGCCATGCGCACTCATAAAAACAATACAAAAAATTGTACATGTTTCGTTAGATAGCTGCACTTTTTCTTCATCAAAGGTTCGTTGCACCAAAAAGAGTAGGACGCAGATTAAGTGTTGATAATGGCAACATTATGCTGGTAGTTCATGTCTGGCAAAAATATCACATAGTTATGGTGCATTACAAAAACGATCTGAGAATCATAGAATTGTTTTAAATTTGGCACCTTTAGTGTTTTTCTTCATTATTTTTCATGCTAGAATTGCACATTTTTTGCTTTTTGCACGATACTTAGAAGAGAAGTTGATTATCTGATGCCTATTAAAATTGGCTTTCTAGAGTCAGGCTGATCCAAAATATTCCAAAGGCTTGAATTAAGTACATGAACGGACTGATGTTTTGAAACCATTGACTACATCGGCTGATGGACTGTTGTAGTCATTCCGAATGATTCCAGACTCTATCAGTCATCATCATCACCATAGGTTTTAAGGCCGTTGTCCAGTCTATTCTGGGTTGGCCAGTTTATCAAAAAAAGGAAAAAATTCCAAGCTTTGTAAGAAATCATTAAGTGTTTTTCAAGTTTGAATTGCATCAGTGTGAATTGATAAAAAAAAAAGAAGAGGACATCAGCTGATCCGTGGAAAAGTTGCATGCACAATCCGGTTTGGTATGATTCTAGAACACGTCTGATGAAACAAGTGTATAACGATTGAATCTTCCTATAGGTTCACACTGAAATGTCAGTCACCGCCAGCACTGCACAATTGGACGTATGTAGACCACACACCTACATATAGCCTCATGTCACACATTGAAAAAATAAAACCACTGCAAAGATACCAAATTGAAAACTGCATACAAAAAAGTTACTCTGCTGTGAATAAAATAAGGGTTTCTATGGATGCCAACAACAGCAGTGCGTAAATTGAACTGTTGGTAACTTTAACTGTACCCTATCAAATTACCACTTTGCGTGCAAAGCCCGTCTGCAATAGTTGAGATCATAAACATATGGTATAGGGATAATGCAAACTTCGTTGAAATCGTAATGTACAGGATAAAATCAACTTGGCCTTAGCAATAAAACGAACAAGCTTTATGCAGACTTTAAGGGGTGATTATGTTTAAAGATCTCGTACCCGCCACAAAAGTCACATGTGATAAGTTTGGATGTAAAACTCTATTTTTTTTTTCTCCTAAGTTTTGTGTCTTTTGTATCCTTTGTTTTCACTGGAGTTATGCATGTTTTCAGTTTGGTTATCTTTGGTTGTCCACGAATTCAACATGAGATTGACATTGTTAGCACTTCTAAGTAAAGGTCATCAGCAGAGTACCAGTCAAATGCAACACATGTTGCATGACTGCTTGGCTGGTGACCAAGCAAACGACTACCATTCCAATTCACCACAGTCATCAACATTGCTCACTACATGTGTGAAATAAGGGGAGGGGCACTGTTTGAAAGTTTTCGTTTTGTTGTCAACTTGAGCATCTACCGTTACAAGCCAAACCGTTTTGGTTCCACTTTCATTGGTGAAATAACGTATACAATCTGTCATGCCCATATATTTCAAGAACAAGGAATCTAACCCATGCTGCAGCACCCCCCCCCCCCAAGTTTAATGTAAAAACCGCTATAAATATAAACCGTTTCATACATTCTACATTTTCAAATTTTAAGAATATACATGCACATCGACCTTCTTTTCCACACTGCTACGTTTATATTTATGACCCCACTTTGCACTACGCTTGTGCAACTACAAAAAGATCATTCATATAAGTACAGTGCACTTCATTTTACAGTTTACCACATATGTCATTGATTGATACACATTTCATCCATGTTATACTCCCCGATTCAACTTCAACATGTTCTTATCACAAATTATTATTGTACATTTTCTCTTCACACATTACACATCAAAGGCAGATCTAGCAGTGGTCTCAGCCTTTGGTTACATGATTCTTGTTGCATCCAGATACTATGGCATAAGTTGTATGTTATGGCCAATTGCTTAGAAAATGTAGGTTTAGAAAAAAAGAATTTTTTTTTTTCTTCCAATTCACCCCTATTTTTTTTATTTTTTTTTTATTTATTCAGTTACAACATTAACCCTCCTGCTATCTGAACAGTTGCAGACAATCAAAAAGTCAATCCTCTTCCCCTGCCATGCCTTTCACACAGGCTAGTCACCAACAGTCAGATCATATTTCAAACAAGCACTGTGACTTGTCAAATTCTGTCAACAGACAAGAACAGGCAAGTGGTAAGCACAGCTGGCTTGTCAATCACCTGCAGTCAAAGCATAACTGTGTCAAGTTACATAAACAGTCACAGCCAGTCAATCCTGCATTATGTAGGCTGGGAGCTCTTAACTGTTGACACTTGATTGATTTTGACTGCAAGGACAACTTGGCACAGAATGTATGTTTGCATAGGAGGGTTTTAATAATGCTTTTATTCATTTCTCCCCAGATGCATGACTTCCAAGCTTTACCCACCGAAGTGGAAGGAAAGGACCAGGAACTGGACACTCAGTTGGATGAAAAATCTCAATCTTGAACACCCCCTTCCCCCTCCTCTCCCCCCCCACCCCCCCCCACCCCCCCCCCCCCCCCCCAACAACAAAAAGAAAACCCCCAAATAAAAGATGGGGGAAACTGACATTGACACTGACATTTTCTGTCAGCCACAGGGCTGGTACATGTTTGACTAACTTAGATGATGTTTTACTACTCTGTGTATTATTTTACAAAAGTAACATTTAAAACCTTGCATGGTGGTGGTATGAACTAGTGAAGGTTTGCCATAACACCATGTGGTAATCTCTTTGGGGAAGATGTGTGGTTCTAGAAAGAACCAGTGGCTTGTAAAACTTGATGTTCCGATCAGTTTACTCGGATCGTCTCCTGAAGACGATCAGAGCATACTGATGGGAACTTCGAGTTTACAACCAACTAGTTTATTATTTTACAATTTATTTAAAAAATACTCCTTTAAGAACTGCAAAACCTAGCAGGTAGGTTTTAAGCCAGATGACTGCTAGTCTTGTTGTACTAGTTCACAGCAGTTATTATCAGTATTGTCGTCAAGCCGATCACAAGTACATCAAAGCAAATCACAAGTCATTTCACAAACTTGCCCGGTCACAAGCAAATTACAAGTCCATTCGTTAGTCTACTTCCAAAATGACAAGGGTGAACAATAACATAGGAATGTCTTTGCAACAGTTCATTTGAGTGGCTTATTGTGAACTGACTGGGACTGGATGACTTGTGAGGACTTGAACTTGACAACCACAATAACCTTGACACCGACGCTGGCTTTTACAAACATTTGCAGATCAATTTGGCGTCAAAATTTGGCGCCAGACCAGTAAAAAAATCATTAATCCCAGCAGCCTTTGGATATATGCAAGGGGAAAGATAAATTATGCATCATTTCAAATTCAAGAACACAAATGGGGTCAGAGTCTAACTGCAAGCACTTTTGTCTTTGAAGTGTTAAACTTTTTTTCATTCTCTACTGAGATACTGTGTTGCAACAATGGTTGACCTGTACTTCGGCTTTGTAATTTTCACAACTGGGATTTTTGTTTGTACACGTTCAATTTACAGGCCATGTCTTTTTCATTTAAACATTTTTTTATTCAGTGTATGGGAGTTAGACTTGTTTCTAGTCTGGTTGCATTTAATACTTGATGTAGTCTTGGCTGTACAATCGCAGACATGTCTTTCCAGTTTGATCATTATGCAATGTCTGGAGGTTAGACTTGTTTCAAGTCTGGCTGCTCACTTAATGCAGTCTTCGCTGTTCCAAGACATGTCTTTCTAGTTTGGTCGTTAACAACTAATAAACTTAATGAAGAAATACTTTACTGTATGTTAAGCATTAATTAAAAAACTATTTGAAGACTTCCTGACGATAAATGTGATAATATAATTTTCAATTGAGTCTTCATTTTCCCATTGGCGCCCAACAATGTTGATAGCTTTTTGAAATATTTTATTTCAAGTGAAATCCAGTAATATGAGTTTTTATTCCTTTACTGCAACAAGATAGCCACTGTGGCAAACTAAGTGGACACACAGAAAGCAATATCAAAATGTAACTTTTAAAACAAAATAAAATCTTATACATTGTATTTCACCACTCAGAATTAAATTGTAATTTTACACGATCACAGAGTTCACTTTTCTTCCACGTTCACTTAACGTATGCACCGACCTCCATATAAATGCATTTGGCAAGTCTTCTTTCATATCCATGTAAATAATTTGTTATTATTTACTAAGGTTTCTTGAATTTTTAAAAAATATAACCTTGATTTTTATATTGATGTTGCACACAAAGAAAAAGATGCAAAAACTATGTGACTAGACTCCGCATTTACAAAGGAGACTTGCGGATTATATTCTTAAATACAAGATAATATTTCGATTTTTTTTGGGGGGGGGAGGAGGGGCAAGAGAGCTTGAGTATTTTTTTTTCAAAATTGGGAAGGGGATTAACTACATGGTATCGTGTGCTACCTATTTCCACATTGTAATATTGAAACTAAAAGGTATGTGTAGCTCATGGCCTGCAAGGGAGATACGCAACATTTTAATTTATTTCCTGAAAATAAAAAAAAGGAAAGGGGGGGGGGGGGGGGGGCATGGATCCGCCAATTGTTTCGACGCTCTCACATTTATCACGAAGGCCCCCTTCAATGACGTAAGCAATGTGCTAGCTATTGTTCATATAATCCGTCAAGAAGCAGTTGTCTACGACGTCACCATTGAACTGAGCCTAGTTAGTGTACAATGTGCCCAAATTTGTCAAGATAGAACGTTTGGGGATAACTTTTTTATTAAATAATTATGTGTTCGGCGCGATCAGTGGATCGGCGATCGTACCGCCAGCGGACAAGGGACGGTGCATTTCGAAGCGATCAAGCATCAGCGCAGATCCACTGATCGGGCCCAACGCACCGGTATGCATGCTTGTTTTGTGAATGTATCCTCTAAAGTAAAAAATGATGATAAGAGCAATAAGATTGTTTGCGATCACCACCATTTTTATTTGAAATTCATGTATTTTTGTTTAAAAAGTTTATACTTATACATTTATAGTATGTATGACTTAATGTATAATGTATAGTCTTTAAATACATAATGGAATATTTTAAATAACAATAATATGTAAATGTACATGTACAGCGATTTTTTGAAAGCCACCTTGAAAGAATTTGATTCAAATCGGCATTTTTTAAAATATTGAGACTGATATAAAAAAAATTGCCCTGAAATACTTGCCATGGGGCCTAAAATGTTTTTTTTTTTTACAGAAAACGGTTTTACAGAAACTGTATTTTGATGGATTGGAATGTTCCATACATTTTAAACATTGAGCTAAAAAATAGCGGTTCTTCTTGATTATTGTGCATGATAACCAAAATTTAGAATTTTTTTCGTTTTCTGTTTATTTTAAAATCAATTGTTATACCTGCATGTTTCCATAAAGTATGCAAAATATTACTACCAGTAACTTTAATATATCAGTGAACACTGTACATACGATACATATATAAAAAAAAACCGAATACTGAGTATGCTAAAATTCTCTTCTAAGTTGAATATGATATAGTAAATAATTAAATTAATGTATTTTAATTATATATTTTTTAAACGTGGAATGGAACTCGGGTTGGAGGAAAAATTTAAAATGATGTGATTTTTTTTCACTGGCATTTTTTCCATTGGATTTAGTGTAAAGAGTTGCTTGCCTTAAAGACATGTTCTGAGAAGCGCAAAAGGGATAATTCTTACCCGAGCCAATCCATACAATCAGGTGAAAGAGATTTTCTTAATGTTCCTCTGAAAATCAGCATCAGTATCGACTCCATACATGCCATACATGAGAAAAAGAGGGCGCTGTTTTACTCTGGCAATGTTGCTGAGTACAGGACACTTCACTGGTTCACGCATACTGCCCATTGGTTTTACATATGAGACAGTGCACCAGGGAAGGAGGTCCAGGTTTGGCACCCTAGAGCATATTTGGGCGTGAACCATAGGTTCATTCCGTGTCAATTCAACACGATTCTGGACCAGCCGATGCTATCCTTAAAAAATCATAACTTGAAAACTTTTAAGAGCGCCCATCACAAAACTTTGTTGCTTACATCATGAACTAACCTCTGAAAAAAAAATTACGAAATTTGAGGCATATTTATTTTCAAAATTCAAGGTCAAAGGTCATTTCATTACGCATTTTCTCTGCGCTTCATGCTTCGATTTTGGTTTTATTTTATGAAATGGTGGCCATTTCATAGAGCTTTAATATGATGCACAGCTTGGCTTTGTAGGTGCTATAGTTTTGGAGATACAAGTATTTAAACTTTGCCAGTCGTGCTAATTAGTCAAAAGTTTGTTGACACGTATCTCAAAAACCAATGAGCCAAACTGCAAACAATTTCAGTTTGGAGGTTTCTCATAATAGGCTAATCACCACACCAAATATTGTTTCAATCTGTGAGGGTCGGGTCCAAAATTGTGTTGAATTGACACAGAATGACCCTGCAGTTAACCATAGTTGGACTAACTTTGCTCAAACGAAGGATAGTTGGACTACTCGACGATTTGGAACCGAACTACAGCACGGTTGCATCACTGGTTGCCAATAGGCACGCATCATAAAGCACAATGGGGAGCCGGGATCAAGAGGTTTCGTGACGACGTTTGACCATGGATTGACTAGAGGCGTTGCAGTGTTACTCAAGTGAATGTGCTACCTTGATAAAACTTCCTCAAGAATTTTTTGTATAGTTCAGGTTTTTTCAAAGTGTTTACATTTCAAAGTGGTCTTTCCGTTTGAATAAAATGATATATTCATAAAAACAGTTCGGTTCTGTTTGAAGTGATTTTTATGGTGTTTCCTTTTTCATTATCAAATATAATATTGGGTTTTCCGAAACAGATATTATTTCCTTTTAAGAATAGTGTCGCACCAATTAGGAGTTAAGAAAAAAAAACAGTTAAAAAAAAGTTCCTAAAACTTGTTTGTGAAAAGCTACGATGTTTTTCACTAGCGGCATTTTACTAAGACATTGACAAAATGGGGAACTACCAACATAGGGCTGGATAGCTCAGTTGGTAGAGCACCGAAAGTTACATTTACAATGATTTGAGTAAAACATGTTATATACGTGTACTTACTATTATAAAAATATTACAAAACTTGCCAAAAATAATCATGGTATAAAAATTTACTTTTACTGTACAATTTCAGTTAACATTGTTTTTCAGTTTGGTCCAGTATTCCGATTGATTTAATTATCATTTAGAAAGTGCGTCCGAATGTAGAATCATCCTTTACAGTATTTTTGACTAATTTTTTTTACTTTTTTTCTATTTTGATTCATATCATGTACGGTTTGGATCTAAACTTGGTGTTAATGTTGTTTTTACTGAATATTGTGGCCAAAAATATCACATTCCCAGAGATGTGAAGTGCTAAGCAACACAAAGAAATCCTGACGAACTTTATCGTATTATTATTTCTTTGTCGAGGTTATTTCTTTACAGACAATATGATTTCATAACTTCTAGTGATCCATTTGCATTCAAATTTTGTTTAAACAAAGTGCAACTCACAATCTTGACATTCCAACTGCCAAAATTGTGACATATTTTTTTTGATATATTATCCAGGCAAGAATAAAAGGTACATTTTAGTGGCTTTTGCTTCGAACTGTATCAAGTCAGCCGTGTCGTACAGTGTGCGTTTTTTTGCAAATCAGAAACGCATTTATTTTTCTCACCTATTGACGCACTTTATGTTCAATCCTTGAATATTCCAACCGCAATAAAAAGTAAGGTGTATGGCACTTACAGATAAGGCTTCACGGTGGAAAGCAGTTTTATGAGATAACATCCCTGCAGAATTTAAAAAAAACATTGAAGTAGTGAGCGAATATTTTATGCGCCAGTACTACAGCACTATATTGTAAATTCAGACGTACATGTAGCTAAATGTATGAGTGGTCGATGAAGTGACATTTTAACTTCAAAGGAAACATGTAATAGGATTTTTATGACTTAAAGCTATAGTCCATCATTTGCAGCCATCCGAAAAAGTAACTGACGTATTATTGTTCAAAAACATACTTGGTTGAAAGATAGTAAGTGGACTAAACTCCCTGTGAAATTGATCTTTCTGGCAAGCTATCATTTTGAAGTAATCAACGAAAGAATGCCTTTCCAACGGTGCGTCTTAAGACGCACCGTATTCTGTGTCCTTGGGCAAGCCGCCCCACTTGCCTCTCTCCACCAAGGAGCATAAATGGGTACCAGCATTTGCTGGGAGTAACCTGACATCCCATCCAGGCGGAATAGAAATATTCTCAGTCATTTCGTGCAAAGGAAACTGGAGATAAATGCCGGGCCTGATAGGCTATTTTGGCTTATGACAGACTTTACAACATGTACTACATTGTACTGTTGTACTTATTAATATGCAAGCTGTTTTACTTTTCAAGTATGTCAATTACTTTACCAAGCTGTTTTTATTATAAAGTACATCTGTATGTCAATTTTTATTGAAATAAAGGGTGAGGGACTAAAAAGACTGTACTTATTTCATCTAACATGTCTAAAGTCCCCAGTTGGTTCTGGTCAAATGTCATAAAATAGGTTCAAATTTCCATTCCAACTACTCATGGTAGACAAAAATACATGGTAAAGTGTGACCGGTTTGCATAGTTGTTTTTAAGCAAACCAGGAAAACGTGGCTAGTTCTTGTCAAAATGGACAACAGAGGGCAGTGTTCATATCAGAGTGTGCTTTTTCAGTACATTTAACTAAGTAAGCCAAAAGTCTTCTGTGGGATATATCCTGCCTGAATGATGAGTAATAATGTGGAGCGCTGTGGTCCAGTGGTTACAATGTTCAACTCATGTGCAAAAGTACTGGGTTTGAATTCGTACATGGTGCTTGTGTTCTTGGGCAAGACACTTTAACTTTACTACAATTGCCTCTCTCCACCCAGAAGTATAATATTGAGCTGCTGCAGAAATCTAATCCCAAGGCCTGATGAATAGGGTAATAATTACGAAGCGCTTTAAGACTTTAATATAACGCTATATATAAGCACTAAGTATTTATTGTAATGAATAACTATCACTGATTTAAGTGAAATATTAAGTAGAGTTAAAACTCACCACTTACTAGTCAGGATCCCGCAGATGCAACCCCTCGTCCACGTTCAGCAGCCACTTGTCGGCCCGGTAGGTACCCGTGAATGACTCCACGGGTCCCACTGTCTCGTTAATGACGCCCAGCATTCCCGGTGTGTCCCCACCCCCTCCGCTGTCGTTGCCATAGCCGCAGGGGTCGGCCGAGGTCAAAACGGGGATGTCGGTACGAAGTTCCCCGTAAGGGCCCGCAATGGTGACCGTGGATGGGAAATGCGCTATCTGAAAAAATAGGTGAGAATCTTATTGCGCTGTTAACCAGTGGTAGCCGACGAGATTGCCATGAGTACGAGTACGAGTACTTTGCCATGAGTACAAGTACACGGTTATTTTTTTCAATGAATACGAGTTCGTGTACAAGTTTCTGAGAGTATGAGAATGAATACATATTTGAGTACGAGTACTTTGCACAAATAATAGCATATTTCATTCGGTATACATGTTCTTATGGGATTTATTGCTGTCAATCTAAGCATTTAATGCAACAAGCCTCTCAAACAGTGGACAATTGATTTTATTTGTTCATGTACTTGTTAACAAAATTTGAAATTGCAGCGGCAGAACGTTTGCATGGGAACTGACTGACAAAGATCAAATAAATTACAAAATAAAATTATTTTCCTACCTTAGGCCAAGAAAAAATAATAGTTCTGCTTCCGGTTTCCCTACCTACCCTATTCTGACAGCCCCTACCCTAAATTTTGTTGTGGAAAAAATTAGAAAAAAAATACTCAAAACCATCAATTTCTACCTTGACTACACACAGAAGCCTCCATATGATCGCACACACAAAAAATTGCCAAATAAAATAAAACTCCCTACCTACCCTATTTTCAGTGCCATGCAATCGGAAGCAGAAGTATTTATTTTTGGCCTTACTATTAGCATAATTTTTGTTCATCCTACATAAAAAAAATACTCACAAGTATCACTTGGTCCATCACTAGTTGACCGATCAAACGTATGCTCCAGTTCACCGGCTCGTACGACGCCAAGACCAGCACGAAGCCTCTAGCGCCCTCTTGTGGTGCGTTACCGTCCAGTGCCACCTCCATGTCCCCAGCCACCGGGGGCCGGGTGTGTCGGTTCCCCTCGTGGACGGCCAAGACGTAGACCCGGTATTTGGGGTTGTCGTTGGCTAGGCAGCTGTAGGTTTGCTGGGCTTCGTCTTGGTATGAGGGTCTGGCCGTGGCCGATGGGGCGTCATGTTTGATTACGCAGGAGCCGTAAAGAGCTGTAACCAAAACAAGAACATATGTCAGATTCAAAATTGGGTTTGCCATGAAAAAAAAAATTCTGTGAAGGGCAAAACCTATATGGGTTATTCTATTTTGGGTCCAAGGTGTGACATTTTTCTTGTCTGTTATTTTTGGTACTTTGTAATTTGCCATTCAAGAATCATTGATGATGACTTCAAACAAATTTTTATTTGTTGGGTAGGTAGTTTGCTATTCATAATCACTCTTGGAGGACGACTGCACTAAGGAGTGCATCAGAATTATAAATAATAGATGTCATCAGATGTAACGGGGACAGGAAAAAAATGGACCCCAAATTTATTTTAACGAAAACAAAACAAAACAAAAAACCGGATTTTATTTTTCAAATTCATTATTATGAACAGACAAATGACATTGTAAAGAGTGTATTCTTTACAATATCATTTTTGACAAATATAACATTGTAAAGAATATATTCTTTACAATATTTTTTTTGTCATTTGTTTTGTTATAAAACGACTTTCCATTGCAAAATGCTGAATTTTCAAAGTAAACATTAGTAACACTAAGCATTAGACCTCCAAACTTCAGTTATTCATTATTTGAAATGTTTGATGTCATATTCTGTGATCAACTGTCCTGTTCTGAACATACTCAAGATTGTGAATTTCAACCAAAAATAATCCTGATTTCTAACAGGTCCACTTACGCAAACAGGACTCCCTGGAATAGTACGGCGACTCGCAGGAGCAGAAATCGTCCTCGCACACCGCCCTCACCTGAAAGCCGCCGACGTGCGCGCAGGAGCCCTGCCGACATGGGATGCGCAGCTCAAGAGGGGGCGTGCTCCGTCGCAAGTCCACCGAGGGCTGCGTGGTGCCCGAGGTGGTCGACGGCAGGTTCGTTGTCTGTGTTGAACACGACAAAGACTCTGGAGTAAACCGACAGATTGTACAAATTAACTTCTTCGACTTCTGGAAAATCAGAGAAATATTTACAAATGCTCTCTTCCAAATGTTTATCCCATTTTTAAATCAGCTGTTTCTCTCAAAAGGATAGAGTGTCGTTTCTCTAGTTTTCATGTGTCTACATTTCAATTATTGCTTGTTTCAGCTTGGAAGATTTTGTGCAGATAAATATTAAATAAGGTATGTCAACCCACTGAGTAACCCAATTAAGCCAACCCATTAACCCAAAATGCCCTATGTCTGCCCAAAATTCTGTGAGACTTATTATGCAGGGTGAGTAAAAAAAAAAGCGGAACCCAAACCCAATAAGATATATTTCATATTTAAAAAAATGTGTAGCACCAAAAATAATATTGAAAGGAAAGCCAATTTCGTAAGCTGCTGTTAGATGAACAAATTACTGAAATTGCTCAATCTGTTCAAAGAATATAACCATTTAAACACAATGACCCTAAAACCTGTCTCGTCCAAAAAAAGCAATTCATTGTGTGTTTTGACTGTTTGGAACAACAAAGAAAATGACAAAGAGTACTTGTTTCAACAACTGTCACCAACTGTAGTACACAATATTTTTATTACAAACCCTGGTTAAGCAAACAATATGATTTACAAAATCTACTTTTTTAAAGGACGGGCCTTCAAAGGGATTCTGTTGAACATTTTCAACGTTTAAACTGAGATTTTGTCGCTGGTGATGTTTGAAGACAATTGCAACAACGATTCTTGAAATCGCAATTTTTTGGACGAGACAGGTTTTAGGATCATTGTGTTTAAATGGTGATATTGTCTGAACAATTTGACCAATTTCAGTCATTTTTTTTCATCTAAAAGTACCTTATGAAATTGGTTTTCCAGTCATTATTATTTTTGGTGCTACATATTTGTTTTAATATGAAATACATAATTTTTGGGGTTTGGGTTACGCTTTTTTGACTCACCCTGTACTTACCGTTGAGTTGTCTGTCTTTTTCTTGGAGTTGTTCCCTCAGTTGCTTTATTTCTTCTTCTTCTTGTGAGAGCTGGCTGGTCAGTTCTGAAACCCTTTCCTGCAGGCCTGAACGAGAAAACAAATTCAGTCTTTCAATACGTCATCAAAACAACTTATATTTGGGAAATTCACAAATTTCAGCAAAATCGACAAACATTTGCAACTGACCAGCGCAGGTGTCTGTGTCATCGCCGATCAGGCTGGTAATCCAATGGGTGTATCTGTGGACCCTGGTGTAGACGCCGGGGAACCGGTGACGGGCGCAACCGATGCCCCAGCTCACTAGACCGATCAGAAACCAGCGTTTGTTATCCTGCAATGCCACAGACGAAAAAAATAATCAGTAAAATTAAACGGAAAAAATATGGTTGGAGCAATGACTTAAAGCCAACTTTTCAGTTCACCATCTCATTAGATGCCATTTTGAGAAAAAGTAAGGCTGTCACGAGCCAATATGGCCTATCAGGCCTGCGTTTATCTCCAGTTTCAGTGGCATGAAACGACTGAGAATATTTCTAGTCCCCCTGGATGGGATGCCAGTCCATCACAGGTTACTCCTCAGCTAATGCCGGTACCCATTTATACTCTTAGGTGGAGAAGAGGCAAGTTGGGGTGAAGTGGCTTGCCCAAGGACACAACATATGGCCAGCAGCTGGGTTCGAACCCCTGACCCTCTGATCATGAGTCACAAACGATAAACACTAGGCCACACGGCCCCCGAGTTAGCCCGAAGCAATTTGCAAACTTACTCTCACAGCAAAAGGGCTACCACTGTCCCCGAAACACGAGTCCCTAGCTGTGGGTCTGTCATCTGACATGGCACAGAACATCCTGTTGGTGATGACGTCTTGATGTCGATTATTGCAAGTCTGCTGATCCATGACCAATAGACGTACCTGTGTGGATTGAGAAGAAAAAAAACCCAGAAAATTCAGTGACTATAATTTTCCAACAGTGTCGTTTATTGACACTTATTTCTTCGTATGGAGATCGTGTCAAACAAGAAATACCCAACAACCCAGAAGAAAGCTTCATTGACAGCCTATACAGGGTCGTAAAAAAACCCGGAACCTCATATTTCCACTACCCTGAGACTCTGTCTAACCGCATAATTATACCAATGTATGGAGAATCTTTTTAGACGAAAAATGAAACCAAGATCCCCGATTCAGTCCAGTAGTTTCTGTTCTAGAGCCTATTTTGTGAAGCAAGGTGGGGGGGGGGGGTCATTTTTGTCCTGATGAATTACTAAACCGCACCCGGGAATTTGACTTACACTGTAATTGATAGAGGGACTGTTATCTAATAATACCCACATGAAAGAAGTGTGCTTCACAAAATAGGCTCTGCAGCAAACACTACTGGACCGAAACAGGATATTTTGGTATCATAATTCTTCTTAAAGGATTCTCCATCCATTGGTACAGGTGGTTGAGTCTCAAGGTAGTGGAAGTATGAGATTCCATATTTTTTGGACCACCCTGTATAACATCGATACATCATATAGCTCAGGAGAACCATATCATCAATTCAGGGAACACAAGAAAAGTCTTAGACAGAGAGACGATGCAATTTACAAGATGGGTGAAAGGGCAATTTGGATCTGACAGACCAAAAACACGAACAGGGACGCCGGATGAGGTTACATGCTGACTGTTTAATTCAGTATAGAACCAATGTCTGTCTTGTGACACATAACGACCAGACAAAAAAAATCTTCTGATAAAGGGGCAATGATGTTGTTTGAAACATCAGTAAACACTGCAAACATTGCATCCGGACAGTACATGTAAATACCTCCCCAATCCTAGAATGACAGGTTTTTTTCTAATGAAAGGAACCTTTAGTGCTAAGCTTACCCTTCTGAGGTACCTGGTAGTGGTTGTGGTTATCTCCGCAGTTCGTCCCCAGCCAGTGATGAAACCACGGGTTCGGGCTTGGAGCAGGTTCATCGCACGCATCTCACTAGGCAGGCAGACTGGCCAGAAAATGAACAATCAAAGTCTACAATCCATGAAATACAGTGTCTTACTAAACAAGTATCCTAATCGCAAAAAAATGAGGAGAGGCAAGATCGTTGGTCACTTTGTAATGCGAAAATTTATCCTTCCCTGTTATGTGATTGGTCGATCGAGTAACAATTATGCAAATGTTATGCGACAATGTAGCCTTCCCTTTTATGTGATGTCTCTAGTTAACATTTATGCAAATGTTATGCAACAATTTATCATTCCCTGTTATGTGATTGGTCTAGTTAACAATTACGCAATGTTATATTACAATTGATTAATGAGTAGTAAAGCGAGTGAGAAAAGGCCATAAAGGCACTATAGGTTAGTGCACATTGGCTAAAAGCACACGAACCAGCATCATCTACCGAAGTGTTCTAACAAATGATAACATACGCACTATTCTTTCCAGGCATAAATATTATAGACTTACTAGGAACAATGAAGTCTGTGTACGTGACTGGTTGTCTTAGTTTCAATAGCGCGATGTCGGAGTCGTAGGTATCCTTATCAAACTCTGGATTTACGATGAGTTGCTCCACCTGCAGGATTCGCTCAGTTCCTTCCTCCTGTTGGGAGGGGCAAAAGGTCAGTAAGGTCAAAGGTCATTGAGGTCAGGCACATGCCATTTTCAAAATTTTGGTTTAGTCTTGGCTTTGGCTTCATCTCAATTTGCAACAATTTCAAAGGAAAATATTAATATTGGAGAAAGATATAGACCAATTCAAGTGCAAATCCTTTTGTATAACGTTTTACATTTTCAGCGAACCTATCACTCCAAACACTCAAAAACCTGGCCATAACACCTTGGTGCAAGCCTAGCTCTAGAGGGGCTGACTGACTAGCTAGCTGGACATTGCACATTTGAAAAATGTGAGGGGGGGGAGGTGGGGGGAGGTAGGGGGGGGGTAGTGGTTTGGACTTAATTTGATGCCACAGGACACTCTTTTTCCCTCGGGAGAAAAGGGAATGCGTAGACAACGGCATCAACTTAAAAATAGTTATTTCCACTACTTTTGGGGTTTAATATTTTTTGTTTAAAATGCCATCAACATTTTTTAGGTGGGGTGGGGTAGCGTGGGTAGGTTGGATGGGTGGGGGGAGCAGAGAGGGTCAAAACGATGTTACTGATTTAAAAACATTTATCTTCACTTCTTTTTGAGTTTAATTAAAAGAAAACCAGCAACCAATTTGCATTTTTAGGGGGTAGATGAGACCCCTTTTGGCCCCCCTCCACTCAATCCTCGATACCCCAGAGCTACAAGTACAACACAAAATCCAACCCTGGGCAAGCTACAAACCTTGAACAGGTCGTACTCCCCGAGTCGGACCTCCATGTGTTCCTTGATGTCGTACTTGTAGCGAGCGAAGCAGTGCGCGGCCGTTATGACCCAGCGTTGGTTCAGCAGCACCCCGCCGCAGAAGTGGGTGTTCTCCTTGGTGTTCCACAACAGGGCCATCCAGGGGGCCTGGCCTTCTTCCGTCGTTTTCCCCCCGATGATTTTACCTCTGATCCGGGGGACGCCGCACTCGATGGGATCTGTGGGTGGTTCAGATGGGATCATAGGGTCACAAGCGAAGGGGGAGGGGTGCTAAACAACATTATTGTGATGGATCATAATCCATCACAAGTCCAGTCACAAGAGTCACAAGTCCAGTCACAAGAGTCACAAGGAATCACAAGTCCATTCACAGCTCCAGTCACAAGTAACAGTGGATGAACGATAACAAAGGAATGCCTTTGTCAAAGCTCATTTGAATAGCTTGTGAGTTGACTTGGGACTGGAGGACTTGTGATGGACTTGCAGGGACTTGTGATGGACTCGACAACATCCCTGGTCACAATTAAATCACAAGTCAACTCAAAAGTCTAGTCACAAGTAGCAGAGGATCAATTTTGATTAACAAAAGAGTGCCTCATAGTAAGTCAATCACAGATAAGGCCCAAAAAAATAGTTCTGCTTCCGATTATATGGCACTTGAAAATAGGGTAGGTAGGTAGGGAATTTTTTTAGCAATTTTTTTTAGGTAAGATCATATGGAGGCGTCTACGTGTAGTCAAGGGTACAATTTTAATTGATGGTTTTGGGTGTTTTTTTTCTCATTTTTTTTCATGAAAAAAAGTTAGGGTAGGGGCTGTCAGAATAGGGTAGGTAGGGAAACCGGAAGCACAGCTATGATTTTGGGTGGTTTTTTTGGCCTAATCACAAGTCAATCAGAAGTCAAATAGCAATTCAATCATAAGCCATCATCAGACATCAAATCACAAGTCATTCAAACATAATCATACATAATCACAAGTAATCACAAGTAATCACAAGTAATCATAAATCAACTATAGGTCAAATCACAAGTCAACTGTAAATCACAAATTAATCATTTGTCAATTACAAGCCAATAAGATTATATTTAGAATTTAACCTTTTTTCCTACAATTTTCCAATTTGATCTTTTAAAATTATCTTTCTTCTCTTATCCAGCACTGCCCATTAATAATTTTTTTGAGTGCTTAACTTTATTCTTTTATTCAAAAAGAGAAAGAAAAAAAGGAAATGTTTGAAATAACCTGAACAAACCATGACTCACAGCTACGTAGCGGGCGATCCTCGTCACTCGAGGGCGCCACATCCAAGAAAAACCTCGCCTGTATCATGTGATGATGTCGGATGGCTAGGCACATGAAATAGCCCCTGTCGCCGTACTGGGCATTTAAGACCAGGAGTCCCTCCCCTTTTATAATGTAGACACGCCCCTCGTGGTAGGCGTTTGACACTTCGATAGCTCTGTTGTCTTTCTGCCAGTCCAAATAAGTGGGACTTTCAATATAACAGTCTAGAAAGACATCGGTGTCAGTGGAGACAGTTATATTCTTGTCATAAATCTCCTCGCGAAATTCTGTGAAAAAAGTTAAAACATAAAAAGTTTGTTTATAAACATAGGGACACAAAACTGTTCTTCATCCAATTAATTAAATTACATCAACAAACAAGAACAGTAGTACTATAGCAGTATGCACATGTTTTATAATTGGAGTTCAACTATCTACACAGATGGTTGTCTTCAGATTTCAATCGTTACAAAAACAAGAATATCAAGTTGGAAATATTTCAATACAAAAAAGGCCTATTTCATTCTTTCCAGTAACAGCTATTGTCAATATTCTGTACCCTACATGTACAATTGCCTGCGTAGTATAAGGCACTACTCAGAAAAACAACAACAAAGAGTTTGCACTCAATAGCATCAGCAGGGTCAAGGTTGATGAGACAAAAACTTTGGTCTGTTTACAAAATTATGAAAATATCTCAATTCTTATGTACAGCAGTCACCAAAACTTAGTTAAGTTAGCAGTAGGAGGTAAATTGAAATACACACATGTGATAGTAAATACATTATTTTTGTTTGGTTGACTTCAATTTATTGAAATCGAAATGCAAAGACTAGGAAAACTGTGACAAGTTCGTAGGGTCAAATCTCAGCTGTTCACTCAGTCTTTTCTTTGTGGTTTGTTGAACCATGCGGTTGAACTGTTTAGTTTAGGGAGCCAAGCTAGTGTTATCTACAGCTACCGACCTTCTGTTTGGTACTGTGTTTGCACTTGTTCGTCTCCGTCTAAACTGCAAACTCTGCCCAAAGCTAGCACCAGCATCATCAGAAAGAATGACCGAAACAACCCCATGTTCATTTCGATTGCACGCGCCACTGCAGAACTTTCACTTGTTGCAGCGGGTGACAGAACGCTTACTGCAGCAGTTGAACAGTGCATGCATGCTCTAGTTAAGTTTTCTGTACACAAAAGTACCATCCATTGAATGCACACATGCTGATCAAAAGGTGGCGCGCTTTAACTTTATCAGTATGAGACCGAGTGGGCCGGACTGATAAAAAAAGAGGGGGGGGGGGGGATTTCCTTAAATTTTGTTCATGATTGGTAATCCTTACTTTTAGGACCCCGTTCCTATATAGGAAGGGAAAGATTCACCAAAACAGTTGACTAAATGACACTCAAAATTGACATTCTGATACTTCTTGGCACATCTGAACAATTGGCAATGACACCTTCTTGACTTCTAAAGACTGCTTTAGCCTGCAAAAGTCACTTTGGTACTGGACAGACATCTGCAAAAGTCAGTTTTGAACAGAACTCGTAAAAAATAGAGGTGTCCTAAAAGTAAGGATTACCTCATGATTGATGCGCTTGAAGTTCAATGACTTTAATATCATTTAATCGTGCATGCTTAAAAAAAATTGTTTTGTCTTCAGTTTTACTTTAACTATTTTAAAGTAATTTTGAAACTTTGGGGTTTTTTTTTTGGGGGGGGGGAGGGGGGTTGCTGCTTTCAATTGAGGTTCGACTTGAAGAGAAACATTGTCCAAAATAACTAACTTTAAGCTGTAAATGAAATGGTAATAACTACGGTAAAGTGTTGTTAGTAAAAACACTCTAAAGCAAAAAAGCAGATGATCGTGCAAACTCATTATTAGAAAGGCTTTTATTTTATGCAGCTTGCCAGAATGACAAAATTAAAATTATCACTTTGACAAAATTATCACGTTGTACAAAGTTAATCCAGTAAGCTTGGCATGGTGTAAACAATTTATGGTTGACAACATATTGTGGAACCCCCCCCCCCCCCCACCTAAAAAAAATTTCCCCTTACTATTTCTCATCACATAAACTATTTTATTCAAGTTTTCACTACTGCAATTTCTTTTTTCTTTCTTAGAAATGGGTACACAATAAAGTATTTCATATCCTAGTACTGGTTTTTAAAACGAAAAATGATCATGCAAGCAGATACAGTAAAACGCAGCTAAAAGGAACACGGTGGGGTCCACAGAAAGTGTTCGTTATAGTGGTCGTTCGTTATAGTGATTGTGCATTATAATAGAATTTACTATTTTGGGAGCCCATGGGGATGTTCGTTATAGCCAAATGTTTGTTATAGTGGTGTTTGTTTACAGCGGCGTTTCACTGTATTGTGCAAGTTCAAAGCACCAAATATTGTAATTTAAATCTTTCTTTTCCTATTTATGTTCATTATTATTCATTAATTTGATAACAGCCAATCAAACCAGCCGAAGGCAAGGGCCCCCTATCTCCCTGACATTTCCGAAGCTGATTGGAGATTAAGCCTTTTTTTTTAAAGATTTCTTTACGAAAGGTACCAAGTGTCACACTAAAATCTATCCTAGAATCAAAAAGGCAATTCATAATAAATTCACCAAATTGGCAAAAGCATGTTTTCGGAAATAATGCATACTGATTTACAAGAGTAAAAAATGTCCCGTTTTAATCAACTTATTACAAATGACCCATTTGTTGGAATTCATGCTACGCTTTACTGAACATTATTTGATGTATAAAGATTGACTTTACTTTCATTCTTGACAACCATAACGGGAATAAAATACTCTTGAAATGTTGCGTGACTGTACATGTAATTCCCATTTTCTAAAAACAATTATAACTTCAACGATTATTCTACAATTTAACCCCAAAAAACAGAAATTCCATACGGTTTAAAATTTTAACCATTTCATGTAAAGACTTCACTAATTTCAGCTACGACGTTTGTACAAAATATTTTCATTACCTGTCTTAGAAAATGAGTTTGTTTGAAGGCACTTTTAGCAAAATTAAGAGTTACAGAAGATTAATGAAGAAAAGGAATTGAAGTTCTAGGCCCTGTATGTTCCATTTCCGAGCAGTACAAATCTAGTCACCACAAAGAAATTTGTCTTCAAATCGGTATGTCCATTTCTCTCTCAATGCCGACATATTTCAGGGCATCTGTCGCACTGTACCTGTGGACAGGAAATTAAAACAAAAACATGGTGAGTTCACTTCATAGTCCATAATATATTTCTTGTAGATATTAATTTAAGAAATCTTGTGTTTTGTTTTATTTATCTGGGCTCCATGTCAGGAAACCATCGCTTTGAAATCACAAGTCGGATCTGGACGGTTTTTGTGCTTCTTTCAAAAATGTCAGAATTTCATGTTGCGCTTTTATTTTTTGAGGTGAATGAGAAAATCGGGAAGGAATTTCTGTGGCTCCATTGATTCAAAGTACTTCAGAAAATTTCTTGTTTCGCGCAGGCAACGTACTCCCAAGTACAGTCCGTTTTGCTTTTTTAAAGTTACTCTGACATTTGTTGGTCAAAACATACACATTTCACAAGTTCCCCATTTAAACATAGCCAAATGAAGTGGTGAGAGCCCCTTTAACCAGAGTTGAACTATTGACCCTGAAAATCCCAGCCAAACACCATCCCTCTGACAAGAACCACATGTTTGTGTAATAAAACCCTTATATGAGTCTTGCCAGCCTCACCACAGGACATGGATAATCAATCATCCTGTCAGCAAGACTAGTCAGCAAGCTCAAGTAACAACTGATTGCAGTCATCTGACCACTGCCATCGAATTTGCAGAAGAAATCTATAAAAGCTATAGAAATATCCCTAACTGAACTTTTTTGGGGTTAAATTGTCATAATTTTGGCACTCACCTGTAGTCGAAGAACAGTTCTTCGCCGGTTTGGATGGGCCTCTTGGCAAAGATTCCAATGCGGTGGTCACCGTTGACCATCATCACTATGAAGAAACAAAATGTAGGTGAAATAAATAAACGTTACCGAATACAGTAAAATCAAAACTTCCAAAAGAAAACCCGCTGCTTAGCTGAAAAAAACTTGGTTAGCAAATTTCATTGGTAAGCAAGTGTCAGCGGAGAACCGGTTGCGAGCAGCATGCAACCTGTGTCATTTTGGCAGGTGACCTGTTTTCGCTAAGCCAATATTTTCTGTGCATAGCAAATTTCTTTGCTCCATGAAAATGGTTCCAGAGCTCAAGTTTGTTGATCTGCTAACCAAGGAATTTTATGCTTACTATCACAATTCCATGCTTACACAGTCACACAGTGTTTATGCACTGTCCCTGTAAGCGTAGAATGAAAGTCCCAGAGTGTACCCACGTGAAAAGAGAAAAAAAAAATCATTAACAAAATTCATGAAATAATGTGAAATATGAGTTACCTTTTGCGTAGCAGTTTGGACTGTTGGAGTGGTTGGCGAAGCGTATCTTGTTCCCTTTGCGTGTGGCATCAACGACGAAATCTGGAAGAAAAAAAAAGACTTACATTTGTGAAAACGCTTTGTACATGTTAGATTATAGGGAAAGAAATGTCACGTTTTCATTTCAGATTTCAGATCAGGACTTCAGGCAATAATATTATCAAAACGGTTTCACAACAATCTTTTGGACAACCAATTTTTTTTTCTTTTCAAAAGACTGAACGAAAAGTCCCATCGGGTATAGACGAATCCGAGCACGTGATCCTGTACACCCTTGTGGCCCCCATCAATGGAGAAACCATGATGCACGTTATGACCTGTGATGGATTATCTAAACAATAGCTAGCACAATGCTTTTCGCCATTGATGGGGGCCTTCGTGACAGAATTGATAATGTGCCCGGTTTGGCCTATACACATGCTCGGCAAATGACATTCCTCAAAACAAGAATCGAACAACAAATGTTCTTGTCTTTATTGATTACTCACCATTGTTGAGGTTGAACAGGAAGCTGCACATGTACTTGTCGTAGACTTTGCCTCGTCTGTCCGCCTCATCTTGAGAAATAATCTGCAAGTCAAAGAGAAACAAAAAACCTGAAATCTCTTCCTAAAAGTGCTTTCTGCTCTATTTCACAAAAGAATGTGTACCATACGACCTGTATGACTATAGAATATGGACTCCTAATTCAAAAAAATAAACTGAACTACGAATGTTTGCTTCATTCGTAGAACCTTGGTCATCCATGGCCCAAACAAAGACAATCGTGGCATTAACGTCATTATTCTTAGTAATACCGTCCATATTCTTAAACAATCCGTCCATAGTCTTGAAAAACTGTGGTGTATTCGTAAAGAAACATTAGGACAGTCGTGGCTATCCGTCCTGAAACCGTAGTGCATTTTTAGAAAGTCGATTTCTCCACGAATCTTGACGGTTCATCGTGATCGAGTGATTCTTGGTAAATCGTGGATATTTGCAGCTCCAACCGTGAATGTGAGACTGGGGCTTAACACATATGCTCTTTTTTGTCCAACTAGGAATTGCAGTGCAAAATTCTGTTGTGAACAAGCACTGGGCTAAGGACTGAGGAATACACATTTAAAATGTAATTCTGGTTTTGAAATTTAGGTAAGTTGTTCTGTAATATTGTTTGCTTAAACACAGTCAGAAAATTGATCCTGTAAGTAAATGAGTACCGACCTCCCCACAGTACTCCGATATAAACTCGTTCTTCTGAGCCGACTGTTTGATGAAGATCCCCCAGCCAGCAACGTCGGACGGAGCCAGTAGTAGATGCTACCAAACAAGACAAGAACAATCAACAAAATTACAAAAATGATTCAAAACATCAAAAGAACAATTTAGTTTTTCAAACTTGACTGGTTTATCAGGATATTTGGTGTGTTCAGAGAGCAATGTTTTCAAGAAAGAGGTGATAAAAATCCCCAATGGGAAAAAAATTGCAATTTCATTCTGGTTGAAGTAAAAAGAGTTCAAAATGTCCTTGAACACTTCCAAAAAAAGTTTTAAAATCCTAAAGTAATTTCCAAATTTTTTTTCAGCATTTTGGTTCATAAAAACACGGTATTTAATTGACAATGTAAATGATATTGAGGAAATTCGTAATAACGGGCGATCAATTCGTAATTCGGAATACAGCTTGTATTTTCGTAATGATTACGCCGAATTCAGAAAGGTTGGCAGGTATACGTTTCATGCCATTGAAATTCTCTCAATACAACTACTGGACAGAATTGGCAGGGCCTAGTTTCAAATAACTAGCAGAAGCAGAAACACAAGGAAGCGGCAAAACACTAGAATTATTTCTTAAGCAAACAAAAAAGGTCACTAGCCAATGTATAGTGCTTGTTACCTGGTTCTCACCGGAATTTGTGCTCTTTTTTTGCACAAGTTGCCCTTTGGAGGTCAAAGTTTCGTTGCGGTCTTACCTTTTTCCAGCCTCGTTGTAGACTCACATTCTTGCAAGAAATACTATCACTGTCAGCCTTCTCAAAGAAGTTGCCTGAATCATTGAAATGAAAACACAAGCACAGACGCAAAAATCATGCATTCTAAATACTCTGAGGCTAGATCAGACAAGCTCTGGGCATCTCAACCATTCAAGTTTGACTTTGAAGCGCCAACCCGCATTTGCATGCCCTCATATAATTTCAACCAGAGTTTATACGAAGATCTGATGAGAGAGGCCTACAAAGGCCTAAAATCAGAAGAGGACCTGTAAGTACCTGTAAATAGGACAAGTTGTTCTTTACTGAAATACTTTTGACACAATGCTCTATCCGTTCATGTACTTTATCCATCCCCAGAGGAAAAAAGATCTCTAAACCAGTTATTTCAGAATCAGTTCTTCTTAGCATAGACTTGAATAGAATATAACTTGACTCGGCACTAGACGACTTGTGAGGACCTGTAAGGACTTGCGAGGTCTTGTAGGGGCTCGAAGGAACTTGTACGGACTGTTAAGACTTGTGGGGACTTCAAGGGACTTGTAAGGACTTGTGAGGACTTGCAGGGACTTTTGAATAATTGTGAAGATCTATGAGGACTCGTGAGGATTTGTGGGGACTTGTGAGAACTTATGCAGACTTGTGGGGACTTGTGAAGACTTGTGAGGACTTACAGAGACTTGTCAATAACTGTGTACATATGCGGTGTTGTAAACAGTTGTGAAGACTTGAGGGGATTTGTGAGGACTTATTAGTATTTGTGGGGACATGACAGGACTTGTGAGGACTTGTGGGGACTTAAGAGGACTCAGGAGGGCTTGTGAGGTTTTGTGAGGATTTATGAGGTTTTATGGGGACTAGTCAGAGCTTTGTTTATACTTACTAGCGCCACATGTACCACACAGGTCCGGGTCACACTCTCTGACCGCCAGGTAGCACGGACATTGCTTGGTGTTGCACTGGGCCTTGCAACGACATCCTGGGAAACGATTCTGACCTACAACAGGACAAAATAGAACAGAATTAAACACAAGCCGGGCACCAAAACCGGAAAAGCTCAAAGGTAACATATGAGTTCGGAGCAGACACTGGCTGGCCAACAGGGCCTCATTCATGAACCTGCTTAGCTGAAAATAATGCAAATTTATCAGAGTGCAGAGTACCAGTCGATGTCAGTGTATTTCATTTGACATTTTGGCTGGTAACACCTTTTTGCTGAGCAAATAGCTTTTATGCTTAGCACACTTGTGTTTTTCCTTGCTGTTTTTATCAATGCGTGAGCACTGTTCTCTCTCAGGCTCCCGCATTCAATGAGAAGTACAGATGGGGGAAAAAACAGTCAGTTTTTTGTTACAGAAGGTCAAATCTGAAGGTTAGTTCTGAGGAAACCCGTGTGCAATCCACACGCTGCACCTGGCAGGATTCGAACCAGTGTCCCTAGGGAGGCCAGGGGAATACTACTGAACGAACCTGTTCACGGTTTCATTGGGATATGGTGCACAATTGTTCACCGCTGTCTTGTGCACTTTCTATTGGAAATTGACAGACAACATAATCATCAAGTTTCATTGTTGCCAAACAAATGTTCATTCACACAAATAGAAAAAGTGCTATAAACAAATCAACCGACCACAATTAGAAGCCATTGCAGATAGGGCTGTGCATCGGAACCGGGTACCCAAGTACCCGGTTGCTGATGTTGGGAACTGGTTCCATAGTTACGGATTGGGTACCCGTAACCAACTTTACAAATAACTTAGTAACTTCTCAGACAATGAAACAGAAAGGTTTTGAATGTCATTTGAGGAGAGTTTTCAATATGAAAACCAGGCAACATGGGAAAACAAAACAGATGGCATGTTTATGACGCTTGTGAAAGTTGCAGTTTTGACAATAAAGGCCAAGTTTGCGCAAGGACTATAGTTGACCAATGGTTAACTAACGTTTGCCCGAACTCTGTCTAGTCGACGGTGGTGGACTACGCTAGTCGACTATTTGGAACCAGCCTACTGGGGTTGGTTGCTTCGCTGGTAACCAATAGCCGCGCGCATTCATAACGCTAGCAGAGAGCCAGGATCCAGAAGTTTTGCGATAACATTTTGACCAGCGTGTGACTAGAGACGTTCGCACGTTGCTATCAGTGCGCAGGCGTAAGGTACGTCACAAATCAACCACTAGTCGACTAATGGTCCTTGCTTGAACTTGGCCAAAGCTATAAAGCTCACTGTACACACATGAAGTGCTGCATTGACGCACCGATGTGGTAGTATTATCGCACAGACCTTATTAACAATTTGAACACAAACTTCCAAGATTTGAATTTTGGGGTTAGGTTTCTTTAATGGGTATCCAAATACCCGTGTTTTTTTCAATGGGATACCTGGTTCCCGTACTACCCATAAATGCACACCCCTAGTTACGGAGATGCACCATGCTCATGCGCAGTTTATATCCGTGTCCTCAATGCTCCTTTAAACAATGGGCTCTCTGCAAGAACAATAGAGGGCGCTTTTTGGCCACTTTCCATGTGGACATGGACTGGTTCGCGTGCGTATAGCATGAATTCTATTCCGAGTGTGCACAAAAGCCATAGCGTCTTCCCGTGAGAATCAGGCGTCATCGGCAAGCTTTTGAATGTCGCCCCCTAATGGTCTCCGAAAAACTCCCACCCCCAACTCTCCCGTTCGTAAGGTTATCGCATCAATTTTCATCAACAAATGTTGAAATCAGCCTTGGGGAAATGTAAATTTGAAGGCTTGTACTTACAGTCGGAGCTGCACTGGCAGAACTTCTCACAGAAGTTTTGGAGCATGATGCAGCTGCACTCGGTATCGCAGGGCTTGCCTGGGTGGTCACAGGGCTGGTAGTTGTAGACGTGACTGGCCGTGGAGTCTGCGAGGATTGGGAAATTGCTTGGAATGTAACCAACTAAATATCTAAGCCTGCTTAGAGCTAGTCTTTATGAATGGGTCACATGATTTGGAGTGCCGTGGCCTTGTGGTCTGGAGATTAGAATTTGTGATCTGCGGGTTATTCTGCAGCTTGTGGTTCGAGTCCAGCCTGGGGTTACGGTGCGTGTGCCCTTGAGCAAGGCACTTTGTCACTCATTGCTTCTCTCCACCCAGGAGTAGATGGGTACCTGTGAGGGCAGTGTTGGTATATTGTGGTTGATTTAAGTTGCTTTGCGCTAAAATGGTAGCATCGAGCTGTATACTCCCCAGGGAGCTGAGATGGTCTTTGGAATGTTTCATTGGCCCAATGAGCAAGGTTAATAATGATGTAGCGTCTTGAGCACCAATACTGGTGGATACGTGCACCTTATAAATACAAATTATTACAGTTTAAGGTTTTTAACATATTATGTTGAAGAGAATTCCTTCAAGAATGTAGCTTAAGATCATTAAAAGGTAAAACAGAGTTTGATGATTGAGAGGAGACACTACGATGTCTATAAAACTTTTTTTTAGTTGAACAAAGAAATTGACTGGAGTGAAGTTTGAGCCTGCTACCGCTAGATTGCTGTTCCGGTGCTCTACCAACTGAGCTATCCAGCCCTATGTTAGCGGTGCCCCATTTTGTCAATATCTTTGTTCAAGGGCGCTAGTCAGAAGCCAAAAAAAAAAACGTCAATGCTTTGTTCACCTTTACCTTTCTTGAGTTGTATCTTCCTACAGTGCATCGACCACATTCTGTAAGAAGCAAAACAAATATATGGATAAGTTAACAGCATTCCGTGGAAAAGTAAAACGAGGCTAACTAATATGCAAAAGAGTTTAAAATCAAGGTGGTCTCATCTTGGCTGCTTTGAATTGGGTGAAGAAGTCCAAAATAATAATAATTTGGGAGGCTAATCATCCTTACTCGCAGCTGGTATGCTGAATTGCGAAGGACACGGCTACAATGTGGTCGGGCCGCTGGCACGTAGAGGCGCCTATGGCTGCCGGCCACATCGACCCATATATGACCACAGAGCACAGCCCGAGATCGAAAGTGTTTGATTTTTCCGGAGGGAGGAAAACCGGAGGGCCCGGAGAAAAACCCTCGTGGCACAGGAGAGAACCAATGCACAACTCTACTCACATGCCATCCGCGGCCAGGATTCGAACCGTGGTCACCTTGGTGAGAGGCGAGCGCTTTACGCACAAGCCACCCATGCCATCCGAAATAAGGTCCAAACATTAATATGCCTACATGACCCCTGCTGACATCAAACACCCCCCCCCCCCCATCTTTCAAATTTGTGGTCCTTGCATTACCTCTGTTTCCTTTTCTTCTTCCTTGGAGGTGTAGGGTTTCGCTCCGGGGGCAGTTCCACAATCTCACCTTCCTTCAGTGCGAACTCACAAACCTGGCAGAAATTTTAAAAAATAAATAAATACAGTACAGATATGGCAAGTGAATATATCCCGTAAAGGTTCTTTTTTTAGAAATTGTTGGTTTCATTACAAGAAATAAACTACACTATAATAAAAAAACTTCAGAAATTTGGTAATAATTTTTTTTCTTTCTTCCATCAAATGTTCATACTCAACCTCCTCATTTCCACCCTTTTCAGCTCAAAAAGATGGTAACTCCTTGTTTAAATTCAATTTTTGAAACCGTGGCTTTGTTTCCTCAATTTGGCTTCAAGACATTTTAGGCCCATGATTTTTAGTTTTCCATCTCGGTACAGGCCTATGATCTACTTCAAAAATATAAAATTGTATACTGCGGCCAAAGTTTGGAGAACCTTAATTTTGGTTGGACTTCTGGTTCTGAATGATTCCGAAGCCAGACTTGAAGCCAATGCTAGAGACAGAGAGGCGAATTCGTAAACGCCAAACACTTCCTCAGTACCTGTCTACATGTCTTTGTTTTCAGGAGCAGAGCAATGGTGCAGTAATTGTTGAACCAAACCCCTCTGAGAACCCTGAATAGGGAGGCGTCCGACCCACTCCACTCACACCCTGAATCGGTGGTGATGATCGGCTTGGCGTCGGGGGAAGACTTCTGGGCTGCTACAAGAGAAGACAGAAATGGATACATCAATCGTACATCTTGGAGTCCGCTTGCAAGTACCTCCTGAACAGTGAAAATGCTAAACACAGAATTTCACGCTTACGATCACCATTTTATGCTAACAGTGCTAGCTGAAAAATTCCGCGCTAACCCTGTAAGCACAGAATCCTTAGTTACGAGTTGTACGCATGCGCAGAAGCCAAAGTTCCTCACTAACCCGGAAATACGCTTACCGTAAGCACGGAAATTTCTGCTATAGTAAACAGGGATTTTTTGCTGACGGTAAACAGAGCCATGAAATTGGATCCTGATATTAAGGGACATTTGAACGCAATTGTCGCAGTGCACATCCATGCTCAGGTGAGCTTATCTCAGATACAACGCAGGCTTTTGCAAATCTTTGTTAAAAAACTTGTCTTGTACACTTGTGTCGATCCAAAATTTTCCAATTTGCAGATCCAAAATTTTGGAAGGAATTTAGAAAAAAGTGTGACGACAATGGCCCTGTTAGGAATCGCTGCACGCAGTTTGCAACCAAAATATTAATTCCATTTAGGCCTAATTGATCACAATCAAAATTGTTTATCTAATCTGAAAATAAAGATGTAATCAGGGTTCCAAGGAAATTCCCGACAAACGACTCATTTAGCTTGATTGCATCACATATTTGTAAAACTTTTTTCCACCACTTCACAGAATGGGCTATCAAACTGAACAGTGAGATTTAGGCGACCGTCCACCTGCCAACACTAACCTGGGTGAATCTTCTCTGGAGTGCTTTCATTTTCTTGACCCGTCTTCATTTTTTTCGTGGGCGTTTCTTCGTCGGACCGTGACATGTGCCTCCTGGTAGCTGTGCGATTCTTTTCTGGGGTGCTGGGCGGGCTCATAACCGGCTCCTTGGGCTGAAATGTATCAAAGAAAAATTCCAAACTTTTTGAGGTACCAATTTTGGTTTTTGTTGTGATAATTTTGTTTAGCGTGAGATACTGCAGCAAGACTTAAACATGCATAAGCGAAGTTGGCCAGTGGTCGATTCTTGATGTAAGTTCATCTTGTGGGCTAATATCAACATGATGATTAAGCCAGTGTGTGTATGCAATGTGTCCCATACTTGTATGATTCATGCATACAGGGTAAGTAAAAAAAAACCGAAAGGTTCTGTCCACGGATCACAAAAAGTTCAGTGTTCTTTCAGCAAAACGAAAACAAATCACATTAGGATGTGTGTGAATTGTGTTTGTTTTGCTGAAAGAACGCACACCTTTTTTGTGATCCGTGGACAGAACTTTAAAATGGTGGTTGTGTTTAAAACTCCGTAACTTGAAAAGTACATGAGTGATTTGAATGATTCTTGTACTAAAAGAAAGCTTATGAATTTGGCTTTCATATCCTAGATTTTGAAAGTGCTACATGCAGAGCTTCACTAAAACAATGGTCCCGATATTGGGTTTCGTTATTTTTTACTCACCCGGCATGTTACTAGGATGACAGTGGGTTTTGGCTCCAGGACCGAAAAAATATTGCCAAGATCATAATACACCATACATACTCGCGTCGCAATACCACACACGTATTACCACACACAAAACTGTATTGCGCTAGCATAGCAATCATCCTGGAGCAGCATATGCACAACGATCCGAGACTCGCACATCAGTACACTTGGCTTTTAAACAATCGTTCGCCGTACAATATGAATGCGGTGAGTTTACGCATAAAACCTACCCATGATTGATCGAGTGCACTTGGTACGAGTCTAGCGCATAACCAATTTTATCACTGGATCATGAGCTACTCATCAAACGATGCACAACAAATTTTCCTATTGGCTGAATGACATGTAGCCAGGTTTATTTTTAAGTTTTTATCCACGCATGCAACGTGAACACTTATTTTCCGACCTGCGACGTGATGGAATGCCAGAGTTTTTATCCAAAAAAAACATGAAAAAGCTAGAAAGGAACTTGCAGGGTTGGGTTAGAGCGCCCTCACTAGACTCTCTTTAGTGAGTCAAAAAGAGCCCTCTATGAATCATGCACACAGCCAAAAGCAAACATTGTAGGATACGGACCTGTATCATGAAGCAGTCCGGCCCGCATGGCTCTGTCTCCTGGCGGATCTCGGACGTCTTTGGTTTCGTCTGACTCGGTGTCGGGTGGTAAGCTGAAAGACAGAGAGTACAAGTTGTGAATAAAAAAAAATATTTGGAAAACCTAAGCCCTTGCATTTTTGACAGCAAATTTTTGTGTTGTTCTAGAAACAACTGATAACACCCAATGGCACATTCCAGTGCCATTGCCTCGTGGTATGGAGTATTGAACTCATGGTCTGTGGGTATAAATTGTGCAGAATGTGGGTTCGAGTCCAGCCCAGGGTTATGGTGCGTGTGCCCTTGGGCAAGGCACTTTGTCACTCATTGCTTCTCCCCACCCAGGAGTAAATGGGTACCTGTGAGGGCAGAAATGGTTATTGTGGTTAGTTTTAGCTGCTGTGCGCCAAAATGGCAGCATCGAGCTGTATACTCCCCAGGGAGCTGAGATTGTCTTTGGAATGTTTCATTGGCCCAATGAGCAGAATAATAATGATGTAGCGCCTTGAGCACCAATGCTGGTGGATACATACACTTTATAAACACACATTATTATAATTGTTTATATTTAACAACATAATTGGGACATCAGTTACTAAGTGCCGAGGTTCTGGGCTTTGGATTCCAACAAAATACTGCAAAATTTAATCAGATTTAGGGATCTCAATATTAATAACATCAATATCTACCCAAAAAATGAAGATTTGAGTACTTACGGTGGAGAAAACAATCGTACTTGAAACATCTGCGACAGAAGAGGGTGTGGAAGGAATGCATGGTCTGCTCACGAGGGACTGATTTGGCCGTAGGACCATCAATGTTGGGAGTACACTCCAACACAACCTCGCTGGAATTCTGCTTCTCTTGTAAGTTACGATACCTGGATTTTGAAAAACCATCAAGGCTTACTTTTGCTACAACCAAAACTTCAGACTTGTGGTCTACAGATTACACTAAACAAAACAGTATAAGCTGCGACTCATGTTGACCAAAATCAAGTTTTGTTTAAGAGAGGCGAATTTCTTGTATTGATTTTCCTTTGACTAGGCTCTGCAGTCGTTTAAAAAAAATGCAATGTCGAGCTTTCAAAATTGGGAAAACAGGAATGCCAGTCGTTCCCAATAGTGAATGCGGTTGCCATCTTATAACACTGTTGCCATTTTGTGAATGTTGTTCCCAATTGGGAATATTGTTACAATTTGGCATGCTGTTGTTTCCTTTTGGGAATGTTATTCTCACTTGGGAAAGTCGTTCCCATTTTGTGAATGTTGTTCTCATTTGGGAATGTTGTTACCATTTTGTGAATGTTGTTCCCATTTGGGAATGTTGTTACAATTTAGCATGCTGTTGTTTCCTTTTGGGAATGTTATTCTCACTTGGGAAAGTCGTTCCCATTTTGTGAATGTTGTTACCATTTGGGAATGTTGTTCCCATTTGGGAATATTGTTACAATTTGGCATGCTGTTGTTTCCTTTTGGGAATGTTATTCTCACTTGGGAAAGTCGTTCCCATTTTGTGAATGTTGTTCTCATTTGGGAATGTTGTTACAATTTAGCATGCTGTTGTTCCCTTTTGGGAATGTTATTCTCACTTGGGAAAGTCGTTCCCAATTTGTGAATGTTGTTCTCATTTGGGAATGTTGTTACCATTTTGTGAATGTTGTTCCCATTTGGGAATGTTGTTACAATTTAGCATGCTGTTGTTCCCTTTTGGGAATGTTATTCCCATTTGGGAAAGTCGTTCCCAATTTGTGAATGTTGTTCTCATTTGGGAATGTTGTTACCATTTTGTGAATGTTGTTCCCATTTGGGAATGTTGTTACAATTTAGCATGCTGTTGTTCCCTTTTGGGAATGTTATTCTCACTTGGGAAAGTCGTTCCCAATTTGTGAATGTTGTTCTCATTTGGGAATGTTGTTACCATTTTGTGAATGTTGTTCCCATTTGGGAATGTTGTTACAATTTAGCATGCTGTTGTTCCCTTTTGGGAATGTTATTCCCATTTGGGACAGTCGTTCCCATTTGGGACTGCTGTTCCCATTTGGTAATGTTCCCATTTTGGAATGTCGTTCCCATTTTGGAATGTCGTTCCCATTTAGGAATGTCGTTCCCATTTTGGAATGTTTGCCCATTTGGGAATGCTGTTCCCAATTAGGCATGTTGTTCCCATTTTGGAACGATCTACACACAAAAAATCATCTTCTTAAAATTAGATGTTTTCCTCTCATTTTCTTTCTTTATTACAACATAGTCTTCACCTTTGTCTAAGATCTTCTGTTTTGCCCTTGTCTGGGAACTGGCTAGCTATGGCAGCAAAGACATTGTCCGAGGGAAATCCTTTCGGCTCCTCCTCTGAATAAAAAAAAAGAGAGTTAGAAATACTTGTAAGATGGTGTCAACTGGCTGACAGAATTTGCTAACACTCCAGTGCAGGCAATGTACTAAAGAGTGCAGTCTAAGTCTTTAATTCCTCAAACATTTCTTGATTTAAAAAAAAAAAAAAATCCACAAGTTCCTCATTCAAACATAGCCAAGTAAAGTGGTGAGAGCCCCTTTAACCAGAGTTGAACTGTTGACCCTGAAAATCCTAGCCAAACCCCAGCCCTCTGACAAGAACCACATTTTGTGCAATAAAATCCTCATATGAGTCTTGCCAGCCTCACCACAGGGCATGGATAATCAATCATCCTATCAACAAGTCTTGTCAGCAAGCTCAAGTAATGGCTGTTTGCAGTTTTCTGACCACTTTACAACCTAAATTTGATAAGGAGCAAATAGTTAACAAATTTGGACCCCATTTGTAACGTGTACTACAAACTGTAGTAAGGTCCTGAAATCATGTGTGGAAAATGTCATATGTGTGGAAAATGTCATACTAACGCCGAAGGTTCATTTAAGGGTTTTATAAAACTGATTAAACTCCTAAGCACTGAGTTGTAAACCTTTCCTACAATGATTCTAATGAAACAAAACTCGCATTCCAGCTTCATAAATTCATCTTTAAGATGTCATTTTGGCTTACCAGCTTTGTCCAGGATCCCCAGTTCAACTTGTTCAGCAACGGCCACGCTTTTGACAAGCGTAATGAAGGCATCGTCATCGATAAAACCACATTCTGAGGAAAACAAACAACGAACATCAGTTAACATATTTACCCATTAATACCAGTAATACATTGTATTACATTGAATGAATTCCCTGATTAATACAAAAACCATGCAGTACTGGTAGTTTTGGGCGATATACGGAGTAACTGGTAGGGCAGTTTGGGGCGGTACAGATACTAATGAGTTAACAAAAACAAATTCAAATCTTTCAGAGTACTAAGAAATTAACCTTGCAAGGAACCTCCTTGCAACCTTCAAAAATCCACTACACTTCAGAAAAACAATGACTTTTATCTATGCACTCTTACATGTCAAGGAGCATCGAGCTACATGTCAAATAAAACTGTGTGGGCTTGACTTTCCTAAATTTTCAAAAACCTCCGTGTCAATTTTGAAGATCCTGGGAGCATTCAGCAGGGATGTGATTTTCTACAAGATGCCATTCTCTACAAAGTTAGGCAAAGTTTTCAGATTCAAAAAGTCTGAAGTTTTGATTAATCCCACCTTTCTCCCCGTGGACTTTTCCGTCGTAGTTTTTGATGAGTTCTTCGATGAACGAACCGTCTTGTTCCAGCACCTCATCTCCCATGTACGGGATATTGTGGAGAACTGTCTCATCGTCAACCTGAAAAGAACATGAAAATATTAAATTAACCGACAGATATTATAGCCTGACGAACTGAATTATTGCTTTTTACTGTTTTGCTTCACTATATATGTCTATCAAAAGGAGATTGTCGTCGACTTTACAGAGACTGTTGTCAACGCATCAAAATCAAGCCTTGTGCGGACAGCTGGTAATATTCCCAATTGTCAAGTGTTGACTGTAGATTGTAAGTTTTAAGTCCACAGCGGTAAGTTTTACAGGGCCAACTGGATTGCGTAAGAATTAAATTGCTAGTTTTACATCACTGAGAAATCCCATGCGGACAGCCACTGCTATGTAAAACTAACTTATGACCACGTGGGTCTGTGTAGGTCACCTATATTGACCTCTGTAATTCGCATGCCTAGGCCTACATACTTTGAGATTCTTCCATAATTCTGCTGTGTTCTGTGATATTATTTGGCGTCTTTTTCCACAACCACATCCAGTGTTAGGTTAACATTTCCAAAATTCTTAGAGAGCACGGTACGGTACAGTTTAAACAACGAAGGACTTTCTGCAATCCTTTACAAAATAAAGTACAATGCCAACGCTTCTTAAGAAGATTTGCACTTGTTGCGAATGCCTACAAAAATGCAAATTTGTGTCTTAAGTATTTCAACTCTGGCGAAATGCTGAACACATTTCAACTCGTGTGAATTTCACCAAGAAATTTTTAAATTTCAAGTTTGTTTCGTATTTATGTGAAGTAATATTTTAAATACAACGGGAATTCAGAACTTACCATGAAGTTTTGTTGGAGTGGTTCCCAAGTATAGACCCATGGAACGGATGTGATTGCATTGAGGGTATACAGGGGACCAGTCTGCATTGGCCCTTCATTGCTGACCTCAACAGAGCACTGAAATAAAAATATTCAATGCAATATAAATTTTGGAATAAAAGAGAAATATCCAATACCTTAAACATGTTAAGAAGTTTTTCATAGACTTTTCAATAAAATATTCAATATTAGGTATTCTTGCAATTCGCTCTTTTCACACTTCCGCCATGGGCATGCAGAGCCTTGATCTGCCAACTTTACACAATAAATATATCCGGTTCAGTGATTCCGTGACGGGGTTCAGATCACTGAACCGGCTATTTTTAATGTGTTAAGTTGCCAGATCGAGGCTCTGCGTGCCCAATGGCGGAGTGTGAAAAGAGCGAATATGCAACTCGTGAATATTTGAAACCAAGACAAACCTTTCTGATGACCGGTAGTTGGTCAAACGATGCCACAGTGTGGATGGATTGGAACGGACCTTCGCGCCATGTACGGTTATTACACTGAGTGCTCTCTGCTATGTGGACGCGATTCCGGCACCAAATTGTCTGATGAAGAATTAGACAAAACATTCATTAAATTCAGCTCAAGCAGAATTAGAACATAACTGCCACGCTTACCAAAAGGGGATCTGCGCATAAGTACCCTCCCCTCCAATGGTTAGTGAATATCATGTGGAAAAAAGGGAAGAATGTTGCAACCTGACGCCACTTCAGCAGTTCTGTACAAAGTCTACGGAGAGGCAAGAACATTTTCTAAGTATTTCCTAACAAAATTGGAAATGTTTCTCGGACCCAGATTCAGGTCTTATCATCATTTTTGCAATGACTGAACTTCACTGAGATGCTATATGAAGAATAAAGCAGTGTCAGGTTGCAACATTATTTCCGAAAAAGAAAGCCGATTTCGATTTCTTAAATTCGTCTTTTTCACATATGCTGCTACCACTTGTGTGTGACTCACAATACGGGAGAAGTCCAGTATTTGAGCCACATTTATGGGGCCAATTCCCCCCCCCCCCTCATTATTTGATCCTCACTCTGACTGTATCCGCTCTCTTGAACCGTTTCAGCTGGCGTAACCTCATGTACTCCGATTTGACCTTGCGTTTCAGGTCAAAGGGCGGTTTGCCTGACGATTTCTCTGGGGTGGACGTAGATGACCGTGTACCGGGAGGGCTGATTGATGACATCGTGGATTGGCCGTCTGAGGCAAAGATCAAGCATATTTCAAATGAGTGCCATTAATTTAATTTCGAGGTGTATTAACATGTAGCCCCACTTGTGTGGCCTCCGTACTGCTGCACTGTACGTTAGGCCACACATCTGGTGGGCCAACCTACTGAGGAGTTTAGTCTGAATTTGACGCATATGGACTCCAGAAAGATGTCTAAATTTCGCGAAAAATTTGAAGAAGATTGCCTAATCTACAGAGAGGGCAAATGATGAGAAATCAAAGAATACAACCACACACAGTGGTATGTAAAAAAAAAAGTATCAAAAAAGGGTGTGCCAGAGTTTGGACTAAACTCCTCAGTAGGTTGGAAAACCAGATGTGTGGCCTAAGGTACAGCGCAGCAATACGGAGGCCACACAAGTGGGGCTAATTTTGTAATTAACACGCAATTTAAACACAACTTAATTATTTGCCAATATCTTCTTCTATTTCTGATGTAGGCTAGGCCCGCCTAGGCCTACTTTGCAGAAATCAATGGAACTATTTCTACTAACTATGCCAAGATGCAAGAACAGTTAAACTTTAAGTTTAAACAGTTAAACTTTAAGTTTAACTTAACATGGTTATAGAATTGCCATTAGGCTACATGATTATTACAGGTCAACTGAGCATAATATTAATAGATAGGTCATAATATCATATTGCCAATATTGGCTTGCACCCCCCCCCCCCAATCAAAATTCTCTCTGTCCCTCTGAGTTGACAATCAATGACATTCATTGTCAGAATTCAAAATCAGTGACTGTTAATAGGAAAACAGCCTCGATCCAGCATGTCCAGTCAGTCTAATACACCATATATTTATGGTGTACAGTCAGATACTGATAAAATAGGAGGCATACTGTTTTGTAAATACATGTCCGGATAATGGGCAAGCAATCATGGAAGTGCACTGAATTAATTCTTTCAAAACAAACAAACAGAACATTATAGTCACCGTCAGATTGTTGACCTGTTTTCCAACCGATTTTTCACCTTTTTTCACATGAATTAAATACAATTACAGACACAACCCTTAAAATTTACATCGATGTTTCGAATGAACAGATATTTGATTTTACCTTATCTTTAAAACAATTCCAAAATCTCACCGGAAAAAAACCAGCTCGGACCAACTATTCAACAAAACTTACAAAGGCGCGAATTTCAATGCATGATGGGACGGCTGAAAACTTGTCCGCCGATAGAGGGCGTGCTTTCAGTTTTTTGGTCATTAATTGGGGTTCGGGGTCCTCATATCATATTTTTTTTAATTAACTAATCATAAATAAAATACGGCAATGGAGGCATTTTGATAATTACACAGCTTTATTTTGTTTTATTAAAAGGTTACGATTTCGGTTAAATAAAAAAGTAATGCAGACGCCCAAAATTAAAAAAAACATTTTTGGGGGGTAACATTCGGGAGAGCGGAAAAATAGAATTTGTTGAAGAAAAAGTCAAGACATAGCTTTTATTTCTTTGAGAAAAATCAAGACGGTCATCGAAGTGAGATTGTTGAGATTAGGTTGGATTAGGAACCAGCACTAGGCGGGAAGGACAAATTTGACATAATTCATCAGGGGCAACCTAGCTTTCAGAAAACGGGGCCGGGGGGGGGGGGGGGGGGGGCGGTATATGGGGGGGGGTCCGGGTATTATGTCCCAAGAAAATTTTGAAATCTACGATGCTATCTACTGCATTTTAAGGCAATTTGGTTATTCATTATTTTTAGCCCAAATTTGCAAGTTTCATGATAACATTAGTCAGGGACTGAATATAATTTACATGGGGCGTGACTTTTCAGTGCCCGGAAAATTTAAGGGTCTGTCATACATGTACTTGTCATTTAAGCTGTGGACAAAAATCATGCCTTTTGCCTTAAAATGTTTTGGATTGCATACTTATTCCCCAGCATGCATGATTGATATTTTGAGTTCAAGTTATACATCTATGTATACAGAAAAAAAAATAATACACACAGGGAAAATGGGGTACAAATTACTGGGGCAAAGAACTTTATTTCAAGGTTTATAGGCCTATGCCTACAAAATGATACACTGGGGTCGCATTGATTGAAAAGTACTTTGCACCATATCAGATATTAACCATATACATGTGGCATGGTCCGCCTTCCATTCTGATGTCACACAGTTGAGGATTGCCTTAGCAACCGTAGGAGCAGTGAATGGCAAGGCCCGTGCACAAAATGAACTGCAGAAAAAAGGCGTTCATGAAAGACTCAATTTCTATAGATTTTTTCTCGGTCATGGTGTGTTTAATCGGCCTTCATGTCATTGTAGTGATGGCGGTATATTTTCGGCTTGGCACCATTAATTGTTGTTCGTTGCAAGAAAAGAAACGCGCCCTGCTGCGGCGAGGCATATACATATCTCTAGTCTGGAACGGACATAATTACGGCACTGAAAAATAGCATTTTTTCCCCCGCGAAGCATCTGCTGTGGTGTTAGCCATATTTTTGATGAGTCTATGACAACCAGTGACGTATTTTGGTGGAAACGGGTGGATGGCCGTATTGTTGCGGATCATTCCCGGAGGCAATTTTTGTCATGGTTGAGGAATATCTACCATACCAAGTGATGCTTCACCTTATACAACTACAAGCCATATGTCAAGGGGAACTATTTTAGTGATCCTTTTGTAACAACCGATGAATATTGTGTGGCTAATCGGCCTGCGGTGAATAATGAACTCATCTCTGATGTGGCAATGTTTTTTCAGCGGAGCTTATGAAATCCTGAGGCAGTGTATGCAAAAACTCAGTTCCGGTCGGTTTCCGAGAGAACCAAATTAATTTGATTCGTCCCCCAATTTGAAGGGGTTTGTCACCGGTGTCATGACGGCGGCCGCGGCCAAACCCAGCCCGAAGGGTGTGGTGGACTTGGAGAGTTTGAGGGGAAAGAGCCCGGACTCGGTGAGGATTCACCCGTACAATCCTTCCAAGCACGGTGCCTCCAGGTACGAGATGGAACCGGAGCTCAGACCGCCGGTGAGTTATCAAGTGACCGCCAAATTTCAGTCGACGGACCTGTTCTTTTTGTTGGGACCGAAGGTCCAGCCTTTGTCATAAGGCCAAGTCAAGGACTGACTGACAAGCTGAGGGACCGACGGACTGACAAGCTTAGCAAAATACTTGACATTAGGGAGGTTTCGCAAGCGAACGGATACGCTTACACTTACGCTTAGCTATCCGTATCCGTTTTTTACTTACGTGTAGCGAGCGAGATATGCGTGTCGTCTGCACGTTTAGCGGATAGTGAGTGGCGTATGACGTCATACGTGCAGACGACACGCATATCTCGCTCGCTACACGTAAGTAAAAAACAGATACGGATAGCTAAACGTAAGTGTAAGCGTATCCGTTCGCTTGCGAAACCTCCCTAGTATTAACAAAACACCCTCAATGACTACCACTTCTCCACCTCCATGAATTTTAAAAGATATTTTTTTTCACTTCACGTTTTTCTCACAAGGATTACAAACCGAGCATCTACTTCAACATCGCAAGGAGGAAAGTGTACGCGCTAATTCTGGGCCTAGTGGTGGGCGGGGTCATCATAGGGGTGTTCGTGGCAATAGTTGTGGCCATAAGTTTAAGTAAGTAGCCTTTTAGGGTGACGAATACGATGCTTAAATTTGCCATTAATTCATGTGTCACGAATCAGTTTACAAACAACCAGTGCACAGATTTACGATTGAGCATCAAAATAAAGGTACATTATTTATATCTGATAAGAATATTTTCTTCTCTCTACAGAGACAAGAGCTCAGCCATAAAGCAATTACTACATCAACTCAACCAGCTGCAATATATCGGAAAAACTTGCCAACGATGACGTCTTGTCATCAGACAATGTTTATTTATACAAATTGAATTCAGTCAATTTTTTTTTTTTTTTTTACTTTGTTTCTGGCTTAATTAGGTGTACAAGATAGATGAATACATTTGACCTATTCCAACGACACTTGCAAAAAATAAAAATTTGGGTTTGGAAAATATATGGGTTATTAAATAAATTTTGGGTCCAAAGTGTGACATTTTTCCTGTCCCCGTTACCTTGGTACTTTGTAATTTGCCATTCAAGGATATTTAAGAATGACTCCCGTTTTTTTTTTATTGGTTAGTAAGATGAGTTATAGAATCGTAGGTGTCAGATAGTATCCATGCACATAACCCTTCTTTTATAAACATTTAACCATTTTATTCAGCTTCTGTAACTACTGGGCATGTTCTAGAAATTGTATACATAATTTACAGCTTTGGGCGGGAAATCTTTGCTTAATATAAAAAGGAAAAAGGGGTGCTCAGCATTTCATGATGTCAGTCTTGAATCCAAGGCAGAAAGTTGGAAAATACTATTATTATACAAATGCAAACATTGTGTGGGTCTCACTGACTATTTAGTGACATTTCACGAGGCCATGTTATTGTATTTCTTCATGGTTCAGGTTTGCGTCATGTGAAGTTTATGTACTGATAAAATAATTTAACAATAACATATTGGAGAAAGAGCATTTCACAAAATGGAATGATATTTACATGCAAAACAGTCTTTCAAAATGTCACTTCTTGATGTATTTATTTTCTTCAGTTATTTTTTTTATACTACAGTAAAGAACTGAAATGGATTACTCTTTTTTTGGTGGTTTAACTTCATGTACATAAGTTAAAATAAATTCTGGGAATTGGAAATATTAAAAAGCAATTTAAAATACAAAATTAAAACATGGTGAAAATAGTAACAGACTGTTTGGAGAATTTATTTTTTTGAGAAGAAATTACATGCTGTAATTGTTAAACTGTAAAACACAACTAGTACATGTATACACAATGTAAGTAATGGATTACTCAAAATAAAAAAAAAAAGGCTTTCATTCAAATTTACAAGCTCAAGAATTTTCCCATTTCTTGGGAAAAAGAGAAGTTTGGAACAGAAAATATTCCTAAAAGTTTGATATTTCGAAGGTGTCTTGAAAAATATTGACGTGCTGCTTAAACCCCTTAAAGGGTCCATGCGATGAATTTTTCTTTGGAGCATATTTTGTGCAACTTTCTACTCCTCTTAAATGTATGAAAATTAGTTGACATCCCTTTTTGGTTAATATTATTGAAAAGTGCACTTCTTTAAACACTTAAAAATTGTCCATGCTTTTCAGGACAATTAAGAGCGCTGTTGCTGTGATGTCATTTCAGGAAGACACTGTTCAGTTTAGAGGTTTTCTGTTCAAATTGTGAACCTAAACTTTGCTCATTGAAAACATTTGTAAGAAAGGTTTGCTCATTGGCTTACTGCCATGTACTGACACAACAACGAAAAACCAAAGAAAAGAAACTTTATGACCGCAAAATATCACAAATTCTAGCACCTTGTGCTGGAATAGAAGTTACATTGAGGTTTCTGCCTGAAATGACATCACACTTTTGCTCGTGAATATGGAAATTTGCATTAGCATAAAAAGAAACAAGCACCAAAATCCCCTTGAAAATGGCAAAACGAAAATTGAAAATCAGGTTAAATGGGACACAAAGGTGCATTTTCAAGGATTGCATTAAACAAAACTCCATAGCATGGGCCCTTTAAACAGCACCAACTTTGTTCAGAAATGAAGAACGATGGTTATAAAATTTTGGAAAGGATTTGAGAACATTTCTGTAACCAACTTTCAAAAATACCATCTTCCCAACGTACCTGCGTTCTCATTGATACATTTTTTTTCCAAGGGGGAAAAAACTGCATTTCAACATTTAACAATTCTCTCACTTGAGTACTGAATAACTTGTTGGCAGTATTCAAAAAAAGAAAAAGGAAGGAAAAAAAAGAGAAACAAAAATGGTGATAACAAGGTTGGGGTCACTCCTTTTTCTTCTTTTTCTTCTTCCTCTCTGAGCTCGGCTGAAAATAAAACATAAAAAACACAACATGTTGATTTAGGAAAAGACGGAGATTGGGAACGCATGAATTTCTGAAACCCTAAACTCTTTCAAAATTTCAACAAGCAGTTTTAGAGGATTTTGCAGGATTGAGGAACACAGAATCCAACCAGTATTACTCTACATGAAACTTGATGTTGTTTGAAAGAAAAATTACTGGTCTCCGACACAGCAAGTTGAAGAATCAGGACTGTTTCTTGCTAAAATTTCTGGGAGTCAAAATTCCAAAACGCAGGTTTAGAGGATTCTGCAGGATTGAGGAACACAGAATCCAATCAGTATCACTCTACATGAAACTTGATGTCGTTTGAAAGAAAATCTATTGGAACCCTACACAGCAAGTTGAAGAATCAGGAATGTTCCTTGCTAAAATTTCTGGGGAGTTAAACCAACCCATGTTTCAAAATGCAGGGTGGAGTTGTTAGGTTTGCTTTTCCAATCACGTAAGCAACAGGCTGAATTTGTGTGTGTGTGTGTAAATAAGTACGAGTTGATCTAAAGCAAATTATCATGCTTTTGTGAAAGTTGGTGAGGCGTGAAGTTTCGGAAGGCCCCCCTCAACGTTCTGGAGGGGTAGCTTTTTGTTGGGTGTTGTGCAAGACAATATCACTTATATCACTCTATGCCCTGTGCTGGCTTGCTCTAGACTAAGCCTTTCATGGCTAATTCACAAAGGTCACTCCAATCAATAACGTTTTCATCTTCCACTATCAAGGGGGTGGGGGGCCCAAAAGTCTAATCTCTTTTATTCCCACTGTGCAATATTGATTCGGGCCAGTAATTCTAAGGATTTATTCACAGTAAAAAGTACAGGCTACATGACATGCCGATGCTGGGAATTTATGCGTGCCAAAATGGCTTTGAAAATCGATACCGACTGAACCTGATATGCATTCTGAACAAACAAAAAAGCAATGAGAACAAATTGAAAAACCAAAATTCGATTGATTTAAGGCCACCGTCAGAAATCCTCTCGTTTTTTTCTTTTCTTCTGAAGATGGCTCTGAGCTAGGCCACAGTCCTGAGTGGTAATATATCCAGCAGCAACCTTCGTACCACACAAATGTTCAAAGCAATTTAGTCAGCCACGAAGGCTTTTTGTAAGCAGACTAAGGTCGGGCCATTGTTTGACTCTGTAGAGGTGAAGTCGGGTCAATGACGTCATACACTGTGAACACAATGATCCCTCAAAATTGGGAGCCTGAACCAGTAAATAACCCACTTTGAAGAGAATGAAAGTAAACTGGGCAAAACCCCATCTACGAGGACTTATGCATTGTGCCCAAAAAAACCACCCCAAAACAGTTTCCAAAACGAAGCAACAAATTCTCCGGAAGTTGCATTTATACCAAATGTTGCAAAGACATTTTCGATTAGACACAGTCACACTTAAGTCAAATACAGAATCTAAGCTTTAAACTGAGATCTAAAAAAAAATATATGATTTGACGTTTCCAGTTTTCCAAAGCATTCAATATTGAAAAGGTAGGATTTTTTTTTTTAAAGTTCAAAGCATGAGATTCTTGAGGAGGAAATTCAACACTGCTGATCAGGGTTGGATTGATCTAGTCTTCAGAGCTGTCAGACGGCAATTCCTTAGTCATCATTTCAGCAGTGTTAAATCTCTCCCCATCATGTCGTCAACAAATCAATTTCAGCCTGTGAGCAACCCTTTTTCCATGCATGTACCAAGCATGCAGTCAAGTCCAGTCACAAGAAACAGTGGATGAAATATAGCGAAGGGACGCCCTCGTTAAAGCTCCTTTGTATAGCTTGTGACTTGATTTTGGAGTGGAGGACTTGTAATGGACTTGCATGTACCAAGCAAAAACCAAAGTTTAAGGCAAAGCTTCATTAGTACACTATTCAATCTCATGTCAATTCACAAGCTATTCAAAATGACATGTGACATGGAATTCCTTTGTTGTCATACACCCCCTTATTACTAGTGAGCTGTCTTGTGGCTTGGCTTGAGATGTTACATCATGTGACATGTCATTTAGCTTATATGATTTGGCTTTTGACTTGGCTTGCGATTTGGCTTGTGATTTGGCTTGTAATTTGACTTGTGACGTGGATTATGATTTGGCTTGTGAGTTGGCTTGAGATTTGACTTGTGATTTGACTTGTGATTTTAACTTGAGATTTGACTTAAGATTTCACTTGCGATTTGAACCGTGATTTGAACCCGTGATAAAATACTCCATGGGGAGTGTCATGGCCTAGCGGTTAAGAACACCGGACTCATGCTCTGGTGTTTCAGAGGCAACAGTGACGTGGGTTCGAGCCCGCCGGGTGGACACTTGTGCCCTTGAGCAAGGCACTTAACCATTATTGCTTCGTCCTTCGGATGGGACGTAAAGTCATAGGTCTGTGTGCTGTGTAATCCAATGCACGTAAAAGAACCCAGTGACACTTATCGCAAAGAGAAGGGGTTTGCCCCGGTGTTTCTGGTCTCCTGTATAAACTCCCACGCAGAGTATTTAGGAGATGAACCAACCAAGACCAAGACTACATACAACAATTTCAACTTCTGTGATTGATTTTTTGGGGGGGGGGGGGGGGTCCTGCATTATCCCTAATCCAAGAAAGCGAATTTAGCAGTTAGCATTGCAGAAATTTAAACATCACTCTATGGTAAACTCTTAGTCCCACTTACTGTTTCTGGTTCTGTGAGTGTTGTGTCGGCTTCGGCCTCACCTTCAGATTTCCTCTTCCTTTTCTTCTTCTTTTTCTTCTCGGATGAGGGGGCTTCTTCTGGTTCTGAAAAGATTCAGAGAAGGTAAAAAAAACTTGAGCATAATTGACGAATTCAGCCTGCAAATGAACAGGGTTACGGAAACGGCATGCATACTTGCATCTCTCGACCTATTCTTCTCTTGATTGAGGTGGTACTTTAGGATGCGAGGTTGCTAGGCAACAGTGCTGATCAGTGTCTTATATTCTGTCCACACAGATTTCAGACAGCGATTCTTTAGAGCATCATCTCAGCAATGTTTGGACTAGCATATCATCCCACCGAAATCTTTAAAAGGAATTCCATGTTTTTTCCATGACATTTCCAGGACAATTATAGTGCTTTCCATGACAAATTCTGAATCTGTTTCGCCATCTTAGGAGCCCATAGCTCTGGGGGCAAGGACGCCACTCCCTTTCAGCCTTCCAGTTTGACCAAAGACTACTGAGCCCCACAAAGGCATCACAATGGCGCATTGAACGTGCAACAAGTATACAGCACACGTGAATAAAGAGGAAGTATAGTAAACTGGAATGCAAACTGGAAGACTGCCATGACCAAATATTACGCATCATCATATGTGATGCGCTCAAGCTACATGAGTCGTTTGTCGACCCTAGTCAAAAAAAATTTATATTACAGATCTGAAAAGAACACAATCTCAGCATTACTGCTGTGAAAACCGCATGCTGATAACATCTTTAGTTCAAAAATTATGGAAGTTTGAACACCAAGAGATGTGACGAAGTGATGTGATGAAGTGGCCCTATTTTGGCCTGTATCTCCAAATAAAAATTCCCGACACACGACTCATTTAGCTTGTTTGCATCACATATGTGACCCGCTCTGCAAAAATGAGTCTGATGTCGCATAATTTGAATTCAAGCTTTTGCCATTTTGAAATGGAAACAGTAAAAATTTGCTCAAAATTTGCTCAAAATTTTGATTTTCTGTTTAATTTTGGTTGTTTGATAGTTTTAGTTCAAATATCTTACACAGAAATGTAAATATTGTAAGAAAAAGAAAAAAATTATGAATCTTTGGTGCTTTTCTTGGTTAGTTACAGTGTATTTGTCATTTTCAAAGCTTTTTTTCTCCATTGAGACACTTCTAGCTTTGCAAAAACTTTACAGAATGAAACAAGCACAACAATGCAACCAAATGTCCCAGAGAGGTCCGTGATATACCAAATGAAAGCTTATTTCATTCCCATTTTATTTATGTAGTTAACTCAAAATGTCAGTTTTGCCACAACAGACTCATTTTTGCGGAGCGGGTCACATATATGGGTTGTGCAGGATTCCATGACTGTACCTTGGAACATAAACTGTTCATGACTCCTTGTAAAAATAACAAAATTCCACGTTATTTCCACGAATATACCATGATAGCATTAAATTCCAGAATTGTTGCCATGAATGTGGGAACCCGGAACGATATACAAGCTCTACAGAGTAATTTGGCAAACAAAAGAAGAAGCCATTTCTAAGGTGGAACCATGTTCGCTCTTAGGTAGTATGCACGCACTTTGGGCTCCATGGACCAACAGGGTTACAAAATGCGCGCGTGCCTCGTTTGTAAGAATGCGTACGTGCGGAAGTGGTTTAACCTCAAAAATGGTTTCTAATTTTGTTCGCCGATTTAATCCTTTTTATTATTACATTATGTTAAAAAGTTGACTCACCTTCCTCGGGTTCCACCTTGACAGTTGAGGTATCGACTTCCTCAACCATCTTCTTTTTCTTCTTCTTCTTTTTCTTCTCCGGCGTTTCCGTCTCGCCTTCTTCCTGAGCCTCGGCCTTTATTCTCTTCACATCTGGCTTCGCCTCCGACTGGTCGTCGCCATCTTCGTCCTCAAATTTCCTCTTCTTGGGGACGGAGGGGAGGGTGGAATCCTGCGCCTGGTTGTAGGTGCGGATTTCGCTCTTGTGTTCGTATTTGTCGGTGCGCGCCTTGGCCTTGCCCGTTCCGCTGATGCGATGCATCTGAAATAAAACAGCATTTCATAGTGAGCATAACTAAAATATTAAAGTATAGGTCATTCCATAAATTTGGTCCAAATGGTCTCAATAAAAAAAAAAAAAATTGTCGGCCAAAATTAGAAGATTTGTTGACAGAAAAAAACAAACTGTTTTGATTGTTTACGACTTTTGCAGAACTGCTGATCAGGGTTGGATTGATGGGTCCTCAGAGCTGTCAGACGGCAATTCCTTAGTCATCATTTCAGCAGTGTTAAATTTCACAGCTTTTTATATGTTAGCTTATAGTTAATGCCAATCCGATACAAATTTGACATCACAAAATTTGCTGGAGTTGAAATTGTGTTCAACTTCGGCATATTCGTGGTGCAAATACTGGCCGTGATGTTACAAATTCCCATTCACTTTTGTTTTGTATCGCGCTTACAGCAGCAATGCATAGATTCCCTCCGAATTTTCTCTTTGTAAATATTGACGGAGTGCGTGTGGACCAAATTATCAGCCGCGAGATTGGGAGAAAATGAAAAACTGGTGCGCTTTGCCTACATCTTTTGACCGGCGTGACAGTTTTGCAACTGGCAAATGTAAAACTTGATCAGCGAGTTAAGAATATCCGGTCAAATGTAGTTTCGAATAATCAAATACAATTTTTTTGGAAATAGACAGCGCTACTGAATTATTGTCGTAACTTACCGTTCCTTCTTCTAGTTGTCTCAGTCTGGCCTCTACCTTGGCTCGGCTTTGGATACCGATTTCCATGTCATTGTCTTCGCCCAAGGCATCCACACGTATCGCCAGTGAAGTCTTGGCGGCCAGCATTCGCGACACCTGAAAGATGGGCAAGAACATCAATGACAAACTGTGTCTTTACTGGTTACACAAACTTTAAAAAGTTAGTGTTGGTTACAGGAATAAGGAAATTATCATGAACAAATTCAATACATGTTTGGTATGACAAATGGTTCCTGTTTATCAAGTTTCCCGCTTTTCCACATTTGGCCTACCTTTCCTTTGTTCTTTGGGTTCGTCTGCCCGACTAACGATGCGTGGTAGATCAGTCCATATTTGGGCGTGTCCTTCTTTGTCTTGAGGGCTCTGAATAAGGCTTTCTCTGCTCCGAGGATCTGCACGGTTGAAGACGGATGCTTGGCCAGGTTCATCAATGACCCTGCATGGGAACGGAAAACGAAATCTGTCTGATAGTACAATATTCTCCACTACACTTAGCCTTAGTTTTGTTTTTATATCCCTAATACAGCTTGGTCCTTGCCAAGTGCAGTAAAGATGCCGGGCGGTAGAGTTCACTACCAACAAGAAAAATCAAACCCAGTCTTGGCAACTTCGGCAGCGCTACCCAGAAAATTCCGAGCATACTGCACACAGGTGCAATAGCTTACATGCAGCATGCCAGAGGTATACACGGATTTTCCTGGGTAGCACTGCCGAAGTTCCAAGATGAATTTGATTCATTTTGTTGACTGGATTTGATTCGTCTTGTGGACGGCAACCTCTATCACCTGAGTAGCTTTTCCGTGCTTATATCCATCCTGTCTAGAACCAAGATTACACTATCCTTGTCAAAGCCACTGCGTACACAGTAAAATCGGAACAGAGAGAGATTTTGAGAATTTTGTGCAATGCTGCTGATCAGGGTTGGATTGATTCGGTCTTCAGAGTTGTCAGACGGCAATTCCTTAGTCATCATCTCAGCAGTGTTGCAGGGAAACAAAACAAATTCTCAGAAATGTACAGTTCACACAAAATGAGCAAACTTATGGAAGTTACCATGGCCCCCAACTGATCTCCTACAGCCACCTTTAAACAAAGAGTGCGTGCATAAATGGAAACAGCGATCACAAGTCCAGTCACAAGTCCAGTCACAAGCAATAGTGGATGAACAATAACAAAGGAATGCCTTTGTCAAAGCTCATTGGAATAGCTTGTGAGTCGAATTGGGACTGGAGGACTTGTGATGGACTTGCAGGGACTTCTGATCGGCTCTGATTCCATCTCTGAACAGAAACTGTGGACACTAATAAAATACAATCTTTCAATGGTTGATTATTTTGTTTGTTTACCTGCATGTGATATTAGTCTGGCTCCGACAAGTTCCCCGACCATTGTGGTTAGGTTGGGTGCGATGGCCTGCATTCTGTTCTTCAGGTAATCGTACAGCTGGGCTCTGTACTCTGTTATCTCAATCACCTGGAAAGACCCAAGGGCAAACAAACTCATCAATCAATTATGAAATCACAACAGGTGGACCAATGGACCAGGTGGCTCTTTTCCCAACGTGAAAATCAGGACCCAATGTCGGCGAGTGGCCCATTTCAACTAAGTAACTATTTTCCCATCAAAGGGCCCACAACAATCTATATCCACGACAAGTTCCGGACAAGTTGCTGACATTGTATCGGGTATTAGTTGCAGGATTCTGAACAACTTCCCTGCAATCTTCTCGCAATGAAGTTATCAATATTGGTGAGTCAAGCAGTTGCTAGTGAACATTTCTCAGGAACATCTCAGGGCAAATGCAGAGCTTCTTCCTGACAAAGTGAATTATTTTCTACACGCAACTTTTCCAGAACTCGTCCCGGATCTGAATTGAGACAGGGCCATTAGTAAAATTCACCACTTAGGAGCTACCATGTTGTCCCAGAAGGTTTCAGAAGAAGTTTTTCTCTTCAAAATCCCTTCCAAATTTTCCTTCTTCACTTTCGCACAGTGGAAGATTTTGCATGCATAAGGAAAGTTCACAGTGAAGATGTCTAGGCTATTTGTATTAAGTTAATTTCCTTTGGGGGGGGGGGGGGGGAAGGGATGGGTATAATTAAAAACTTGACTGCTGATCAGGGTTGGATTGATTAGTCGTCACAATTTTCAGACGGCAATTCCTTAGTCATCATTTCAGCAGTATTAAATTACTTTTAAACCTGCACAGTAGGGCCAAGTAAAACAAAACAATTTTTCATCCAGGCTTTCTGAAAAAAGAAAGGAGGCCCCCCCCCCTCCCCCACAACCATATGGTGGATTTTCCAAGATGGGCGATCAAGATGGCAAGCCAGCATTCAAAACAGAGCCATCACCCTTTCCACCAAATTTTTAAATTAGCATACATAAGTACAATTTTTCTCGAAACAAGTAAAATGACATATAAATCGCAAAAACATCTATGCCATGTGAAATTTGGTGATACAAAAAAAGGGGCACGAGAAACTGGTTTATTTTTTTGCTTGGCCTGAATGGACCTGTTGAAAGAATTGGACAGTTGAAATAGTATGAACGATTTAATACCTGTTCACAGAGGTAATGAATATTCATGAAGTCTTCCTCAGAAATTTCTGTTCCCATGGAGATCTCAGCTGCTAGTTTGACCTGCTCTTCCAGGTCTTCGGGGAGAATGTCGGAAAAATCTAAACTGGCTGCCTTGGTTCTGTCACCTGAAAAAAGGGAAAAAAATCGAAACAGAATGGAGAATAGAACGAACCAAATGATTGCAAATCTTAACCGAAACCATAAACACCAAAATCACTCATTTGGTTGTTGCCAACGCATACTTTTGAGGTCTTCATGCGTGTATCCCTGACGCAATGCAGGTCCTAGGGGTATACATTCTTGTGAAACTCATTCACTTAACCTCTCTAATAACAAAAATACAACTCAGTCCATAGTAGGGGCCTTTGTTTTTAAGTGGTTACTGAAGTTACAGAACATGATTAAGCCTGTTAAACAGTTTGCGCCGGAGGCTGGGTATACATGCAAACGTTTTAATGTATTCGGAACGGATGACAGATAAACACGCAGGGAGCGAGGCCGGAAATATCTGTCAGCGACCCGCTTGCAGCCAGCGACCGGAAATATGAGTGTGCTGCCCGAGGGTGATGGCTTCAACCCGCCTGGCTTGAGGTCGAGTGAAAAGTAATCCCGCACCTCGTTCCATTCTTGTCAAAATAATCCCGGCGCGAATTGGTTAAGCAAAACTGCTGATCAGGGTTGGATTGATTAGTCATCAAGGTTTTCAGACGGCAATTCCTTAGTCATCATTTCAGCAGTTTCCTTTCGGCTTTCACGACGGTGATAAAATCCTCAAAAATTCTACTACTATTAAGTCAAATAAGATGAGTTTGTGAGGCTCTAGAAAAGAACCGGGGAAAGTCAATGTTTCGGACAGTAAACTCTGCCATCATCATCAGTGTCCTGACGACAGTCACAGCATACAGGCATGCAACTTGGAATTTAGAAAAAACGAGGAAATTCCAAACGACACCAGACTTTATACAGTGTTTTTCAAAGTGTAATGGCATTCATAAAAGGTAAAAAATGAAGAAATCAGCGGATCCAAGGAAAAGTTGCATGCCTGAGCATACTGTCTGAAACATTGAGTTCCCCCGATTCTTTTAAAAACCTCTTTAACTAACAAAAGAGATTTGTCACATGGTGCTACCATAAATCTTTATGTTATTCCTACCCTCACCATGCACACCTTAAAATCTTATCATTTAGTCACTGCAAAAATACTTGACTGAAAAGACATACCCATGAATTTGACAACCTTGGCAAAGGCGAGGTTATCGGTGACAATCTTGCCGAGCTCGGGGAAGTGCCAACCGTACCACTCCCGACATCTCATGATGTAGTTGTTGAGTTCCTTGTCCAGGTCATCTAACAGAGCTGTCAAAATAAACCGCAGAATGTCGTTGAGAATTAACCCTCCAAGTGGTAAGTAAATATTCACAGCAATGTGTAAAATCCCTTCTATTTCTTGGAGAAATAAGAGCCACTTGTTGTTCTTCTGTTGAAATTTTACAACAATGCTCGGTACATTTTGTACACACAAATCGCAGCGTTCTTCTGTAATGCCTTATGCTCAGAGAATTTTGTCGTCACATAGGCAAGGTGGTTTGTTTGACAATAGGCATTTGTCACCGACCTCGCTATCAGGCGCAAATTAACTCATCATGGCTCAGGAGCATTACTTTCACACAAAAAGACACTTTTTACCAACCAAAACTCTGTACAAGCACCCTTCAATCCAAGTTTCTCAGTGTACAACTGTAGCTTCTATAGCACGGTTTAGCTACCGCTACCAATTACTTGAGAGTTTCAGTCACAATTTCAGAAAAAACTCAGACTTACATATTGCCTGGACGATCATGGTGTCCACTTTGTCCGGACTAAACTTGAGCTTGTATCTTGAAAGACTGCAATGCAAACAATGCAACAAACATTGCAAGAAAGAAAGGAACATGAAGTTAAAAAATCTACCAGAGGTTTAGTCATCAGAAGTCATTGTAAGTTAATCATAAGTCATTCATTTTCAAGTCGCAAGCTATTCAAATGAACTGTTGCAAAGGCATTCCTTTGTCATTTTCCATCCTCTGTTACTTGTGACCTTTCTTATGATTGACTTGTGATCGACTTCTGATGGATTGACAATTTTGACAACTGATTGACTGTCTCAGAGGTAGTGACGAATATTCATGAATCTTCACTATTCATCCGATATATTGAATATGTATGCATCATCGACAGCCAAATTGTATCTTGCAAACATTAAGACTCATTAACACAGAAACAGACAAAGAATTAATTGGGTTTAGGATTTCGCATTTTCAAGGAAGACAACACTAACCTGTGGGCCAGACCAAGCGTCATGGCCGTCAGTTCCCTCTCGGGAAGACCGGGCACCAGACTGCTGAACTGCGAGCGAATGCCGCGCATCAGTTCAGCAATAGCCGAGTTGTGAACACATGTTAGACTGACTTTCTCCTGGTAGCATCAAGACAGAACGAGAAGAGAAATAAAATTTAGTCAATGGGTGATAACCACGGTGATGACTTTGGATTAAAATTGTTCAATAACCATCAGGATCTGGAATCTCTGTGACATTTTGAAATAAAATTGTGATCAGTTGTGCTCAGAGATGTTGTCGTCACATAGGCAAGGTGGTTGTTTGACAATAGGCATTTGTCACCAACCTCGCTATCAGGCGCAAATTAACTCATCACAGCACAGTGCGGCTCAAAACTGGACTTTTCCTCGTGGGTGTAGAAATGCAATTGTAGTAAAGTGTCTTTCCCAAGGACACAAACAACCTAATCAGCCATGTGGTATACTGTGATGTGTGACTGCACTGTCACTGCGCCAGACCTGCAAAACACTCCAACATCACATTTTACCACAACTGCGACGTACTGTGGTGTCGATAGGAGAGTTTAGCAAGATTCAACCTGATTGTAATGGTTAATACCTTGATGATTCCGCCGAGTTTGGCATCCGCCACGGCCAGCTCTGAGTGGGCGTCTTTGGCGACGATCTTCTTGAGGATTTTCTTCAGACCCTTGCCGAGTTTGCCCTCGACTGTAGCTGTTGCAGCTGCAAAGAGAATCAACCAGAATTCTTTTATTAAAAGCATATTGTGAACATTCAAATAAACATAACAAAGGGATTCGCAGAGCTCTTTATCTTTGCCTGAAATATAAAGTTATAACATACTGAATTTGTCAAACCACATTTCCGACAGGCTAAAATTCTCTAGAATACAGAATTTTAGTTCATTTGCTTTGGCAATCATTGAAATATTTGACAGACAACAACTTTTGGAGTTTAACAGTTAAACCTTACAGTGCAGATAGATTTCTGTTTCAAAGTCACAACTTTGTGTTGTCAACATGAAGATTACACACAAAGTTTGAAACAAAATATGCTCAACCGACTACAAAACCAACAATTGAAACATCGTAGGACATGCGCGCAATGAAATGCTTATGTACATTCATGTTGTCTCAGATGAGGTAGTGACAATGTGTGACATCATGGAGTCAGACTACAAAGCATCATCACAGACAACTGTACGTACATTCATTCATTTCGCATTCTTCGCATTCTACAAAAGGAGTTTGATGATAATATACCTGCAAGGGCTTCTGTTGTGTCTTGGAACTTCTCAAACTGTTTCAGTTTCACTCTGAAGGTAAAAACAAATACACGGATTGCATCAAAGAAAGGTCAACATTTTCGTACATGAATTTACTCATCTTATTTCTATCGAATCCTCCAAAGTCAATTAGTAGGTTTTGAAGATTTGTGTCAGACTGAGGAAGTTTAAGTAACCTCCCACATATTGTAGGCTATACATACCAATTAACCCTAACCCTAACCCTGCCAGATTCAAGGTGCAACAGTTTCATCGGGCCAACACCACCAGTGCACGAACTGCCAATAAGCCATTTGCGAGTAACCTATACCCTTTGGGATTTACATTTGAAAAACATCTGGTACACTGACTTGTTCAAAATGCTTTGCACATTTTAACTTTGAATTCTCCTGACCAAAGACACTGTTGCTAATCACATGATTCGGGGCAAGCTCTTGCATAGTTACATAAGAGATGCTCAGCACCAATACATTGTTCACAATGGGTGAGAATGGCGCAAAGACACCAGACCATGCCGGAGCTGGGGGTTGCTAGCATAAGGCTTGCCCCGAATCACGTGATATAGTAACAGTCTCGTTGGTCGGGAGAATGCAAACTTCAAACGTGCAAAGCACTGGATTAAGTCAGTGTTTCAGATTTTATTCAAATTTAACTCGCAAATGGCTTTAATATTCTGAAGGCTAGTCCCACGAAACAATGCCACTGTTGTATCCTGCTGCAGTTGGTGACCACAGACTCTTAGGCAGTTTGGCCTTGATATTTGGACTGGATGGATCTTGCTACACTGAGCAGGCTTGTCAAGTTGACAAGTGTTGCATGTTGTTGCAAACAGTGGGGTTTCTAGCCAAAATACCACAGGTTTAGGGTTAGTTCTTTGACAACTGTTCCATATTGTTGCACTTAGCAGGACTTTAAGCTGAGACAACATGAAAGGTTAATCTGCCAGCTAGCAAAGAAACCTCAATGTAATCAATGTCTGAATTCTAGAAAAAGCAAAGGACTAGGAAGAAATTGGCATAACAAAGTTTTGTTTCTTCGGCACAGCAACTTGACGACTCTTCTTTGACTGGAACTCACATTCTGCTGGCTCCTTCAGGACTTGCAAAATCCTTGTAGAGATTATCTACGGCTAGGAGCTTCTTCTCATCAAGAAGCTGCAAGAAAGAAAATAAGGAAGAAATATAGATTTAAAAAAAAGTTACTTTCAATCTCACAAGGACTTCAGTTTGTGGAATCAAGTTTTGGAATCAATCATTAATATTCTTGATGATGCCCAACTCCAAAAAAAGAAATACTGCATACGTATACGTAACTTTAAACCATGGAGCTATGTTTAAACTAAGGCAAAAAAAAAAATATGTAAGCCTAGGCCTATTCAATTTTCAAAAAAAAAAAAAAAATAGTTTGTCATGTCAGTTTAAGTTAAACACTCTCCATTTTATATGATTCAATTAGGAACAGTCAACAGAGGTGAAGCTACATAATTTCTTTTTCTGTTGCAAAAAAGCACAGCACACATTGTTTTAATAAATTAGATTTCAACAAATCCCAGCAAGCAAGGCGAACCACTCAATCTCAAATTTTAACTGGTCCCGCTCGCATCTACTCCATTGCAATAACATCTATGGCGTCATTGGTTCCCGCCCAATGCAGCTGTTCACAGCCGGCCGGCCGCGTGGCCGGGGCCGCGCTGGCTTGAGTCGTCGAACCACCCATTGAAAGAGTGAACTTTAACACATCAAATTAATGATACAGTTCCTGAAAATGACAAACCTTGAATACAGCAAAACCTGCTGGGGATTCGAACAATACCAACATACTGTCTTTAAAGTTATTAAAGCCAGTTTCAAAGAACTTTATTGTAACTTTAAGTTCATCGAAGTTGCCATCTCCTCTCTCACGCAGCACCACGAGGTCTGATTTTGGCCTGCGTGGGGTCAAGTAAAGGTCACATCAATCATTAAACAGTTTTGGTAGCAAATATTAAGCTAGTTTTCAACATTATGAAAATAAAAAATAATTAAAAAAAAAATTGGTTCCATTTCATATTTTTGTTTTTATTTTTATAGAACACAAATGAAGAAAATTGTTCTAGAAATACAGAGTGTAAAATGGATTTGAGATAGAGCCTAACATGGCGCTGCCCATGGCACTGGCGCCAGATTACATGGCTTAGCATACAGGGGGTGTGGTGGAAATGGGGATTCGTGGAAATTATGCTTGTTAACCGTTTTTGGTTGGTTTATTTTTGATTACATGTTGTGACTAACATTACACTGAATAAAAAAAGTCTCCAGTTTTAATTTCGATCAGTACGAGCTTCAAGTTAAAATTCAAGTTAAAATAATCAAGTTCAACTTCAAGTTCAACTTCAAGTCAACTAAAGTTCAACTTTCAATCATCACCCTGATCATTAGTTTCAAGTTCAAGCATTTTATTTCTCCATGGTTCAAGCCATGATCTGATGATCAGGATTATGTATTTTTATACACATTATGTTTTTAAATCATTTTATAGTGATTAGTGGAGAGAAATAAAAGGTAATAAAATAGTCAAGGTGATGTTGGGTGCGATCGCTTCGGTTGATCCTGCCATCATCAGGCAATCACGCCGCCATCAATCTCACATTTTTTCCCCCAATTCACGGCTCCTGGAAGGAAGTTAAGTTTGAGATTTCTTACATCAACTGATAGCACAGTGTGATCTAGCCGTATATGTATACAAACAGGGCTGTAAATTGCTCTCTTTTATTAATATTATCAGTTTTCGCCATTACAGCCCTGCTTCCAAATTTTATGGCTGCTGTTTATGCAAGACATCGCTTGAACGGTCAAGTCTATCGACTTGATTCCATTTGATTCCTTATTTTAAATCTTACCTTAATTGTTTTACCATCAGGGAGATGAATTTCTGATATTCTGTTGCCATGGCAACACCAAGTCGCGATGCAGTGAAAATGGTCTTGTCACAAAATACTGAGCAACTTCGGAGCGATGCCAACGTCACCGAAGTAGAGTACATCAGCAGTGCCATTGACTATGAAGAGTTCTTCGCAAGGTTCCTAATCCCAAACAGGCCTTGCGTGTTTGGTCCTCACGTCACAAGAGAATGGAGAGCAGTTAATGAGTGGGTGACGGAAAACGGGAGGCCAAATTTTGACTCCCTCGCGAGTAAATTTGGTAAGATTTAGCAGTCAGTTTTGCCCTTGGGCAGAATTGCTCACAAAGTTGCAACATGTGTAGCTTTACTTTTATCTAGAAATACTAAACTAAAAGTTGTCAAGTTAATCTGATAGATACAAAATACATGCAGATGATAAGGCCGTATAATTTGTAATTGAAATAAATGATTTCACATAAAATAATATTTTTAATAAGTGTACAAAGTAAGATATAGGTTGAACTTTGTTTAATATGATTTCCTAAGTACTATTCTACTGTAGCAGTCTGACTAAGTGAAGAAATGCTATCAACTATGCAAACCTCAAGCTTAAAAATTCTGCAATTTTGTTGAGTAACCAATATTTGCTACAAGTTTTCCTTCTTAACATTGATTGATTTTAACTTCTCTATGTTAGCGTTGTCTTTAGATACACCTTTCTTGCTACTACTGTGCAGTTTTTGTCTCTAAAAAACTTGTTACTGATATCATTTTTTGTTTCCTTTTTTTCTTCAGGGCATGCAGTTGTGCCAGTCGCTGACTGTAAGAGGGTGGAGTACTCAGCGCAGCCGAAGACAGACATGCTCTTTGCTCGGTACCTCCGATACTGGGAGCAATTGAGCAAAGATGTCGATGAGAAAGATCAAAGTTGTCTTTATTTGAAGGACTGGCACTTTAACAAGTGAGCGTTAACTGGGATCCAATTAAAGAAAAATATGCAAAAAATAATAGCAGTTTTAAAGTTGAACAAGGAAATTGACTGGAGCTGGGCTTGAACCTGCGACCGCTGGTTTGTCGTTCTGGTGTTCTACCAACTGAGCCATCGTGCGCTCTGTTGGCAGTTCCTGATTTTGTCGATGTCTTTGTTCAAGGGGGGCTAGTCATAAGCCATAAACCTGTATATGCGCCACATAGCCAGGGATCATGCCCAAAGTCACGATGCTAGCAACATGCTGCAAACTTGGGAAATAGCAAGCATCACTCGAAAGTTGTTTTTCTCCCCTGAATATTCTCTTTCTAAGTGTCTAATCAATTAAATTATCACTTTTTTGTTAATCTCACAGACTTTTTCCAGATTACAAGGCGTACGAGACGCCCGTCTTTTTCACCTCCGACTGGATGAATGAGTATTGGGACAAAAAGTCAGACCAAACGTCAGACGACTACCGCTTTGTGTACATGGGCCCAAAGGGTTCATGGTGAGTGGTACCGATGTAGACAAGTAGACAATAATGGTCATGATCAGCCTGCTTTTTTGTGTGGTTTATTCAATTAAAGTTTTCTTAAATATTATAATAAAAATTGAAATCTCAATAAGCAGCACTATTGACACAGTTTTCACAGATCAAACTTATATATAAATTTTGTAAATTGTTTCCCTGAATGAGGTATATTTCTCCTATACTCCTCTCATTTTAAGTTTGAGCTTATTTATTAAAAGTAAATCATAAAGTAAGCCATCCGATGATGAATCATTAAAATTATACAGTTAAATCATCCACAGGAAAAAATCATACCCGATGCAGTATAATTTTATGATTTCTCGTTTTCACATTTTGACACAGGACACCTTTCCACGCTGATGTTTTCCGCTCGTACTCATGGTCAGCTAACGTCTGTGGCCGCAAAAGTTGGCTCCTCTTCCCCCCAGGCCAAGAAAACCACCTCCGCGATACCTTGGGAAACCTTGCATACGACATCACATCACCCGAGCTACGTGATCCAAAAAATATCCTAATTACCATAAAGCTTGTAAACCCTTTGAGGTCATTCAAGGGCCTGGGCAAGTCATCTTTGTACCCAGTGGGTGGCACCACCAAGTTTTTAACATTGTAAGTGGAGATAACTTTTCAGAGTGGTAATTCAGCCAGTGGCAAGTCGATCACAAGTCTGGTCTCAAGTAACGGGGTGTGAACCACGACAATGGAACGCCTTTGTCACAGTGAATTTGAAGAGCCTGTTACTTTACTTGTGACTGAATGACTTGTGATTGTCTAGTGACTGAGTTATGATGCCTTGATTACAACTTTGCCATTTTCACTCTACATTTCAAGAACATTTCTTCAAATTCATTCCTGCTCTTGCCAAGCTGGTCATCAGCCAAAGTACTCGTATGAATGCCATGACAGAAGTAAAACAATCCTGAGCACTTTCGCATTCCTATTAAAGTTTATGTTAGGCCAAAAAAAAAGTCTCCGGTTTCTGGTATGGAGCTTGCCCAAAAAGTGGTGCGGCGACGCGTTTTTTTTTTTTTTTTATTCCCGATTTTTTTGCTTCAAATGTCGGCTGATGACTGCAAATGGTGCCCGACTAAACTTAGTGCAAATATATGGGAGTCCAGAGAGGCCACATAAAGCTTATTCTCGACCATAACCCAATCTAAAAACACGTTAAAATTGTGCAGCAGCAGGATTCCAGTCAAACCAGTGAGTTTGGCGGTTTTGAGACATCATCTTTCATTGAAAAAAATTTTTTTTCATTTTGCCGACGCGCATGGCTACGGCGACGCGCGCACATACCAGAAACTGGAGACTTTTTTTTTTGGCCTTAGGAGCAATTTTTTTCATGTGTCAAATGAACCAATAAAAAGAATTTGACAAAAATTCCACACAACTTTAGTTATATAAAAGCTGTTTTGAGATTCCATAATGATTTGTTATGCAACAGACGGACACTATCACTGTCAAACACAAATGACATCAAATAACAAGTTACCAAAATTTCACGCAACAAAATTTCCAAAAACAAATTCATTTCCCAAGATCACACCTGACTTTTCGGTATTGATTTGGTTTGTTCTTTTGGCAGGAGGACACTATTTCCATCAACCACAATTGGCTGAATGGATGCAATGTGGACATCACCTGGGCATTCCTGCAACAGGAACTGGCATTGGTCAAGAAATCTATCAGCGACTGCAGAGACATGGAGGGATGGGACGAGCAATGCCAGGTAATGGAACATTCCTAATTAGGCCTCAAGATGGGTCGATGGTCTTGTCAATGACAAGGAATAGCTTGTGACTTGGTTTGAGAACAATAGAGTTGTGATTGACTTTTGTGGACTTGTGAGGACTTGACTAAACTTTCGGCATTAAACGTAGACTTACAAATTTCTTTCGTTTGATTGCAGATGATAATGAAAGCTAACACGGGTATCGATTATCCAGAATTCCTTCAGTTGCTATGGACAGTGGCTGAGCCCCGTCTCGCCCAAGTGCGGACTTACAACGACACCCGAGGAAAATCCTCCAACAGCCATACCAATGAGCCTGAAGAACCTCAGGATTGTACAGAAAGTTCCGAGAAACTTTGCGGTCATAGTACAACTGTCGAACCAGAAATTTTTGACGGAACTATCGGAACTACAATCAGTGGGGAAATCTTGAAACCATCTGAACTTGAGAATTCCACAAGAACAATAGACACTATGGCAAAGGAACTCAATTCTTCCCACAATGCACCTGATGTAAGAACTGTTCAATCAATCGCTGAACCGGCTGCACCAACTTTGACTGACTTAGATCCTGTTGCGTGCACAGATAGCGTGAATCAAATTCAGCATTTATCACTTTGTTCAAAAGAGGATAACGGAAAACCCTCAAGCGTGGTCTGTGTGGTCCAAAATTCAGCAAGTCGGATCCACTTTTTGGGAAAGTTCAACGTTTGGCACTCGATATTTGACATGTGTCGCATCAGAGATATATTGGCGTTACTGTTGGAAGATGAAGATTTTTGCCACATAGAATTTGCGACTTTGTGTAAAGATCCACAACAGCTTATGAAAGAAATTGTATCCGCAACAGAGGGTTTAGTGTAACCCATTTAGCAACTTTAAGTAATACATTGCGTTTGTTCACAGATGACTCTATAAGACCACAGAGCACTTGGGCAGTTTCTGGGGCTACAGGGAGTGAAAGGCAGGGCGTTTTTGGGGCAGTGATTTAAAGGGCTAAAGAGCCTCCCAAAACTTGAAGTATTTTTGTAATGTTATTTTAGATTGTTAGTTCTGCAGTACAAATAATGGTCTGTGCAGTCTATTTTTTTAGTAATATTTCCTATTAAAAAAAAATGTATTGAATTTGAAGATATTTTCGAACTCCTAAATTTTATGTTGTTATTTTTTTTATCATATCAGAACTGTTAAATAAGAAAGTGCAATAGAAATTAATTAGTGTTTTTTTCATGTTCAATTATTCATCATACATTTTTTCCAGGGAAAAATTGGAATGATTAAACAAGAAATTAAACATTATATTTTGTTCCACTTGTTTGTAGACGGTTGAATTTACTATCCTCCCCAAGAGCCCCAACTTTAACAAAGTAAGGTTTGCGAAAGTCCTAGATGTCCTATAATTTTACCCAATTTAGATATGCCAAACTAGGAAGTAGAACCATATTATGCTAATTGATAAAATAAATACACAAAAGAATGTCCAACCAACTGCTTCACATTGAAAGAATAATCAATTTGACAAAACATGGACAAAGATCAAATCATTTCTATAAACAATGTACTCCTATTTTTTTTACTGCAATGTTTCAGAAGAAGAAAACTCTATGTAGGTCGGAAGGGGGGAGGGGGGAGATAATTTGTGCGTCAGATGTTCGACTTTAATGGACCTCAAGTTGACCCCCTCTTTGTTTCACTAGCCCCGCCTTCACACTTTGAGCAACAGTAGGGCGACCTCTTGTGACTACTTTTTCGAGCGCACAGCTAACGACCACATGGGGGCGCCCTTTCAATCGCGTGGATCGCTGATCGCCCGGCAAATTTTGGTCTTTTTATTTCACATAAATTTCAGCCTTTAGATTACTGATTAGCTCAATATTTAGACCAAAATTCTTGTGATAGTCACAATGTTACGACAAGGTAAGCATAATATGAGAATCTTATTAATGTTGAGTACAGTCACAAATGAAAAAAATGGGCCGATCGGATATTGGGGGGAGGGACGGGGGGGGGGGGGGGTAGAGAGGAATTAGATTGGTAGGTAACATTAGGTGGTGGAGTGAAATGGGTTATCAGTTATTACAGTGAGAAGGGTGACGTGCCCGGGGGTGGGCTCACTTTTTATGCAAATTAAAATAAAACCAAATCCCATCACGTTTCAACAAACGCAGTGCGGTCATCTGGTTCCCTGACTTGATACTTAATAATAGTATTCAATGTCGGGATCATTGCCTCTTGGAACCAGACTATTAAACTGAATGGTTCTTAGACTATGTCATGTGCATGTTCCTTTTTTCCTCCAACGCCACGGATTACAAAGAAGAAAACGAAATCTACTTCACTAAAAACTAAAAGGATTTGATTTAAAATATAAAACTAAAAGTAAATGAAACTTTTAAAAGAAAAGAAAGAAAGAAAATTAAAGGATTAGCAATTTTTGTACAGCATGAATTGATTTAATTTTGATCCTGGGACCTTCGGCTTGGTAGGCAAGCATTTCACCAATCAAGCTACCAAATTGCACTCTGGTTAGTAGGGCAGTTATAAATATTATCTGGATTCGCGATGGTTTTTCTGCAATAGCAGATGAAAATCGCATTACGGCTGCCGTAACGATGGCCACTACGTTCAACAAAACATGGCTGATCATGCTGTTTATTCCCAGTCCAGTATAAGGTTGCCATGGTCATTAAAAATCATGGCTCTCCATCCAGAAATAATCAAACCATTGTTGTGGCAGCAAAACTAATTGTTTGCGTATTTATGTTTCACAACCAAATTTACAGGTTTTGCGTTACCACTTCTCCGACGATACTTGTCCAGCACGGAGGCAGTTCTGTCAAGCTCCAAGAAAAACCTACAACAGCTCAGGAAAAAGACAGGCTTCAGCTTTGCAAACTGCCGCAAGGCGCTGGACAAATTTGGCAATGATCTGAACCAGGTAAAGTATCAGGTTCGGCAGGAACAGACAGACGTCTGCACTAGTAAGCAGGCGGTTGTGGGATTGAGTCCCATCCGAGTTGACTTTTTCATTTTTCTTGCAAGATCTCAGACAGTACTGTAACGAACCCTCCCCCCCCCCCCCCCCCCCCCCCCCCCCAGTCAAAGGTGCCTCAACAAACTTCAGCCCACAAAAGGTTTTATATGGCTGGCAAAACAAAACACTGGCCCAAAAAATAATCTAGAAACTAAAATACAGATAGACTGTTCCATTTTAACAGAACTAAGTGTGTAATGGAATATTCCTAAGTTACGTTGGCTAAAAAAAAATTGAAAAGGCATTTTTGTAAAAAAAAAATCATATTTAATTTTGATTTTTATGTCTTTAGGCAGAGGCCTGGCTTCAAGAACAGGCCCAGAAGGAAGGTTGGAGTAAAGCCACCAAGCTGAAGGGACGCACCACGGCACAGGGATTGATAGGGGTCATGCAGGAGGGCAACCAGGCCACTATGGTCGAGGTCAACTGCGAGACGGACTTTGTGGCCAAGAACAGCGAGTTTCAGGGATTCGTGGGTCAGGCGGCTGCCGCGGCACTGCGGCAGCTGGGCAACAGGCAAGAAGAGTTGAAGACCTTGACTGGTGTTGCCAAAGTAAGTACCGACTGTAATTTTCCAAACCAAGTGGAACTATCTGTTTATTTCTGGTAGTGAAACCAAGGATTCCTCAAAAGCGCCTTAGGCACTGTAGCTAGCAAGCCTGAAGAAACCTGTAGAGAGAAGACAATGAGAAAAACTACAGTTTTAGAGGTGGGAGGAAAACCCCAGAAGAATTTTCTGGGGAAGACCCACGGAATCAGGCAGGGACTGAAAACCCAATCCACATGTGGCCAGGGCAGGAATCGAACCTGGGCCATAGAGGTGGAAAGCGAGGAAAGAACCACAGCGCAAACTTGACTACCCTGGCCACATGACAGGACAAGTAGGCATTGTATGCTCACTACTGCAAACTCACAAGCTTGCTCATTTGGGACTCGAACCCACAAGTTTCTGCTAACTATTTAAACTGTCTTCAAAGCTGTGCCACCACACAATCCACGACTGTTTGAATTCGTCACATTTTGTGGAAAGAACCACATGAAATACCCATACACACTGACCTTTGCTGTAACATCTGAGCTTTATGTGTTAATTTCCAGGTTTGTTATACCGGCGATGAGATGAAGGAGTTTATCATTGACGATCAGAAGAGTCTGCAGGACCAAGCCGCGCTGACCATCGGCAAAGTAGGGGAGAATATGTCACTCAACAGGGCTCTGTGTATGGTGGCTGCCTCGGACCATTTCATAGGTGAGCTGTTACCAAAAGTGTAGTGAGAGGTGGGCCGTCAAACCCCATGACATTCCCCCCCTCCCCCCAATCCCTCAACACCCCCCCCAAAAAAAAAAACCAACCCCAAATGTGTAGGTCTGAAGAAAAATTCATGTCCATGTAATTCTGTTTGTTTGAGAACATGATCTTTATCATCAATGCCATTTTTTGTTGTAGGATCATATGTGCACTCAGTTCAGCAACGGCAGCAGAAGTCCAAGTGCATGGTGGGTAAATATGGCGCCCTCGTTGCCTTCAGGAGGACAGGGGACGCGTCGACCGACTTCCGCCCAGATGACGTAGGACGGCGCCTGTGCCAGCATATCGTGGGGATGAGTCCGCTGTGTGTGGGAGAGCATGCTGAAGTGACTGAAGGTGAGATGGGATACCAGACATGTATAAGCCAAGATTTTTTTGTCAACCATAGATGAATAATAAACCAGTCTACAAAAAGAAATGACAAATAAATCACCAGTCATTTACTATGCGTCCCAAGGGGGTTAAAAAAGGGGGGTGGGGAGGGTGGGGGGGGGGGGGCAGCCTTACGCAAGTGCGCAACACAGAGGTAATTTATATACAAGGCATATATATTTATAGGCTTGAAATGTGGCTGTTTTAGACCAATGAAATTACAGTTCTCGGAGACAAGTTACAAAAATTATTACTTCATCAGAAACCGAACTCACCGAGAACCAAGAACCAAAGCCGGACAGCCCAGCCGAGAGCGACGAGGCCGTCCAATCAGAGACAGAGATGCTAAAACAGGAGTACCTACTAGACCCGACCATCACCGTCGGCGATCTGGTCCGCCAAGAGAGCCTGGAAATTATTGACTTTGCGCGGTTCGAGTGCGGAGAGGCAACGACGGGGGACGCGCAATCGTGAGACGAAAGACCGACAACAAACTCGACATCAAACGTACAGTAGAACTTTGCTATAAAGAACACAATGCGGTCCACAAAAGCTTGTCTTTTTGCTTGTTCAATTTGAGAGCCTAAAACGTGAGAGTCAAATATGTTGAAGTGGCGTTCTAAACCAACGTCTACTTAGTATTCAATGTGATATTCAAAGGTAGAATATCATGAAATAAACGAAAGTCAAACTGCGTAATTGGTTACATATATTCAGTGTTTTATTTGAATTCTTTGCATATTGTTGACAGTTTATCATACACATTTTGTGCTTAAGAATTTTCAAAAGATGTCGTTTTCCGAATAACTGTTTTGAAATAAACTTCCTGGTGAGAATTATGATACCTTGGTTGATTGCAATAACCAAAACATCATGAAACCACAAAACTTAAAAAAAAAAAAATGAGACTATATTTGTTTTCGTAAAGCTTCAACGCCATTACATTTTATGGATGATAAAATATGTACTTATAAAGCAACCTTTTCACATTCTAGGGCATACTATACATATATTTCACACACCAGCATTATAATAACCACTTTACAATGTAAGTTTTATTCCTACAGATATCATAGGCTAAATTCATTCACATAGCTACATTCGCCCATTTGATAATTTATTTACCAATACGTAGAAAATAAACATTGGTTAGACCTTGTGTTCGATAGCACGTTTTAACATGTACACACTAAACTTTTTTCATAAACCAAAGAAAGGGTAATCTTCCAAATAAATTGACTTTTCAAATGCAGTTCGTAAGAATTTGTTTCAAAAAATATTTTTCTTCGCTTTTTGTAGTTAACTTCTCATTGCAAAGCACAGTGTTACACTAAAAAACACACACACACACAAATGAAGAAAAAACATAAGAAAACGAGTGTAGACAAAGAACAACGTACAAGTTATAAAAAAAAACCTTACTACATGTATTGATACAGTACACTGAAAAACAATGGGTTCAACTTCTGTGCTGCTTCGTAACTTGGTGGAAAAGTTGTGCCAATTATATAAAGCTTAAAAACTTCTCGCTAATCTTTTTATATTATTCTTCCAAACTTCTGTTGCCCATTGGATTGACGACAGCACATAATATTTTGTCGCTTCTACATGGTCCTCGCAATTTTGGTTGATATTACGGAAAAGAAATCAATGCAGCGACCTGAAATTCCTTATTCACAAATACCTGAGACACTTTACCCATTCCTATTGGTCGAGAGACCGTGACGTGGGTGGTTTTAAACTGCTTGTAAAACACCGCTGCATTCTGCGCCACATCACACAGTGTGTGCCACGCGCATGTGCCAACCTCCATATAAGGAGATTTTTAGTTCTCCCACGAGGCACATACCATAACCATACATAAGTAGAGAGGTGTTTCACAAAACACAAACTGAAAGTGTTGAACAACATCGTTGGAAATTTATAAATTTCGACTTGTTTTGAATTTTGGATATAAATATGACTGGGAATAAATATTTGCTTGGCCGGTATTACACAAGTGCGTTTAAAACCAGCTGGGGGCCTGGTCGCTGAAAAGGGCCAGAGCGGAATCCATGGTCAGGCCCGTTCTAAACAAGCAAATTCTCTTAGCACTATATTTAACAATAAAGCAAAACACGTTTTTTTTACGAAAAAAAACAAAATAAGCTTTATTTGGCTATACAACATATTCAGATAAAAAACCCAGCTCAATATTTTTTTCTCTATCATGTCTACAAAGACTCTAATGTGCAAAAATGAGATTTCTTAGGATTTTACTTCATTTTATGGGCCTTTACGGGGGGTCGATGAGCGATTTCTGCTTGTACTTGAGATCCTTGAGAGTTGCAAGTACACTGCTGAGTATTCCACGGAGTTTCTCGTAGGCGATTTCGACGTCGTCATTCACGACGATGTGAGTATCGGAGTTGGACAATTCTTTTTGTTGTTGAACTAGATGATGAAACAGTGGAAAGTGAATTAGTACAGCCATGGCAACAGCTGCTAGGCAACTATTGGGTTTATACCGCCTTGCCATTATAAAAGAGTCATTAATGCGAGTGACAATTACTGATTTTTTTCTGTTAATATCCTCAGTGACAAAAAAGGCTTTGAAAGCTGAAAATAAAACCTTCAACCTAGCAATGTCTTTTTGTGTAAATATTGTACATTTAGGATAAGGAAATATATCAAATTCACATTTTTGAAATTCTATGAAATCTTGAAATTGAGTAGGTTTGTGGCGCGCAAAATCTGATTTAAAAAGTTAAACAGACATTATTTTAAACATGAGGAACTCTTATCACATTGAACTGGTAAAAAAAAACCATTCTAACAAATAAATACAAAAATAAAACAAGCACACAAAAAACACACCCGAAATCACTCTAGTAATTCAAACACTGCAAATTGGGCAAGCGCTGATGTTAGTACAAAACGGGTCCAAGGAATGGAAAATGTCGGTGCAAAAAAAAAAAAAAAAAAAAAAAAAAAAAGTTCTCTAATTTATTTTAAAGTGGTGCCAAACATTGAAAATTTTATGCCAAACTTGTGAAAAATTGATCTTCCAATATTATTAACTGAATCCGTCACTGAAAAAAACATACATATACTTGTACAATGTCGGAAAATATTCAATGTCTGACCGTAATTTTACCCTTTGTGCATTTCCCGTGACATACCTATCTACAAATGGGGCAAGCCATGTGCTACGTTTTAATTCCGTCCTTTGCCTCTTCCAGTCTCTGAATTTCGTCCATGAGGGCGCTCTTCAGGCCCTGGTAGGCCGATTCCACGTCATCGTTCACTATGGTGTGGCCGATTTTCTGTTGATGGCCAACTGATGGGAGGCATATGGAGGAAGGGAACCAGGGATGAGTGGCGTGTTAGTGGTTGGGTGGGCAAAGTGGAAGCTTTAGCTGTTAGTTTCTCTTTCTACCAGATGTGCAAGAAAGCCAAAATAATAAAAAGGGGAGAACGTACTAAAGCCCATTCTTGACCAGTTCACGCCGGGATTATTTTGACAAAAACGGAACAAGGCGGGGGATTACTTTTCACTGGACCTCAAATCAGGCGGGTTGAAGCCATCACCCTCGGGCAGCACACTCATATTTCCGGCCTCGCTCGCTGCAAGCAGGTCGCTTACAAATATTTCCGGCCTCGCTCCCTGCGTGTTTATCTGTCATCCGTTCCGAATACCGCAAAATTGTGCGTGTATACACGGCCTCCGGCGCAAACTGGTTAATCCGCGCGAATGCTTAGCAACTTTGTAGCATCAGAGATGCATAACATGCTTGAATTCCGCAAGCGTGCACTGGTCGCTACACTCAATCTTGGCAAATTAATTCTAGGTGAAGTTTAATTGTGGGCTTTTTGCTCCAAAGGTTCCTTCATGTATAGCAGAACATTATTTTCTCTTGACAGTGGGTCATGTTACATTATTAAAGGGCCCATGCAATGTAATCTTTTTAATGCGATCCTTGAAAATGCATTTTTGTGTCCCATTTAACCTCATTTACAATTTTTGTTTTGCCATCTGAAAGGGTATTTTGGTCCCTTTTGGGGTTTTATGCTAATGTGAATTTCCATATTCATGAGCAAAACTGTGATGTCATTCCGGGCAGAAACCTCAATGTTAGAACTATTTCAGCACGAAACAGTTGCTAGAATTTTGGATATTTTCTTGATTTTTTGTTGTGTCAGTACATGGCAGTAAGCCAATGAGCAACCCTTTCTTATGTTTTCAGTGAGCACATTTTGGGCTCACCATTTGAACAGAAAACCCCTAAACTGAACAGTGTCTTCCTGAAATGACATCACAGCAACAACACTATTTTCTATTTTCACATCTAGATTTGAACTGGTTTCCGTAAAAAGAAAATGAAAAACAAATGTGTAAACAGCCACCACAATATAGGTTCCACATGGAATTTGACATGAGAACAAAATAAATGGTTCTCAGGCTGAGGTGCCTTAGATTAAAGATGTGCACATGAATGAATTGTGCAAGATGTTAGATTATCCACCCCCTCCCCAGAATATAAAAGCCATTGACTTTCTTGCAGATCCATCAAAATCTGCCAACTCTGAGATTTTGAAGGATTGAAGAAGGAAAACTTGGAAGTTTTATAGAATGGGGCATTTTGTTCCCGCAGAGTGAAGTTTACCAGCAAAAGAATGCTGGGTCGTTGGGTTAACATGAGTCTCCCGGGTGCAGATCTGTAAATAGGCCCAGAATTGCCTACGCAAACCAAATCACGATTTGTATGCCCTCAAATTCTCAGGTATTAGAGCATTCTGAGGGCCGTGAACTTGAGGATTTGTCAAAAAAGAAGGGTGGAAGCTGTGCAAAGGACTGCAAGCTCGTACTTCCGTGAAATTTGGATTAAATTAGGCCCTAAAATGGCTCTATTTTGCAATGGAGCATAAGCGTCCATTTTTAAAATGGCGATGAGCTTCAGGACTGGTTTTAGGGGTGATCATATTTGGATGGAATTTTCTCCCAAAGTTATCAGTTAACCCCCCCCCCCAAAAAAAAGAACAGAAAATGAAAGATGATGAAATAGCTCTAATTTGATGGGTGTCTCAAACACCTTGGAGAGTTGTGAGTATTTTCAATAATTTTTGGGGTTTATGGGAGTCAATTTGCAGGCCTGCATACTTAATTCTGCAACACTCCTGTTAAAAATGCCAGCTTGCGATGACAGCATTCAGCCACTGCAAAATAGCACAGCCCAATTTCGTGAAGCCGCCAGGCACAGCTGATACTGCTTACCAGGATTTTAAGCTTAGCAGGTATCAGTCGGGAACCAGCGACCAAGTTAAATACACTGCAAAACAATTTAGCTGGTAACCGGTTTCTGCTAAGCGAATAATATTTGTGCTTAGCATTTTTCTATGCGTAGTAGCTGCACGAAATTGGGCCTAAGCATGCCACTCAGTTTGTCATGCTATTTCTGTGTACTCACTGTAGTCCATCTCTCTCCTCGCTATGTCTAGCCTCCTTTGGATCGCCTCCTCTGTGTCTGTCTTGCGATTCCGCAACCTCTCCTCCTGTTTAAGACATGAACAGTGAATCAAATTTCATTTCAAGACTTTGCCATCAGAAAAAAAAGCTTCTAGCAAGTAAAACAAAACAGAATTGCACATACACGTTTACAAAAAAAGTCGCTCCTGTGAAATATCACGAACGGAAAGTAGCTACAAGCACAAATACAAAACCAAAAAGATGACTGAAATAACACCCTCCTCAACCCCCCCCCCCCCACCACACCCCACATCATTCCCCTACCCCACCCCTCTTAAAAAAAGCTCGATTGGAAATAGCTCAGAAGCTGTGGGCCAACAAATTCGTGTTCATGCATGAGTCACGTGATTGTGCCATGTACTTTCTGGAAGGAGTAGTGTTTTGGGTAAAAAAAACCCAGCTTTTTGATCCCAGTGACCCCATGACCTTTGACCCCAGTTTGGTCATGTGACATGTTGGGGTTGGGCTACTGATACTTTTGACAAAGTTTGGATAAAATCAGTCAAAGTCTGTAGGAACATTAAACAATGTCAGCATTTGATACTAACTAACTAACAGAGAGGCGGATTCCCCCCCCCCCCCCCAGATCTCGGCCATTGAGTGACGAAAATTTTTGAAACTCAGTACATGTATAGAACAACTCATCATGAACATACGAAAGAAATTTCATGACTATAGGTCAAAGGGTTTTGGAATTATGGCTAATTAATTATTCATATGCATGAATGGTAATTCTACTCTGTGTACACGACGTATATGGGAAAGTTCAGTTTTCACGGCGCATAGCGCCAGTCTGATTTTTATGTTTTTGGTATCAAAAGATGCGCAAGGCTCGAGGCTAAAAAGTCATAACAGCTCGGGTCGTTAATAATTCCAAGGCTATCGCGGAAAAAGTTGAGGGGGGTGGGCGGATTCCGCCCCGGCCCTTTTAGGAATAAAAAAAAAGGACCAAAACATTTGAAAGTAAAGGCAAAATACGATCAGTCTGAACTCACCAGAACTTCCATGTTAGGTGGCTTGATGAAGATGTATATGGGCTTGAGATTGGTCTTTTGTATCTGGAGGACGCCTTGCAAATCAATGTCTAAGATGCATATCTTGTTGTTATTCAGTACATCTTGAACAGCCTTTTTACTGTTAAAAAACACAAATATTAAGGGGTGAGATTGGTTGCTGAATGCCCCAGAGCAACGTACGTGTAGGGTCTACGGAAGATGTTTGTATTTGCCTAGGAACCCCTGAAAATACCACATTTTTTTTTCGTTATGCATGGTATATAAACTTTGACAGGTAAAAACACTTTTTACAGAAAAACCTCAGGAATTGCAGATTTGAAAGAAATTCTTTACAAATCCTGAAAATCAGGTTTAATCCTGACAAAAAAATCCTGAAATCAGAAAAAAATCCTGTCAAGTCTCAGCCTGAAATATGGAAAGAAAGTTTAAAATATTCACTTCACCGTCTTCAACAAATTCAATTGTTCCCTTATTCCCCCGGTATTTTCAATGTGAATGTTTTATTTTGACGAAAAAACTACACTTCTTTTTATTTGGTCATCTGCATCTCTCTGCAAACAAAGGCTTTTATTTGAGGTTCTTTTTGCACTGAAGCATAAAAGATTCACCTGAAGTACAAACATGCACGTAAGTACATACTGTCGGGCCACAAATAATCTGAACTTTGAGAAGTAATTATTTCTTAACTATACAGGGTGGATAAAAAAAACCCGAAACCGAGATATTATTGCTAATTATAACAGAAGTAGGGCACATGTGAATCAAAGGGAGATATCCTCTGTTAGGGTTGAATCTCCTCTTTAAAATGACACCCCATCATGTCATTACATTCACGGTTGACTGAGCAGTGACCAATTTTATGAAAGGGTCTATTTAGAGAATTGCCGCACATTTCAATTGTGGTTTTTGTGGTGTCAATTGTCACAGAGTGAAAGGCTACGGTTGCCAATCAAGGCAGGTGGGGAAAAAGAGATTTTACCATAAAAAGTGGCCCAAGTCTCTAAATAGACCCTTTCATAAAATTGGTCACTGCTCAGTCAACCGTGAATACAAGGGTGTCATTTTAAAGAGGAGATTCAACCCTAACAGAGGATATCTCCCTTTGATTCACATGTGCCCAACTTCTGTTCCAATTAGCAATAATATCTCATTCAAAAGTGACTAACTTTTGTATTGCTATACAAACAGCAAGAAAAAAAAGAAAAACATTTTTTGGAGTGAAACCTAAACTTAATCATGCTGCGCGGGCAGACACATATAACTTGTATCAATAATTTCCACGTTGGGAAGATTTCTTGCAGGTAGTTCACTACATTTCTATCTACCAGGATATTTTGTATATGATTGGTTTAGTGTGTTATGAGCCTCAATACAGGGATCATCCAAAGTAGCCGGCTGTAATCAACACACCAGCTTCTTCATTAACATCTCGATTTTTGACGCAATTCCTTTGTCCATGGCCAATTCAGCTGCGCCGCAAAAATAAAACGTCCAAGGACACATAATGCATTCACTTATACTACTGCTGTGCTGCACATGTATGTACACGTACATTCAATTCTGTTTCAAATTGTTCATTAACAATTCAGACATGCACATGGTGCATATATAAATAAATAATGACTTGATGCACCTGGAGGAGTCGTTGAATATTAGCAAAAGGTCTCCTTTTTTTTTTTTTTTTTTTTTCATTCAATTTCGGTGGAGCTGCTATTAATCACAGAAATGTATTAAAGGTACATGTAATATACAACGCTTGCAAACATAAAACAAAATACCAAATTCTTATGTGATACCTTACTTGACTGTAAGTGAATAATAGTCTCGAGCATTCTGTGAAATCATGCCATCTGATGTGCTGTCGGTTTCAAGAAAAGTGGAATTTTTGTATCAATTTCCAATGATTGTCGGTCGACCACCGTTGGAAATTTTTTTTTTTCAAATACTGCCCCCAATTTACCACATGTAGTTAGTCATGTTGTTTGACAATGGTTACACATCCCTGAACGGGTGCAAACCAGTTAGCCTGGTTCCCTGACCTAAAAACTCCCTGACGTCTGTAAATTGCTCCGTTTTGTCTAAAGTACATGTACATGATGTAGGGTCAGGGAACCAGACTACAGCAAGGATGGGCCTTAGAGCTGGGGTTGGGAATGAGAGGGGTTGGGCATGGGGTGGGGTGGAGGGGGTGGGGCAGGGGAGTGTTAAGATAGGGGACTGCAGGGTGTTTCACTGAATACCTTGTTCCGTAAAGATTTGCTGAGAACTCGGCTGTTTCTATGAACTCATCATTTTTGATAGCATTCTCTATCCATTCCCGAGTTGTGTAGTGATAATCTGAGGGGAAAAAAGAGATTGCAATGGGATAAATACAGTGAGAACTACATTTCAAACATTAAGATTTTCTCAATATTTGTCCTCATTTTGTTTTGTAGATAAACAGGTGAATGTACATGTGACTTACGGACTCCATCTTGCTCTCCGGGCCTTGGTTTTCTTGTTGTGTCTGTGAAAAGGAACAAGCAAACAAATTAAAACTTTACAATTTAAGGCAAAACATGCATGTAAAAATGAAATAATGGAGCACTTATGTGTCAAATCTTTGGAGAAAAATATACTTTCACTAACAGTTGCTGATTTAAAATTATGTGCAGTGTACATGTACATGGGGTATTGTACATACAGTGCTCTCTGTAATTAACAATAAAACTGTCACACAGTTGATCTGGGATCTCCATAAACATGCACTGATACATTGATAAACAATGTGTTAAAAATATTTTTTGAATGTGAAAGTCCACGCGTGATGTGGAAAACAGAAAAACCCAATTGCAATCCAACATTCAATTGAACCCTGCCTGCTACTGTTTGAACAGTCACAGACAGTCAAACATTCCATCCACTTCCCTGCTATGCCTTAAACACAGGCTCGTCACCAACAGTCAGATCACATTTCAAACAAGCACTCTGACTAGTCGAATTCAGTCAACAGACAAAAGCAGGAAACTGGTGGCACGGTTGTCTTACCAATCACCTACAGTCAAAGCACAGCTATATCAAGTCACAGCCAGTCAATGCTGCTTTATGTACAACGTAGGCTCGGCGCCCTTAACTGTCGAAAACAGTCACTTGATTGATTTTGACTGAAAGGACAACTTGGCACAGAATGTATCGGTATGTTTTTGTGGGAGGGTTACATAACGTGTGAAATTTTGCCACAGATAACTACCGGTACAGGCCTACTGTATGTAAACCAAAAGACTTTTTTCCAGATTCTGTAATTCATGTACATGTATAAAAGTGTGTATAAAGTCAATCTGAACAGCCAGAGGTTCAGGACAAATTGGCTGTTTTGAATGATGGAAGAACATGTGTTCATAATTAATAAGCCATGGTACAGACTATTGTTCAGTCCCATAATGACAGAAAACCTTTGAATACATGTAGGGTCTGTACATGTTTGTACATTCAACTGCAAACTGTACATAATGTACAATGTACACGTGTACATTCAGAGAAACCATACATTATTACCGTCGCCATCTCATCCCTCACAACCATGGCAACTTCAGTTCCTTTTTTAAGCAAACATCCCCCTCACAGAGATGTAAATTATTCTGTTAATGAGCTGGCTGCTGGGGGTACAAACTGTGGAATTTCTCCATCAACACACGTAAATTTACGACCAGGGGGTGTTGTACATGTATGTATTTCCAACTATAAAAATATATCTTCATTAATTAGGATGAAAATTTTAAGTACGTAGCTCCGAAAGTAATGTGCTTACCAGCATAAGTCAATTAGTTTGGCCTCGTTAACCAAATTTAGATTTTGTATGGGCTCCGTGCACAACCCAGAGAGGGCGCTCTTGACCAGTTTTGTGATACGTGGCAGTGGCCAGGACACCGTGTGCACCTACAGTACTTGTTCGGACGCGCACAGTGCAAAATACATACAACTAGTTCTATTCCGAATGTGACAAACTTAAATAGCATCTTCATAGGAGCATCCTCACATGAGAGTCAGGCATCGTCCGCAATGCATTCAAATGTCTCTCCCAGCGGTCTGTCCTAACTCTCCCTTTCATCCCGTTGAGGGTACTTAATACACTGATGTGCTTAAAAGCATTTTAATGTACACGAGTATAAATGTACGGCAAAGCATGAACAAGGCATTTAATTGCACTTACAATGGCACCGCACGTGTATTGAAGATGATTCATCAACAAACAATATCACGTACCGGTACATCCTTGACCTTGTAACTTGTGAACAGAGCACACTCGACACACATAAAAAAATCCTTTTAGCGAATCAAGCAATTGAATTTTCACAATAATTACGATCACAAAAGCACGTTTGATGCAGTACATGCAAGTTCAAAAACATTCTTCCACTTAAAATTCTGAATGGCATGATCTATTGGAAAGCCTGGAGTATCGGTATAATAAGAAAAAGCTTGAAATAAAAACTGCATTATATCCAACCGAAAGGATTTAAGTGCTTTTCAACTGATCAAATTATCTTTGATCTTTCTTAGAGTGAAAATTTAGGGAAAGTGCCGTAAAGACATAAATTTACAGACGGAAGCACTTGACAACTTGCACCTTTGATGAGCCGACAATGTTATGAAGTACAGGTACATGCATTTCACTCATGACATCTGAAGTTACAGGGAATTCATTTTTTTTTGCTAGAGTTTACTTCAGTAAACTCAGCCTAGTTACAGGGTGAAATAGCATTCTACTTTATGTTTTCTTTTACAGTTTTCACAATTTTTCTTAATGAAAAAAAAACCCCAAAACAAACAAAACACCAGAACAAAGAAGCAAAACCATCAGATTTGCCCAAATACTTTAAAAATCTAGGATATGAAAGCCCAATTCATAAGCTTTCGTTTTAGTACACGATTCACAAAAAGGCAAGTGTTCTTTCAGCAAAACGAAAACTAATCACATAGGGATGTTTGTGAATTGTTTTCGTATTGCTGAAAGAACGCACACCTTATTTTGTGATCCGTGGACAGAACTTTAAAACATGGTGGTTGTGTTTAAAATTCCGTAACTTGAAAAGTCCATGAGTGATTCGAATGATTCTTGTACTGAAAGAAAGCTTATGAATTGGGCTTTCATATCCTAGATTTAGAAAGTGCTACATTGTACATGCAGAACTTCACTAAAACAATAGTCCTGACATTTGGGTTTTGCTTTTTTTGACTCACCCTGTACAGATAAAATAAACACTTTCTAGCCTGAAATATTTCTACATACACAGTATTCAAACCTTAAATTTATGTCTATATTCAAAGAATCGGAGGGGTTAATGTAACAATACACTGTATATGTATGCAAATGTACCCAGAGTAATGCAAACATCCTGAAGAATCCAGGGAGTGGCTTTTTATTGCATAAGCTTAATACATTGTGTAAACAATGTTTTTAAAATGCAAATTCAAAGTTGCACACAGTTTGCATTTAACTTAGTGAACTGCATGGCAAGTTTTCAGTTTTTAATATTGGCTTTAATCAAAATGTCTTTTAAATGTAAGCATTAGATATCTTCATACGATTTGTCACAAATTTTGGGGTTAAATCTGAAGTAAGAGTTCACATTTTTTGCAGGTGAAAGAAAATTCTCAGGGAAAAAACGTCTGTTAAAAATTCACATGTGCATTTACAAACAATTTTGACTGCATCGTTTTGAAATTCAAGTTTCATGAAAAAGGCAAAATAAGATACCCATTAAATTGGTCAAGGACACAATGAACCTGGGGAGTCCTGAAAAAAGGCAAACACATTTGTCATCAAAAAATAATTTCTTTGTAACATTTCTTTAATTGCTTTAAAAAAAGTTTATGATAAAATTACACAATTTTATTGGCAACGACTGATAATGATTGTGGCTATGTATGATCATGGAGCTATGATGAAAAACGAAGTGGCGTCAGAATATTTTTCTCTCATCGCAACATGTTTGTTTATCTGAAACAATTTAATATAAGTGAACTTACGACTGACGGAGAATCCAAAATAGTCTTTGTACTCCTCCATAAGCCTCTTGATCAAGGTGCTTTTGCCGGAGCCAGAGGGCCCACATAGGACGCACGGCCTGGGCCTGTAGTCTGCCATCCTGTGTGATGCACTGTGGATGAAGCCTGCTGGAATGGGAAATAGGAAAACACTGTGTTTATATAGGGAGGCTGCTGGAGGGATGACGAGGTGGAGGCGGACTCTGAGTGTTGAAGCCAGGGGATTGGTCTGTAGTGCTGTTGAATATTCATGAGTAGAAGCTGTTGGAGGGATGAAGAGACCTGGGTGACGTGGACTGCCTGTTGGAGTGACAGGATTGGTCAGTTGAGCTGTTGAATATTCATGAGTAGAGGCTGTTGGAGGAATAAAGAGGAGACCTGGGAGGTACATGTAGACTCTGCCTTTTGGAGTGAGGGGATTGGTCAGTGGTGCTGTTGAATATTCATGAGTAGAGGCTGTTGGAGGGATGAAGAGGAGACCTGGGAGGTACATGTACATGTGGATTGTCTGTGGGAGTGAAGGGATTGGTCAGTTGTGCTGTTGAATATTCATGACTCACAGGGATTGCTTTTGAATATTCTGGAGAATAGAAGTACCGGTACCTGCCAAGGTAATGTGTGTGTGAAGGGGGGGGGGGGGGAGGGGGGCATGCACAATGTATACATGTAGTAACAGCAATAACAATGCTTATAAATGTTGTTATTTGCTTTAGGATTGTTTGCAAGCCTGAAGCTTTGGAATATTTGAATATTCATGTAGTAAAAGGCCTCCATGACTACGGGACTAGTAGCTGAAAAATGTTACGAAACAGGTATTAATTCAACACAACCAAGATAATAATACATTTGAAGTTTGCACTAAAAAATCCACACATCTTCAATACATGCAGCTGCATACGTGTACATACCCGGTATAATGTAGGGTATATGTTTCTCCTCTAAATTTAAGAATGGTAAATAGATGAAACAGAACATTTCATAAAGATGACTTGGTCAAATGGGACATACCTTTGAGTGGTTGTTGTTAATAATAATGAGTGAAATAGGTCTAACCACTAGCCTGTCAATGAAAACCCTTGACCCACACTTACAATGACTGGACTTGGTCCCGTTGTCCAGAGGATCTTTTGAGCCCTGCATCAAGCAGTGCTTGAATTGTAAATCAGGCAGAACTGGAGCACAAAGCCTGTGGTTGGATCAGTGAAGGAGTCGAGGGATTTAAGTGCCTGTCACGTTAAGTGCTTTCTTTTACAAACCTAAGACGGTGGTCAAGTGCTCTTCATATTATTCATCATTATTCAAATGCATGCTCCATTTGAAGTCGATTTGACCAAATCAAGTATTCGTTTTTATACTCTCACGGTCATCTTTAATGCTATTCTTAAACTTCATACTGAACGCTGAAATGCAATTCTTATTACATTTTGTACTTACATTGTATTTAGAAATATGAACAGGATATTATTTCTCATACAATAAAATAAATTTCACATTTTGTCCAATCTAGTCTCCTACCATATTTTCAATCGATTGATATTATCATATTTCAATTAGTGATTTTTTCACTTATGATTGTTTCTTGTTACACCATTAATAAATCCATATTATAACTTTGTAAACGTTGATATTTTGGTAAATATACATGATATAAGGCCTAATGCCTTTAACCTGATATTGAAGGTTCTTTTTTTAAACACAATCATGCTTTTTAGTTGCAAGGTTTAAATTTGAAATAAACCATTAATAATAACAATTCAATTTTTTTTTTTAAATTTTGACTGCAAAATGTGTGTTATCTTTAAATCATATTTTGAAAATGATATTTTATTTTCAGGCATGCAACTTGGAAAAAGCACAAAATAGGAATTTCCACTTGAGGTTTAAAAGACAATGTTTTTTTCCCAAATTTGTTAGATTTATAATAACTAAGTGTTAACTGAAAAAACAAATCAGCTGATCTGAGGAAAAGTTGCTTGCCTGCAGATGTAAAAAATAATTCTGCTCACGACTGTACTATCCAGCTAAACATCATATCATACTAGTCTGGTACATGAAGATGACTTGAAATTCAAACCTTGTGAAACTACCCTACATGTGTGCATGAATACATTAATTATATTTTTTTTATAGATTTTTGAAGAAGGCAGCTGCTTGATTAAATTCAAGCCTCTCATCTCCAGTGATCTTAATCACAAGGGCATTGTTAGATGAAAAAAAGGAAAAAAAGAATATTCTCAGCGTGGGGTAATGGGGAGAGATCATCATGAAGCCCCATCATGTTACTCCTTGAGTCCTGGCAGCTATTTTTAGCAGATTGTAATGAAGTTTTTTTTTTCCTCGAAATACCCAAGGCTACCAAAATAAACACACCTGAAATTGAGTTACAAAATTCTACAATCTATCTTCAGAAATCAGAAAATGGCCTTACAAAATCAAAACTGTGAGTGTGATAAGTGTAATTTAAGCAAAAAAATACAAACAATTTGACAAGTATTAATTTCAGTGTGGGATTTGGCCTGATTTGCAACACAGAATTTTAGGCAATCTGAAGTTCACAAATTAAACTTGTACTTTCCTGAGAAAATAACAAAAAATTCATTGGATTTGCTATATAGAAAAACATTAAGAATGGTTACATTGTTATTTTGTACAATTAAATACAAATGTACACTGTCAAGGAACAAAATTTCCATTTGTCCTTTAAAAACAAAAGCATGCAAAATACATGACACACATATCCTCATGACACTGCATGAACATGATGAATGATTCAGCTAGCCCCTTCCGGTAAAATTCTGCCAACCGGACGTCATTCCATGGTGACTCGCGTGACATTTGAACAAAATGTAAAGTTTTAATGCATTACTGTTGTTAACCTGGCATTTATTCAACTGAAATTAGCGTGTATTTGAGTCAGGGCATTGTGAATTTATGGTTTAGTTTTTATATGATTACTTTAAAATCGCTATTTTTTTATGTATCACAGTTTCTTTGACGTGACTCGCGTGACAGGATAGAAAAAGGGATTTTTGACATCCCTTGATTCAAATAGCTTTTCCTATGGATCTAACATGCTGAACTTAGAACTTAATACCCTCACCCAATACATGCATAAGTTGTATTGTGCCAAATATCCCTTGTTGTAAGAAATGGCCTGAAGAAAATGTGACTCGCGTGACACAAATGCGTGACTCGCGTGACACAGTACCTTTTCACTTTCACATTATAACTGTAATTTTAGTATAACAAATCAAATCATAATATTATATTAATAAAAATGATTTACCTGTGAATACCTTATGAAAGAGTGTGAAAACTGCTATTCCTACAAATGTACTATTAGGGAGACACGTTAGCGTAGAAACTTCAATAGCAGGGAGACACGGGCTTAATAGGGTGACACCTAAGTGTCTCCCTATTGGTGCAGCCCCCCTTTAGAGGAAAAATTTTGCTGTCGAAATTAGGTTATATTTGTTGCTCGTGGTCTTATTAGTAAAAATACCGAAGTTTGTGGAAAAAGGACAATGGAATATTGGGTTAGCGCACATTCAATTCGGAAAATTTTTGTGCACAAGTCTATGGGAATGTCTCCCTATTACCCCATTGCCGGTAATTATTATTTATCCCTTTACTTTGGCGAATGTTGGGGGTGGAAATCTGGTTTAAACACAATATCCTTAACAATGACACGGAGAGAATTTTTTTTTTCGGAATTTAAGTTACGAAGTGATGTCATCAATCCACGGGTGATTATTTCAGGAAAACAGTTGTAATTCTTGGTCATGTAGAGTCACAGTTTCCTTAAAATGTAAGAGCTGCAATTAATGATGCAGTTGTATAGGAATGTATACAGTATATACATAGATCTGTAAAAAACTGATTCAATTTCTTGTTACATAGGGCCTTACTAGTTAATGCTTTTAAAGACTTAATTCCAATTCTATAATTTAATATGGCATTGTTTCTTTGTATTACATGTAAATGAAACATTCCTGGCTTGTGACCAGGCGCGGATCAAGAGGGGGTTTGGGGGTCAACCCCCCCCCCCCCCCCAGCTCTGTCAAAAAAAAAAAAATTCTCATACAAATTCATAAAAATTAAGTCGAAACCCCCCCCCCCTGCTGTGACACCCTCAAAAAATTATACTGGTCTAATGTCCGCCTGTTCAAAATACAGTACACCATTCTGTAATGTGTTAATAATCGTTGAATTTGAACAGCGCCCCCGATTGAAATTGGTACCAGCTCCCGTACCCCCCTCCAGTTTTTGATTTTACGGAGGCCAAGTGTCCGGAGAAAAAAACGTGTGTACATTTTCAGATTTTTTGGCTGATGAAACCCCCTCCCCCCTGCGAAAATCCCTGGACCCGCCCCTGGTGACTCGCGTGACATACATCATGTGTGACTCGCGTGACATTCTTGAGATAGTTTTTTCTACAAGGAATGTAGAGCAAATAAGAATATTCATACTTTTATTGATAGACCACCACTATTTCATTTATAAATATCAAACACTAGCTGAATCCCTCTCTAGTTATTAAGTAATCTGAAAAAAAGTCCTATTTTGTGACTCGCGTGACATATTTTTGAGGGTGTTTTCACGGTAAAATAGTGGGAAAATACTGAAGACATTTGGAAAAATTCTCAATGTTTTATCAAATACACTGGAATAGCTACCAAATGAATGCAGATAAAGCACAATCTTATGAATGAGCTTCAATTACTTCCTCAGTTTGTGATTTATACCCCTGACCCTCCATTTTGCCCACAAAATTCATCCATGTTCAGGAGGCTGAAACTTTAAATAAAATGATTTATTTTAAATTTTTTTTTGAGATTTAGATGGTTTCAATATTCCTCTTATCAAATATAACTGACAAACATTTATTCCTTTCACTTCAATTTTTGAGTTTGGTGATGACCCTTACATGGAATGGCTGACACCACTTTTTTCAATTAATTTTCTAGCGCCAAAAGGTGCCTCTTTTATGGTTATTCTCTCCACTTTCCCTCCCCTACTCTTACCCCCTCCTTTCCTTAATTTCTATTTATCAATCAGTCGCTCACTTCATGGAGATTCGAACCTCGGACGCTTGCTTGATACACGAGTCTCTTAACCGCTAGGCCGCACACGATCGCTGTTGCAATGATCAATCTTTGGACGTATTTGAAGTATCCATTGAAATAAACTAAATATTCATGAGAAAATAAATATTCATAATGACGTATTGCACTATCATTGGCCGGCTCATGCGACGTCTCATGCGACGTCATGGTTATCGATGTCATGCGTATAACGTACCGCAGTTCCAGACACTTCAATCAGTTTTGACCGGCTGCTTCAACTCAGATCTGCACTACATGTGCATGCAAAATGTGCTCCAAAAACAAATTTTTACCAATTTTTTTCGCATGTCCACTCTTTTCTGGATTCCTCTTGGTTGAAATCACAAGGTGAGGTGAAAATTTGGATGTTTGGCAGCAGGTAAGTGGTGATTGGTTGGCCGAATTTTCCCAGGATACGTAAACAATCCAAAACATGACATTTTTGGGGATTTCAGGACCTAGTGCCGTTTAAAAACAACACTAACAGCATGCAAAACACATGACACACCTGACACACATGAATGATTCAGCTAGCGTAGCAATAATCATTAGCAACTTCCTTATAATAACGAAAGCATAAACCAAAGGATAATAAACTTATACGAAATTCACAAAGGCCAAACAAACACCTAAAGAATGAAAATGTTAACGACGACACTAGAGTATGCGTGTACACTTACCAATTCTGGGAAACAAACGGTACCTAACGACGGAAAACATCAAGATTGACGCACGCCTGTTTGGGATTTTGTTGTCGGTCAATCGTTTTTGAAGAGCGCCCTCTATATATAGAATTAGAAGTAAAATCGTGGACGTTGGCGGCGTCCTTCACTTTATTTTGATCATCATCGATCATCGGTCGCCCATACATTTGTGCGTCGCAGTCATCGTACACCGCTTTTTACAACATTTTTCGGCAAGTTAATATTGATTTTTTTTACATTCATTTTCTTAAACAGGGAGGAAAAATGTGTGCGATTAGTAGTCCTGAAGTCGGTTGATTATTAGTTTAAAAACAAAGACAAGACTGGATGATTTGGGGGATTCAAGGGGGCGTGGCTTGGGGGGGGGGAACATTGATGTCAATTTTATTTAGGCCTGTTTAATTTTTAATATCTTCCAAAGTGCCCACTTCGAGCAAAGTTCAATGAAACTTGAAAGTAGGATTTGATTAAATACATGAAAGTTAAGAAAATGGTGCCTAGTTTTATTTATTAAACAAAGATTAACAAAAAAAAAAAAAAAAATTGTAACAACAGTGCGGATTCGATCCAGGAACTTTCGGCATTGGTAGTCCAACGTTAACCAATCGAGCTACCAAATCATTTTATTGTTGGCCTACATTCCAAATGGTGTTTTGCAAAGGCGTAACGACAACGACAGCAGTTGAAAATAGCATTACAGCTCCCGTAACGATATCCATTACGTTTCAGAAAAATTACCCATTTTGCTCCACACTAAACGGTATTTCAATCCTAGGTCATCTCGGCCCAACGTCCAGTTCCCAATTTTTGACCAGGTAGACTTGGTCCAAAGCTCACTCATCAGCCCAAAGTAAACTTGACCAGAAAGAAAGAAGCAAAAAAGCAAATCAGGACTATAACATGTACATGATGTATAATATATTTCACTTTCTATTTTTGTAGTTGGTGGCTGCCGATAATGGTGTTTCTCCACGAGTCATCTAACGCTACTACTACCCCCAGCCTATGATGCGCCATGTCGAACAGCAGCCACAGCTCCGATTCGCAGAGGTCAGGGGTCGCAACCACGCATGTCAGCTTCGTCTGTCAGCGTTGTTGTCAGCCGCTCAAGTTGGACCCGTCCTTCAGTTCGCTGGACAGCCAGACCTACATTGACCTTACAGGTCAGGGGTCATTGACCTTAAAAGACCATTTGTGAAATTCTGGCTTAATTTGCAGTTTTGGCTCTGTTTCTTGTTCTAGAACCTAACCAAATGAACAGTCAGAAATTTTGGCCAAGTAAAAAAATATACCAATTTCTTGTCTCCATCCGTTTTTTTCCCCGCCAAAATAACATTGGGCGGGCTTCTGTTGTCATCGAGGAGATGACAATATTTTTAAAATATTAAAATATGGACATTTTTCTGTCTGTCTGCTGTACAGCGCCATTATTGACGGCCAGTTCAGGCAAGGCCACTCCACTTCTACAGAGCACAGACAGTGCTGAACCGTTTGAGCTCGACAAAAATGATGGAGTATCAAGGAAAAGAATACAACCTGTCAGGTAAGTTGGCTGTATGTGGGTGTGTGCCACTCCATCTATGACCGTCTCTGTCCCTTTTCAAGAATCGTTCGATTTTGGGAAAATTATGTGTTGGGGGATGGGCCCAAATACCTCAGAGCAGTCGTTGATTTTGAATTTTGACTTGCTCACAAGTTTTCTGAGAAAACAACTAATCTGGGCTTAAATTTGTTGAGCTGGTAAGCAGAAAATATATTTTTGCTTGACAAATTTGTGTGCTTACCAGTTTTCGGCTGGGAACCAGTGAAAAGCAATATACATCATGTGGCATTTTGGCTGGTAACCTGCATTCGCTAAGCAGGTAGTTACTGTGCCTAGCAAGTTTCTACACTTACCAGCTAGGTGAAGATTTTGTGCTTATTCAAAGAGTTGGCTTGCAGGAACAAAGTTTGCAACTATTGAAGTATTACTTGAATGAGAGTTCACAATGCATACAATTCTGAAAAAGGAAATTAATTTTTTGATTCGTACCTACAGGTACCCCTCACAAGACAGTGGCCAAGAATTCACACTACTTGGTGAAGCAGCCAGCAGTCGTATGGAGAATATCAGCCATAGAATCAAGGTAATCTGCTCAATGTGGTGTGTCTTTAAATTTAGTCCTGACTTTACCACTTCTAACATTGGTGACGATTATAAGTAATCATCCCCTCACAAAAAAATGACATATTTGATGGAATTTTCTCTTTTCTAGGTTGCCAGTCAGCTGTTTGACATCATGTCTGGTCACTCAGATATCGACCATCCACTGTGTGAGGTAAATTATTTCTAGAGGTTAACTATAAAGTTGAAAGGTAGTCTTAAGCATCCAAGGTTAATCACAACTTCACAAGTCATAACATTTTCTACTGAACTTTGACTAAGGCATTCCTCTGCCGTTGGCCATCCCCAGTCACTTGACCAAAAACTTGACTTTGTTATAGCCTTGTGTTTGACTTGTTTGACAGGCCTTGTGATTTGACTTGTGATTGACTGCGATTGATTGGGATTGACTTGTGACAGGCCTTATGGTCGACTTGTGATTTAACTCATGATTGCAAAGTGATTGACTTGTGAATACTGATGATTTGCTTATGGAGTACTTGCTTACAACTCTGTGGTTAATTTTTTGACTTGTGACTGGTCTTGTGATTAGCTTTATGACGGGCCTTACTACAACTCCTGACAATTTTATACCGTTGTGCTTCAGGAATGCACCGACTCCCTGCTGGACCAACTTGACCAGCAGCTGAAGATCACAGAGGATGAATGCAAACATTACAGAGAGTCTCTAGAGAAACTAACAGACGGTGAAGATAACGAAGACGAAGCGGTGTTGGAAGCAGAGATTGAAATGGTGAGTAGTTGGTTGCAACCAATAGAACATGTTAGTTGACCTCAAAAACCTGCGAGATTTTACAAGAATACAGCACATCTGGGCACCATGCATAGGATCAATTATTTAAATTGAGCTTCTTTGGTCACCTGACCAACAATTGTGTGATCTGATTGGTCAGTGTGCACTGTTGGAATGACAGGCAGGACCGGTCCATTATTCCTAAGCTAAAATATAGGGGTTTCTTTATGCTTCTGCCAATAACAAAAATACAACTCACAAGTTACTGACTTCTGATTGACTTGATGACAACTCTGTCTTGTGTTCTCTCGTGAAGTTGAAAGCCAACGAAGCTGAACTTGTCAAACAACTTGAGGAGACAGAGTCTGAACGACAGAAGATCGCCGAAGAGACACAACTGCAGAAGAAAGAGCTGGAACAGCTAGAGGCTGAGGAAGAAAGGTCAGAGGTTAAACTGAGAAACTTAAGGTCATAATTAATTCAAACTGAAAAACTACAGGTTTGAGGTTTAAGAGCAAAGTTAACAGTCAGAGCTTAAACTGATAAACTCAAGGTCAGAGGTTAAACTGAGAAATTATCAGAGGTTAAACAGATTCTAAAGGACTGAGGTTTAACTTAGAAACTAAAGGTCAGAGGTTAACTAAAAAACTAAAGGTCAGAGGTTAAACTGAGAAACTGAAGATCATATGTTAAACTAAGAAACCGTTCATTTTAGTTTTTGTCTAAATATACTTCCAATTGGTAATATTTTCATGTTACTGATTTTGATTTGCCAAATTTAAAACAAAACCCAACAGCTACTGGAAGGAATATAACAAGTACAAGCAGCAACTGCTGACCTTAAAGGACGAGCAACGAAGCATCGACAATCAGATGAGGTATGCACAGACGCAACTCGACCAACTCAGCAAGACGAATGTCTTCAACGCAACATTCCACATATGGTGAGTCTCACTCTTGCAATTCAGCATTAAATTTTGTAGTCTAGTTCACCGCAAGTCCTTACAAGGCCATCACTAGTCATTCAGTCTGAAGTCATTGAAATTTGGTTCTCTCTTTGTATTTGTACTTGTAGGCACAACGGCCATTTTGGAACCATCAACAATTTCCGTCTTGGTCGTTTACCCAGCGTTCCCGTGGACTGGAGCGAGATCAACGCAGCCTGGGGCCAGACGGTCCTGCTGCTACACTCCCTGGCACAGAAGATGAATTTCAAATTCAAGAGGTGAGTTTTGAACTTGTGCCCAATCTTGCACTTTTACCTCGAGAGGGAATTTTTTTAAAGAGAATTCCTTTTCAGCTTTTACACAGAATTCAATTGCCTTTCTTCAACAAAAAATGGTGACGTCTCTATGAAAACTGCATCCTTTATGAGTGATCTTTTTCTCTTACCCATAAAAATTAGATATCGATTGGTCCCGTGTGGCAACCATTCCTACCTGGAGTCTCTACAGGACAAGTCTAAGCAGCTACCCCTCCATGGATCAGGTGGCTTCCGGTTTTTCTGGGACACGAAGTAAGCCACTGTCTGATTGCTAGTCACAGACATCACCAGACTAATTGAAGTTCCAACAGACCATAACAGACAGTTATGCTATCACAAACCTATTACCCTGAAATTTGCTGACAACTGGAAGTCTGAAAAGTGATAGAAAGGGACTGGAAAAATGTTCAAGATGGTTGGAAATGGGGATTGGACACCTAACACTAGCTTGAGCTGTTTATAGTTGGCTCTTTTGCCGACAGTTATGTGCCCCGCCCCCTGAAGCATTGCCCTTGGGGCTAATTCAGAATTTGTTGATAGATGGGTGTGACACATTACTAAGTTTTCCGACATTTGCAGAGTGATCTTTGTTCTGACAAATAGCATTGGAAGTGGTGTTAAAGCAAGTGATTACAAATATTGAAAAATGATGTAAATTCTAGTAAAAGGACAGCAGACCTTGTAATTTGAGCCAGTACATGTACACGTATATCAGCTGGCCGATTTCAAAAGGTGTTTAACAAACTTCAACCTCATGTCCAGCTTTGGATCCAGCTTAAGAATTGTTACGACTCCGACTCAAAAGTCTCTGTCTCAGTCTGCCAGTACTGGGTCATTTTCTGATAAAAGACATTTCAGGTCTGAATATAACCGGCTTCACAAGGAACTGGTGCCGAAGCTGGAAGTGAAGACATGGTTTTGTAAATCTCATACAGTTAAACACGGATTGTTATTGCTCTTCCGGTAGGTTTGATCAGGCCATGGTAGCCTTCTTGGATTGCCTCCAGCAACTTGAGGAGGAGGTCGAGAGAGGAGACACCAGCTTCTGTCTGCCTTACAAGATGTCTGGAGGCAAGATTGAGGACAAGAGCAACGGTGCTACGTACTCAGTCAAGTAAGTCGTGGCTTATTAAAAAGCACGTAGGAACATTTGCAGTGACCTAGAAATGAGCCTTTCAATTTACTGAGAAAATCTGTGCTCATAGTGGAGAGATAGGGCTGATGTTAATATCCTTTCAATCGTTGAAGGTGGTTCAAGAAAACATGCCCATTGGCACAGTTTTTACGTGGGTTAGCAATGGAATCCTCTCAGTTACGAGACCCCAATAGTTGCGCATTCCTTTTCTCTGTTTTCTCAAAATGTCCCGTATCCACTGAGCTGAAACTCCAACAAGTTAAGTAATTGTTACGCACTCTTCTTAAGATTTTGAGCAATATTGTTGCATCGAACAAAAACAAAATACACAAAAAGCTAACGATCCTATGATATTTAAAATTAGAAGGTTTCAAGGAGTAGGATAGCAGTAAGTGTCGTAATGTGACAGTAAACATCTTAAGTGAGTTATAATAATAAACAATACTTGAATATGTTACATGAGTGGAAAGTTGAAACAATGTCAAAATTATTCAAAAGTGGAATTGTATTGTTTTTTTGACAGGATCCAGTTCAATTCCGAGGAACAGTGGACGAAAGCGCTCAAGTTTATGCTGACGAACCTGAAGTGGGCTTTAGCCTGGGTGTCATCACAGTTCACTAAGTGATCAAGCTTGGTCAAGTTTCTGCCAATTCTGAATTACTTGGTTATGGAAGTGGCAAATTTAAAGTTTGCAAACAAAATTGTGTACTAAGTCCTGTATTTATGCTTGTCTGGTTGTAGCTTCATGCTACACTGGTTTGCAATTAAATAAGGTATATCCAGAAATGGAAAACCAGATGAACATGTCTTGTAAATTTAAGGACCCGAATCACAAATATATGCCGAGCTTGTGGGAATTATTGAAAATATATTTGTAAAAAAAATAAACCCCAAACAGTGCTACACTGTTTTATATGCGGGTACAAAAATCGCAGATCAAAAATTGGTCTAGTGATTTTTGATTCAGTATATGTAGAGCTGATCAATTTGGCAGTTGGCCAAATTAAGTCATTAATTCTTCTTAAAAAAACCCCAGAATTTCACTTTTGAAGCAAATCCTTTACAAAGTGTGTACATTTAAAAGTGAAGTACGCAGTTTGTATGGTCTAGTTGCACTTTGCCTCACTAAGCATTATCTACACTTTTGAGTGTACATAAATTCAGTAACGCGCTTATTTGACAGAAATGCAAGGTTTACTTTTCCTGTGCTGAACACTACAGCGTATGACACAAATTATCTAAATATTTTTACACCCTTCAACTGGTGAAGAGGATTTAAGCTCATCTCTGTTAAAAAAAAAATCATTTTGAAAACAGTAAATCTTTTGTCTTGCATACTTTCTTGTGAATAGGTATATTTTAGGGAGAAAAAAATGAAGACAGATTTCAAGAAATCAAATCGAAGTATTGTATTGTCTTAAATGTGTTTTCCTATTCATAAAACAGCTGTATCAAAAGTGAATAAATACGATATGTAACACTTACACTGAATCGCAATGTTTCTTTGGGATTGTATGTGTATTTTTGAGAAAATTATTATAAATATATCCACAATGTACACCATAAATCTACATCAGCACATTCACTGCGTAAAATTTATTGACAAGCAAAATACAATACAGCTTGGCAATGCTTGATGCATTGATTCATATTAATCTTGTGAGACAATCGCCCTAGTCTGATATTGATGCAAAATTATATTATCTTCAAGCATCTCGGATCTCGGAACACCATCGGTTCCAATCACGATGCAGAAAAAAATGTCTTCAGGAGAAAGTGCACATAAAAAGTGCCAGTTTTAGCACCACTGCCACTGTTCTCATAAATACGCTAAAAGAAGAGTTTAAAAAAACATGGCCAATTCACAGAAAAAAAAAAGACACCGCTGTGTTGACTTCCTACATAGTCGGATGAAAAACTCGGCATCAAATTCCTTGTGCATAAATTCTCGGTTCAAATTTCACGTCGCGTGAAGTGGCACATTTTAAAAACCACTACCACTTCAAGCACTTCTTACTATCTCAATTTTTCCTGAACCATGACTCCAACCATGATTTGATTTTGCCATTGCCTGTATTACGAAAGGCATATATGTCCAATAAAGCACAATGCAATACATTTTATAAGTACATATACAAATAAAAAAAAAATACATAAATTATTACTGTAACTGCTACAAATGAAAATACTGTCGAATGACTAGACATGCAAAAGAGCAATACTGTATCTCCAAAAATACTTTTTTTTAAGGTACTTCTAATGCATGTTTTTCTTCGTGAAACTGTCCCTGTGGTTTTGTAATGGCTTGTAATTGACTTTGTTCATTGTGATTCTGTTTGAAGGCAATTTTCCAAAACCAAAAACGAAAAACCCTGACGGCATTGTGCTAATGTAGTTAATTTAAAGAACATCCCCTAAAATCACAGATGGTTTTAAACAGTCCTCACATGTAACAGACCAAAATATCTTAGAATTTACAACCACATCGGTTTTTGATAAATAATCCCCTTTTTGCTTTTTATAAATTTCAAAATGAAAGTTAGACTTGTCATCCTACAAATGCCACACATTCAATGATAACCATGCGGGTTAAGCACATTCAAAGCAAAGCACAAATATTTTAAATTATACATTTACTGTCATGCTCTGTTAATATCTACAAATTCCTTTTTTTTTTTAAATCAGATCTTTTTTGACCAATTTGCAGGGGTCTTCACACAGTCCAGAATTGTAAAGAATGTATAAGTTTTATTTCAGGCGATTGGAGAAAAACCTCAAAGGGGTACTCTCCACATTGACTCTTTCATGTTGGAAATATTTTCTTTACTTATGTGGAATTAAACAATGACAGATAAACAAGCAAGTTGGCTTGTCTCCATTGATTGTATTTGGAGCTGATATACAAGCGTGCTAAATGCAAAACATTGAAAATGAAACCCATCCTGGCGTAGTCTGTGCCAACATCCAACTATTTGAAGGATTATTATTTAAGAGTCTTCTTTACCAATTGATGAGAGCAGAGCCTCGTCCATCAAATCATCATCAATCAGGCAAGGACTCTGTTGGGAATGTTCAGACCCACTCCCAATACTGACCCCAATTGGAGACTTGGCAATAGAGGGCTTCGCACAGGGTGAGCTCGGCAGAGCAGCACAGGGGGAGGTCACAGCAGCTTCCTGCTGTGGAAGGCTCCCCCTGCGTTCCTCTGGTACGGAGGGCTCTCCCCTGGGATGGCTGGTGTGGGGAGCATTTGGATCATCAATGACCAGCTCATCCTCGCTCCCGCTGTGGCTGTAAGCAGGGCTCATCGTGTGGAGACGTTTGGCAACGTGAGTCGTCTCGTCGGGAGTGGCCGCTCTCTTGATGCTTTGGGTGCTTGGCACTCCACCTGGACTGGGGATCATCCGGCTCCCGCTACCAAGTGGACTGGGAACTCCTGGAGAGTACGGACTCATTGCTCGAGGTGGGCTGCTGGGTTTTGCACCGCCGTAGACTTTCGGACTCGGGACACCTGATATGGATGCAGGTTTGGGGCTGGGAGCCAAGGCTGGACTTGGCACTTTGAATTCAGCTTCTGTTGGTGGTGGAGGTCCTGGTGTGGGTGGTTTGATAATTTCTGGGGCAGGGGCAGATGTAGGGGTAGGAGTGAGGGCGGGAGTAGGGGTGGGGGCAGGGGTAGGGGTAGGGACAGGGCCTGGGGTAGGAGTAGGGGTGGGGGTAGAGGTGGGGGTAGGGGCTTTGGGGCTAGGCTGCTGTACGGGACTTGGCTGGCGTTTTGGACTTGACTGCCGCTTGGGACTCATTTGATGTTTTGGGCTTGGTTGATGCTTAGGGCTTGGTTGACGCTTTGGGCTGGGTTGGTGCTTCGGACTCGGCATATGCTTTGGACTGGGCTGGTGCTTGGGGCTTGGCTGGTGTTTTGGACTTGGCTGGTGTTTTGGGCTTGGTTGGCGACTGGGGCTGGGTAACTGTTTTGGCTTGGGTTGAGTTTTGAGAGTTGGATGATGCTTTGGGCTTGCCTGACGTTTGGGAGTAGGATGAAGCTTCAAGCTAGACTGATCTTTGGGTGGCTTCTTGGTCTCCACTTTTGCAGTGGAGGCAGAAGCAGGTGCGGAGAATTTGGCTTCGGGTGGTTTACTTTCCGGCTTGGTTTCTTGTGCTGGCCTCTTGGGTTTGTCTGGTTGCGAAGATGTTTGTGAGGGTAGTTGCTTTGAGCCACCTTCTGTTGGAGTAGGTGGTGTCTGAGTTGCCTCCTTTACACCACCGTCTGATTTCATCACGCTTGGCCTCATGGCCAATTTCAGGTCTGGTTTGGGTTTGTCAGGGATGAGCTTGGATTCTGAAGTTGGCTTGGTGGATTCTGGTTTGGATTCTGTTTTGGAGGCTGTCGGAGCAGTTGGTGCTGAGGTGCTGCTGCTTACACTTTTAGTAGGTTTTGTGACCGATTCGGCTCGTTTGGCATCACCCTGCACAGGTGGTTTGCTGCCTGTTCCTGGTTTTGGAGATGCACTACGGGGTTTGCTGCTGTCGTCTGATTTTGAAACTGGCTTCAACTGAGGGTTGCTAGGTTTTTTAGGGTGGGTTGAACTTTGTGCTTTCAGGAGGTTATCGGTATCAGTTGTCGGTGCTGGTGTCAGCGTTGGTGTCGGTGTTGGGTCAACCTTTCTATCCTTAACAGAAGATTGACTGGCAACTGGAGGCTTTGTAGCTGTTGGAGTCTTTGACTCTGTTGGAGTTGTCTGTCCCTCTGGAGGCTTGTCAGACTTGACATCTGGAGCTGTGCCAGCCTTTTGGACCTCAGCCTGGCGTGCGTGTGTGGCAGCCAGCCTTGGTGACATAACTGTTACAATGGTTACCGGTACCTTGGAGTTGCCCTTTTCGGGAGATGAGTATGTTGATGAGGAACGACTTAAGATGATCGGCTTTCGAGACATTGGGGAGAGAACTTGTCTTGGTGGGGTTTTGATGGGACTTGAAACTGATGTGGCAATAGGCATAGCCGACGAGGTACTCAATTTCAAAGGTGACACAGGCTTGGGTGTTGCAGCTTTTGATGCTGAGAGAAATGAGCCAGTAGCTTTAGGCGTAACAGATGGTGATGAGGTACGTGCAGGCTGCGCTGGTCCTTTGAGGGGGATGGGAGGGGTGGAAACTTTTGGTGGACGGGAAACTTGTGATGTTTTCTGAGACTGGACCGGCCTGCTAGGGGAAGTTGATGCCCGCTGTAGACTTTGACCGAATGAGGGCATTGAGGGTGTCTTAATGGGGGAGGCAGACAACTTTGTAGGGGTAGAAGCACCACTGAGCTTAGTGGACGATGAGGTTGTCACTGGTGTTCCCACAGTGGATGAAACTCCAAGCTTAGTGAAAGCTGTTCCAGATGATTTTGATTGAGAGGAGGGAGGTTTTGACTTTGGAGTTTTGCTCAGGCTAGATGGAGATTCTCTGCCTTTTGTCTCTGAATGTTCAGACTTCAAAGGCTTTGATGTAACAGGCTTGATGCTGTCACCTTCTTGTACTTTTCCAGGACCAACCTTTTCTTTTGGTGCTTTCTCTTTGACTGGGGACTGGCCAGAAGGTTCAGTGTCTTGCCCAGGTCTGGGTGGACTTGACAGAACAGATGCAATGCCAGCTCTTTCCTGGAGTTTCCCGACAATGGCCGATAGGGAGTTCTTCCGGCCTTTGCCTATCAACTTGGGAGTCTTAGGCCCTGCACTTGTAGGTGTTGTTGGAGTTTGGGTTGTTGCTGAATCTGCTGCAGATGCTGGGACTGATGTGTTCAGGGGAACATCAACGGATGGCGAGGATTTAGCAGCAGGTGGAATCGATATTGGAGAGGGTCTATTTGGCGTAGTGGATGAACTGGAAGGACTTCCAAATGCAGAGACTGTAGCACTTGGTGCCTTCATGATCCCCTTAGGTGATCCCTGGATGAGCTTGGAGGTTTTAAGAAGAGGTGATTTCTTCATCTCCTTCCGTCCTTCTGGTCTCTGCCCTGCACTTAGGGATTTTTTCAACATCCTGGCATGTGAATCTATCCCTTTGCTAATCTTCTTGACAGAGGATGGTATGGAGCTCCTGATGCCTTCAGCTGATACCTTGGACTTGAACACCTGCCCCGATGTCTGCAATTCAGACTTTGTTCCAAGTTTCAACGGAGAAGCGGATGCTGTCTTAGGGGAAAAGGAGACTTTTGGGGATAGAGTGGTGGATTTGGTGAGGCTTCCTGCAGTTTTGGGAGAAGAGATACTCTTAGAGCTGAGACTTTGAGAAGAGCTCTTGCTCAGGTCGCTCTTAACCTTAGACTGCATTGCAACAGCTGTAGTTGAGGACTTGCTAAAGGCCTGCCTCTTGGCAGCTGCTGAATCAAACTTCTCAGTCTCAGATTTAGGATGGACTTGGGTGTCAATTTTTGTAACTGGTGCAAAATCTTTCTTTTGAAACTCCTCTGACTTGGTGGCACCAACTGATTCAGTTTTAGTGGGCAACACTGAAGCTTCGGATTTTGGTTGAAATTTCACTTCTGGGACATTACTAGTGATGCTCCCAGTAACTGGTTTTGGAGTGGAATCTGCACTCGACATAGGATTCAAAGGTTTCACTCTGATCCTAGGAGTGCTGGAGGTCTTTGATTTGGGTTTGGGCTCTGATTTGACGCGGACCATCTTGAATGTCATCTTCAAGGGTGCTTCAGAGCTCATAGTGACACTCAAGTCTTCATTGTCATCATCATCTCCTGGAGATGAGTCGCTGTAGACATCCACTCGGCGACGCTTGATGGCCTTTTTCTTTTCCTTGGGTTTGGGAGGAGGGGAGTCTCCGCCTAACAAGCCTTCCATTTTCTTCCCAGTTCTACGCGATCGCTTTTTAGGACCTCTTTTGCTGGGGTTGTCAGGTGGTGGTGTGCCAGCAGATTCAGATACAAAGTTCTTAGGTTTTCCTTTTGAGACCATTGGAGGAACACGGATGACCTTACGGGTGGGTGTTGTGGATTGAGTGTTACTGCTTTGAGATGCAGGAGGTGGCTTGTGATGTTCAGGCATGCTCATTGATCTTTCTCTCAATGCAGAGTGCATAGCCAGTGAATCCCCACTACCTAAGCTCTTAGATAAACTTGGCATGCTTAGATCTAATGCCATGCCTGAGCCGACTATGTCAGCAGACTCGGCCCGCAAGAGTTTGTTGCCAACACCCGGGCTGATGCTCTGGAAGGCTGATTGCCCTGATGATGGCGGTGTTGATCCTGCAGAGGCTGCCGATGCGCTGAGTGCTGCCGCAGTTGACAACTTGAACTCTGACCTCATCTTACCATCAGGGCCTGTCTCGCTTGCTGATGGTGACTTGGTGGTCTGAACCCCCATGCGTGCTATGGCCAAGTTGACACTGGAGAGTCCAAATGCTGTGGCATCACACGCCTCCATGTCAATATCACCTGTGGACTCGATCAGATCATCAGCAAAGCTTGAATCTCCACTCTTCAGGATGTCGGTGTTGAAATCCAGGGACTCACTGATGTTGTACTGCTGATTGCCACTCTCCGGGGCATCACTTTCTCCAGATGATATCGCCAAAAACTCCTCGGGGGAGAACAGCTCTGTACCATGAGAGCTGAATACATCCGTATCGGCAGTGCTTCTTGCTGCCTGCTGGGAATCCTGTCGAGACATCATTTTGCCAATTTGTGGAGGGGGTGCATCAGTGACTGCTTGCATGACATGTTCTGGTGTGTGGAGGGACTGCATGCCGGGCTTTGGAGGACCTCCATAGCTTGACGTCATGGGCAAAGAGGTTGGTGTCTTTGGGGACAGAGATGGTCTTCCTCCAGCACTTGACTGCGAACTGGTGCTGTCTGAACGCTTTTGTCGACGACCTGACTTGCCAGATGTATCCACAATATCAGCAAGTAGGGCGGAGAGTTCTCCCATTTGGGAAGTTGTTCGAGGTGGCTCCATCGTGCCAGAAGGTTGGTAGGGCTTGGCAGCCTCTGTTGGCATGGGAAAATGGGAAAATATCTGGGAGTCACTTGGAATCTTTGGGGTGTGGAGTGAAGGTGATCGTTCTGGCACTCCGTGACCCCCTTCAAAATCAAATGAGGATTCCCTGGAGCTGTCATCTTCGCTGAAAGGTCTCCTTGGGGATTTGTCAGTTGAGAGGGCCGATTTTATCCGGCGGCGCTTTTTCGCTGGCTTTCCAGGGACAGGTGATGGTAGACTCGGTTGCTGGAGAGTCGGCTGTGGGATGGGAGGTTGTGGGAGAGGGGCCTGCTGAGCTGGGGTGAGTGATGAGAGCGGTGTGGCCATAATCTGAGCTGGTTGCTTGGTCTGCTCCTGCAGAAGAGTCATCAACATGGGATTCCTCTTGGACTTGACGGCAGCGGTCTGTGCAGCAGCTGCTGCATCTGTTGCCAGCATTTGGCTGGAATTGTCCTTGGGAGAGCCAATAGCGGTGGTGGGGTTAGCATGCTGCAGCAAGCTGGCTAACATCGGGTTCTGCTCCACTTTAGAGTTGTCAATTTGTAGTGACGACAGCTCAAGAGCTGAGGCAGGCTGCACCAGGATAGATTCCATGGAGGTTCTCATGTCGCTCAGGATGCTCCTCTGCTGACCAGCACCTTGTTTCATGGAGGCTGCCAGGCTCTGTCCAGTCAGGGTGGACTTCAGTTGATGGACCAGGCTGCCGGGGACGTGACTTGTGGTAGTTGGCGGCTCGTTTAGGAGAGTCGCCGCGGGGATGGGCTTCTGGACTTGGGTTTGGATCATGGACGCAGCTTTCTTCATGATGGCACGCATGGTGACAGGAATCGACAAACACCTGGTCAAAGAAAAAAGTGAAAAGAGATCAAATATCAATGTTAGTTGCAAGTCCTGGCTCAAAATATATATTAATTCCACACAATTGTAAAAATAACAGTGAAATTTAAATATTGTTGTTTTCTACACAGAGTGCAATGTCACAAATTGCAATCATGCAATTGCTACTCCAATTAGCAATTAATAATCAGCAATTAACAACTTGCTACTAATGCAAGAAAACAAGGTTGTCCCTGTGCCATCCTAAATGAGGGTTTGTTTCCACTCACCTCTGCAGCACCCTGGTTGCGTACTCATCACTGCAGATTGGTTCCTCACCGCTAGGTGTGTGCAGCCTACACTTGACGCTAGCCGACTCGGTCAGATCCATCTCAACTGATGTGGAGAAAAAAAAAAAACACAAACAGTTGCATTTTGGACATTGCAGATTGGTTTCATACGCGCAGAAGTACAGGGTGAGCCAGAGTGATCTGGACGCAACATAGAGTAAATTGAGAAAAAAAAACGAATGTTTCATATGAAAGTTATTACCTTGTCCTCCACAGGAATTTTCAATTTTTTAAATTAGTGGCTGTGGTGAGGAGTTATGTCATTTTTATTGAAGTTGCTTATTTTCCAGTCTGCACACGGAATTGGTTTTGCCTTTTTGTAAACGTGTCAATAACTTCAAGTGAGTCAGTCACCATGACTAGGTCTTTATAAATACATGGCTTCACATCAGTACCTGATTTCGATAAATTTGCTGAACCATGGAACCGTGGTCAGTGTTTTTGTTAGCGCGTGTTCTTTGCTAGTGCTTTTCCTTAAAATGGTACAATATATATATATATATATGAAACTTTCGCCAAATACTTCCAAAATACCGGCCTATCCGCTCCATTCACAAGTCCCCCCCTCACCGGCAAAGAAAGCACAGTTGGGGGGGATGGACCAACGCCATCTTGCCTGACTGCAATTTTGCTGCGAAGCGCGGCCGTATCATGTACCACTGCGTGTACATAGTACAAATCCCCTGGTGTACGTGCATGACACACAAGGAACAGTGCGCGTCAACCAGCTGAATGTCCCGCCCATGGGACGTCGTTGCTAGGTAAAAGGGTGCCCTCTTTCGTTAGCGCACGGAGCCCATAACTTATTTGCAGTTGTTTTGATAATTGCTACATATTTTTAATATTTTCTTTAATTTGGGTTCGGATCATTCTGACTCCCCCTGTACGATACATTCTGATGGAATTTCCAATAAGGAAATGTGAATGTATCAAAGGAGCTCTAGGACTCGTTCTGGATTGGACAGGAAAGACGTACCACATCCCATGCCATCGGTTGCTGGATGCTCAAAAGTCACGGTCAGCTTCTGGTGGGTGAAGGGCGTGATCTCAAACAACATCGCTTTGGTAGGATCTATTGAAATGCAACAACAAATCAATTACAGAAACAAGCCATTGCAAATCACAGATCATTTGAAGAGCTTGTGACCGAGTTATGACTGACTTGTGACTAAGTTGTGATTGACTTATGATGGACTTGTGATTGACTTGTGACAAGCTTGTGATTGACTTATGATTGACTTGGGACTAACTTGCGACTGACTTACGACTAATTTGTGACTGACTTGTGATTGACTTATGATTGACTTGGTACCTACTTGCGACTGACTTACAACTAACTTGTGACTGACTTGTGATTGACTTGTGACTGACTTGTGATTGACTTGTGACTAACTTGTGATTGACTTTTGATTGACTTGGGACTAACTTGCGACTGAATTACGACTAATTTGTGACTGACTTGTGATTGACTTATGATTGACTTGGTACCTACTAGCGACTGACTTACAACTAACTTGTGACTGACTTGTGATTGACTTGTGACTAACTTGTGATTGACTTGTGACTGACTTGTGATTGACTTATGATTGACTTGTGACTGACTTATGACTAACTTGTGATTGACTTGTGATTGACTTATGACAAACTTGTGAGTGACTTGTGATTGACTTATGACTAACTTGTGATTATGACCACAACTCTGTTAACCATCCTCTGTATTACCTCCATCCTCCTCGGCACGGACGCAGCTGGCAATGAGCGTGTTGTAGACAGCCTGTTGCCTGAGCAACGACAGCATCTTCATGACGTGCATCTGATTAGTGAAGGTGAGCTTGGAGACCAGTACACCGCGCATGTGGGCATTATGCTAGTGGAGACATGAGAACAAAGAAAAAAATTGATATATTTCCAATCGCTAAAGTTTGATTTGCTATTAAAGACACATTATTACTTGAAGCTTCTAGAAATTGAATAGTATCATCCCATGCACAATATTTTTTTATTTAAACTAGTTCATCAAGGTTTGCGGTGACTTATCAACTTATTTATTGGCACACAGGCAGTGGCGCACCAAAGAGGGGGGGGTCCAGGGGGGGGCCTTTTTTTGGTAAATTTTTTTTTTGTCCCACGATTTGACTGTGGTGATATGTATGTGACCTATTTTTGAGTAGAATTATAGGGGTGTAAATGGCGCCACCAACGTCAAACTAGTCCATCTAAAAAAAAAAAAAAAATTGTGGGCAACATTTTTAGAACAAATTCAAATTTAAAAAAAAAAAAAATTGTGAGCCCCCCCCCAAGCCAAATCCTGGGTGCGCGACTGCACACAGGTAAGGAATTTTGAATGTGTCATTTCCTATCTATTCAGTACTTCTTTCCTTCAATTATTGTTCATTTGTGTTACCATTTTGAGGGTGCCGTGGTGACAAATTAAAAACCGCGGAATTAACTTGGAGGGAAAATCAATTTTGTTTTAGCATTTGGTTTTTTTTTTTTTGGCTGCATCACTTCTAAGTCAGGTCAGTGAATGGTACATTCAAAGTGTCTTTTAACCCGAGGATATGAACGATTGATTTTTTTGTATTGCAAGAGGTGCTTAGGCCCAAACTATTTCTTATGCAAAACTAACTGAAGTTGGCAGTACTGGTTTTCTATCTAGATCAAAATTTCACCAAAAAAAATGTAATGTCAGTCACCGTGGAATTGGTCATGTCGTTACTGGAGATGCACTCATTGATGAAGTAGCAGTGTTCTTGATCAGGCAAGCTCTGTGGACAAAGAGACAGTACAATAGTTCAAACTTTGTGGTTTACCTGGAGGTTAAATTTACCTTGAGGGTTTACCTAGAGGTTAATCTTGAGGTTTTTCAAGGTTTTTATGGAGTTTTACAGTTAAACCTTCAAGATTTACCTCAAGGTTATTATACCTCCAAGGTTTACCTCAAGGTTAGGTTAACCTTTAAGGTTTACCTCAAGATTAGGTTTACCTAGAGGTTTATGTTGAGGTTTTTCAATGTTTCTAAGGGGTTTTACAGTTAAACCTTCAAGATTCACTTCAAGGTTTGATTTACCACCCAGGTTTACCTCAAGGTTAGGTTAACCTTCAAGGTTTACCTCAAGATTAGGTTTACCTAGAGGTTTATGTTGAGGTTTTTCAATGTTTCTTTGGGGTCTTACAGGGTATTTTGGGCAAACCTAGGGTTACCGCTTGTTAAATTTTAAATTTTGCATTCTTCCCTTACATGCCTGCGATATAACAGTACACCATAAGTGTCAACACTTCAGCAATGTTTAAACCATTGCTATGACATCACACTTTTGTTAAAAGTGTGGATTCGGAACTATGAATCTGTTACGCTGGTCACAAATCTTTAGTAAAGTGTGGATTCGGAATTACGAATCCACACTTTGAACACGTCGGACAATTGTTCTTCATAATGAGCATTAACAGGACCGTCTGCGTGAAACTTTCCTTCCGAAATTACCAAAGCATCTTCACTGTCAGATTCTCCGCCGTCACTGCAAAACATACATAGAGTCAGAAAGAAATCATTGTTTGAACCGTATGTCGACGGAAGGAGCCGGGGAAAATGTTGCCACCTGACGCCACTTTTTTTTTCATATAACATCTCAATGAAGGTCATTCATTGCAAAAATGATGATAAGACATGAATCTGGGACTGAGAAACATTTCCAATTTTGTCAGGAAATACTTAGAAAATTGTCTTGACTCTCCATAGGCTTTGTACACAATCGCGGAAGTGACGTCAGGTTGCAAAATTTTTTTCCTGCTTGACTACGTATAAGAGCCTATAAAACTCCCTTGTAAATTACCCTAATGGCCACGACTTGACACGAGATATGCAACTTCGAGTCTTTCATCTCCACTCACTGTTAATGACAATACTTCTTTTGACGCAATGGGTTAAGTCAAAGAATACACTCGCAAGTGTGGATTCTTAATTTACGAATCCACACTTTCTCGTGTATTCTCCTTAACATATCGAATGTCCCTTACAGTGCTCTTCACAACTCTCCATCTGTAACTGCTGAGAGGTTAAGACTAACGTGCCATTTCTGAAGCTGAATGAGTTTGATTACTCACCACGTAGTATGTGTTTCCCGTGTGCTTGGAGTCTTTGCCCATGGTCTGTCCCAGCGTCGGATCCAGGATGTAACGAGCTATCAGGCTATTGAGAGGTGCCGCTGACGAAACATCCACACACTGCATAATGACACCTGTCACAATAAACACAGGAATTATTTATATATAAATAACAATTTCATTGTTGTGCTTAAATGGCACTTGATACAAAACGTCTTAAGGCAACTTACTATTATTACCCCTGCTCATCACGCAATGTGCCCAGTTGTATGTAGTGCAATCTGTGTTCTACACTTTATACTCATGTGTCAAGGGAGGCAATTGTAGTTAAGTGTCTTGCCCAAGAACACAAGCACCTTGAACCCCAGTAAGTCTGAATGTATCTGCTTATTATTGTATGGAGAATTTTGAATGTCAAACTCAGAATCCTGAATTATCTTTCATTATTCAAAATTTAATATAAAAATGTACAATATGAAATATTTTTGAAAGTGAGTTCTCACCATGTAGGCTGTGTAGCTGTTTAATGATGTGCATGGAGAGGGCCATAGCCTTGTTGAGTTTCAAGACGAAGGAGGCCGGTAGGGCAACACTGTTATGCTGGTTTAATGGAGTGGCTTGTGGACTCCTGAAAAATAGTAATATAATAATAATAATAATTGTGCTTATATAGCGCTTTCCATCGTATCAACGATCTCAAAGTGCTTTACAATTATTCCCCGTTCATCAGGCCATGGGACCACGCGGCAGCCGATATCAGCGCTCAATCGGTCCTCTACCCTCACAGATACCCATTTATACTCCTGGGTGGAGAGAGGCAATTGTAGTTAAGTGTCTTGCCCAAGGGCACAAACACCATGTTCCTGGCTGGGTTCGAACCCACGCACCTTCGTACACGAGTCAAGCACCGTAACCACTGGAAACACATTCGTTTTTCGCTCTGTTTTCTGAAATTGTGTTGAACTATATAAAAGCCGTCAAAATTGCTTTTGGGCAGCCAGGAGAGAGCGGGATTCTAAAAGGGAACAAAATGGCGTATATCGCGTTTTGGAAATAAAGTCGTTATAATGTTCTTACCCCATGCTTCCATCTGGTGCGGTGGGAACGGTGATTAGCGGGACAGTCTGCAGCTTGCGTGTCGGTGAGCTCTCCAAGCCAACGCTGACCGACAGGCCTAGATCCTTGGGCAGGGGCTCTAGGTAAAAACAAATCCAATATAATAGTGTGCATCATCATAGTAGACAAATATTGCACAGTGGCAATGTAGCACTTTGTGAATACACACCTCCCCTTGGAGTGTATAGATGTCTGCTAGTGCCCTCGCTGCCGGGCAATATTAGCTTACCTTTCATATTCAGCACTGTTGACTGTTTCTTCTCCAGGTCCAACAGGTCGTACGGTGAAACAAAGAAGGTCAGTCTGGTGGGATAGCCTGTGAAAAAAAATAAACAGATGCAGAAATATTTGATGCAAACTCAAAACTTCAATAAACAATAACTTTGTAGCCTTCTGTCAGAACCAAATTTGAGTTACTGTGTTCCGGTGTGATTTCATTTTAAAGTTGCTTTTCACTTGCTATATTCGAGTTTCACTCCGACAAAAAAAAGTTGGTTTTAATTTATAATTTTCTCACATAAAAAAGTCATTCACTTTTGAATTAGACATCAAACACAAAAACAAATACTGTACAAATTTTGAATTATTTGGACCCAACAATAATTCAGGCGGGTCTTTTGCGCTTCATGGGTGCAAAAGAGTCTCCATTTAAAGCATATTTTTCAGAGGGTTAAAAATGTCACAAATATAAAAAAAATTAGCTTATTTAAATAAACCAAACAAATTGAAAGTTTGTTAGGAGAAAAATCAAATGAGTTGAACAGCATCGGAAGAGCAAGGTTTTTTTTTCTCAAAATTATCCTGACTTATTGTTAACATTTATGTAATGCCATTGATCCCTATTCTATGTTATTGTTTTGCAGTGTTAACTTACCACCAACCCTTGGGGTAAGAAGGCCGACTGGTCCCCGTGATATGTGCAGCATGGGCTGTGTCACTGTCCTGTGGATAAACAGGAGTGAACAAATGTTGACAGTGGGACGTAGTGTTTTTATTCACGTGCCATGTTCTTGAAAAAAGAAGGTCCTTTAGGGGAATTCACACAAGGGGGAAATGATACACACAAATTAAGCTTTCTAAGACCATACAATACAAGGGGTATTCTTAAGAAGAGGGAACACTGCAAATACCTCACAAACTCCTTAATATAAGGTTGTGTACATCTGCAGGCGTGTAACAATTGAAGGGAAAATACAACTTTTGCAAACATCAAAAAATAAAACTACCAAATCATTTTGAAATACCTTGCTGGACTGTTAGTGAATGACAGTGTAAAGCATCCTGTAAAATCATGGCACCTGGTATACTGTCATTTTCAAGAAAAGTGGTATTTTTGTATCAATTTCCAACGCTGGTCAGCCGACCAGCGTTTGAAAAAAACTGGCTTTTTTTCAAATACTGGCCCCAACTGACCATCGCACTTGTTTGTAATCGATTGCACACCTATGAACGGGTACAAGCCAGCTAGACTGGTTCTCTAACCTTACAATTCCCCAATGTATGTAAACTGCTCTGTTTCTTCTTATATGGAGTCAGGGAACCAGACTACAGGAAAATGATTGTTTTTCTTGGTTTTTATAGCATTTTCGAACCCAAAACCTCAAAAAAGTCAGTGTAACTATATTTGCTATATATTTCCAACCCCCTAATTCCATCCATTTCTGAAAATTACAGCAAAAGCAAATGATGTATATTCCCTTTAACAATTGTTGACTGCTGTGATGTGGAACACCCGAGGGGCGCATAGCACCTGAGGCGAAGCCGGGGCTGACATCACAGCAGTCAATTGTTTTGCTATATGGTGCAAATATACCAACAAGATAAATGGTTGTAACTTACTGTGTGAGAAATAAATTAAATCACTGCAATGTAACCTTTGATAACTGGAGGTTTTGATGTCCTGCCGGACATGAGACTGAGCGTTTGACGTTGCAGTTCTCATTATGGGAAGCTAGTGCTCTGGCAGGTTCCACACACAACGCGCGCAATGAATGCAGTGCGATATCACCCTCAGTGTGTGACGTGCATTTTTATTGTCCAGACACGTAGCCGTTCTAAACCAATGAAATTACAGTATCCTCACTTAAAACTCACTTATCACATCCCTGAGATCACAGCAGTCAACACTTGTTTTCTTATATCACGCAAACATGTCAGAAAAGATAACAGACTTATTCTGAAAGTGATGCATCACATCACGGGTGGAGAACCCTTCAGCTTTCTTACTGCGCATGACATGCTCTGTCAAAGGGCTCACTTTACACATCAGACATGCTGCACCATTGAGACACAACTGACGTACAAGATATCATTTCGACAAGTAACATGCAGACTGGCTTTCATCACACTCACCTGTACATCTTGAACAGCATGTTCAGATCAGTTTCCAAAGCTTGCAAACAGTTGAACGCTTTGCTCTTCTGAGCGCTGTGTGAAAGATTACAAAGAAAACATCAGCAAGATATGCCCCCGTCTTATACTTTAAGGATTTGAGGTTGTATCTGAAAGTATACATATTTTGTCATGAATGATGCTAAATTTAAAATTAATGGTATTTGTCTGGAGTCAAATTGTAATATATTTTCAAATTTTCTTCACCAAACCAAAAATCCAATAATTTTTCAAAAAGGTTCTCAAAATATTTGGTGATCAGGGGGAGAAATTTCAATCGGCCATTTTCTGGCCTCAATCATATTTGTCTTAAAAATATGGATGTGTTCTGTACATGTTTGTAAGAAGTGAAAGATATTGATTCCCTGCAGTTTTATGACTCAGTTCAAGATTCAAGATTCGTTTTATTAGTCACGTAAAAAAAAAAAAAAATTGCGCTGGCTGATTTTGTCTGCGCAGACTTTGCATCTATTTCACTCTCTACCAACATGGTGTCCATAATGAAACCGTGAAGTTAGTCGCAACCTGAACTTTCATGACTTTGAGTTCCGAACTGAGATTTAAGTTTTTTCCTGAATTTGTTGGACTTTTTCTGAATGATATAATTCCGTGTCTGACCTATCTCCTCCCGCCTGGTAGAGTTGTATCAGTCCCTTCAGGTGTTCTGCGAATTCCTTGAAATCGTTCTTCTTTAAGACTTCGCACATCTCCGGACAGGACTGAGAAAAAAGATATGACATGAATATTATCTACTATGTCAACACACAATGTAAGGTTTCACTTGTTTCCAGTGCTATGATCTTGCTGGATCATAAGAATTTCTCACTGTGCCTCGTACAGTTTCAACCCCGAAAATAAAACTATCCATAAATTTTAATATTTTAATAATTTAGGATACTTTTTCCTTTGGCTTGTAACATGTCTTTTAGACCAGGTCACTTCTGACATTAGGCATGTTGATAGCCCGAGTATCTTTCTCGTATTTTTGTCTCTATTTATATAGGACAGTGTCAACTTTCTAAGTGTATCTAATCAAGAGATCATGGTGCTTTAACGTTGGGGAAACTTGAAACCATTTTAGGCACTGAAAACTGTTTTGGAAACAGAGACAAAGCTGAAGCCATACACAAAAGCCGAGATTTTAGAAACGTCATTATTATAATTGTCGTTCTCATTATTTCTCCTGATTTTTTACCATTTTGTTTTTTGTTTTATTTTTCTTTCTTGTAAAGAAACTAACGAGAAGAAATTACAGTTTTAGAGGTTGGAGGAAAATCCCAGACGAATATTCTGTGGAAATCCCAGGGAATCAGGCAGGGACTGAAAACCCAATCCACATGTGGGCAAGGGCAGAATCGAACCCAGGCCATAGCGGTGGAAGGCGAGGACAGTAACCACTGCGCAAACCTGACTCCCTGTTCTCCCTTAGGAATGCATGTAATATGAGACACTTGATTTTCTAGGCAGCTCCCACGAACTTATTACACAAGGACCAGAAGAGTTTGTGAAGACCCCAGGGTCAAAATCTTACCACTGGCTCCCTGTGATGGGCCACTTTGACGTCTTTCACCCCACCATTGTTGGTCAGGAGAACCTCCACGTAGAACGTGTCTGAGCTGATGAACACGTCGGTGCCTCCCAGGTTAGCAGTGAACTTTAACCTGCAGGTCAAAGGGTAAAGGTCGGGAGATGTCATAAAATTCTTTTACATAGAGAGAGATTGAGATATTTGACCTGATGGGTCTCGCTACACTGGGCAGGATTCTCATTTTGCGAAGTGTTGCACGGTGTTGAGTTTAACAGGGTTTCTAGCCAGAATCCCCTGGTATAGGGGGTAGGGTTAAGCAGTGAATGTAATGTAGTCTAGGGGCTAGACGTAATGTTTGATACACGACAACCTGCCGCCGCGAGAGGGCGCTATCACAACCGACCAATATTGCCCCCAAACCCGTCGGAACAACGTCTAGGCCAGCTCGTACTGGTTGTGTAATGCAGCAAGACGTTTGTGCAACGTCACTGGTCGGCTCTTTTGTTGTGTGTGGTATGTGCAGGACTGAATATTAACAGTAACTGCCTGCAGAAGTCGCGCATGTGTACTAATTTCCCCCCTTTTTTTGGGGGGGGGGGAGATTTTAGGAGTTGGCCTAGACATTCCTGACAGGTTCGTGGGTGATATTGGTTGGTCGTGATAATGCCCTCTCGCGGCGGGGAGTTATCGCTGCGGCGGGTTATCGCATATCAAACCATAATAACGTCTAGAGTAAACGTAATGTTGCAAAATACCACTCACCCAACTTGTCTCGCCATGGTCTCCAATCTCTCAGTCATTGCTGGTAATGATGACACTGGAAATCAAAAATACCACCCAACAAATTACAGGTCAATTGTGAATAATATCAGGGTGAACTGGTTAAGGCCAGTTAAAATTAATTTTTAGGTTTTCATTTTCATGCCTGCCCAATTTTTTTTTATATCTTACATTGTATATTTTTTCTGAAAGTGTGTTTTTTCTCCAATAATAATTTTTCATGACAATTATCTCACCAAATCCACAGGCAGGATCCCGTTGATTTGCACTTAAACAGCGAAAAATCATTTTCCAACAGTCAAACGTTTCAACGTTGCACATACACTTGATGCAATCGCCTGTTTGCAGTAACGTTATTTATGGGGCGGCTTTTTTTCAGCGTGCGCCAGCCATATCAATATCACTGTTGCACGCTCTGCAAAAAGGTAAATCCCTCCCCCCTTTAGAAAATGGTCAATCCCCCTCACAATAATAACGTCATTGCATGCCGGCGATCACATCAAGAACATGTGCATCGTTAGCAGTGTTGAACAAGCGATGTTGGTGAGTAAAAAATCTGATTTAACAAAAATTTGTCGGTCTGAGGTCATACAACACGTCAACAGCCGACTGGTATATACATGTAGTAGTTTGTAGTTTTCATGTTTGTTGTGTCCTCTTCTCACCATCATGTCGGACTAAAGTGTTTTTTTTTTCAGCCAAACAAAAAGAAATCACATAGGGATGTGTGTGAATCGTTTTCGTTTAGCTGAAAGAACACACACCTTTTTTGTGATCCGAGGACAGAAGTTTAAAACAGTGGTTGTGTTTAAAATTCTGTAACTTGAAAGTATATGAGTGATTTGAACGATTCTTGTGCTAAAAGAAAGCTTATGAATTGGGCTTTCATTTCCTAGATTTTCGAAGTGCTACATGCAGAACTTCACTAAAACAATAGTCCCGACATTTGAGTTGTTTTTTTTTGACTCACCCTGTAGATAAAATGTTATCCTTGGTGATGTTTAAGTTGATCTCTAAATCTGAAACTGGCCATGTCATCTTTTACATACATGTATACATTATGGATTGCATTAATCTTACACTACCATATGGCTATATTACTATTATTCCATAGACTAACACTAACACATTGGTGGAATCTGCATGAATTTAGTTGATGTGCTGTCAATATTCATTTAATAAAGTCCGGTCGTTATCTTTGCACCGTGTTAATAAAATGTAATTCAGTGACTGATTGATGTGATAATGAATGTTATTGTAATAATTCATTCTCACGAGGTAACTAGTCTGAGCTGAAACATAAATACACTGTCCATGGTCCTCATAAATTAAAATCCCTGGAGTGGAACATTTAATATAAATTTCTAAAGCCATATGGTAGTGTAAGATTAATGCCATCCTTGATGTATAGGGGTTATTCTATAAATTAGGAGTCCAAAGTGGGACAGTGATGTGGCCTAGTGGTTAAGGGCACTGATTCGTGGTCTGTGGGTAAAGCTGCAGGTTGTGGGTTCGAGTCATGGTGTGTGTGCCCTTGGGCAAGGCACTTTGTCACTCATTGCTTCTCTCCACCCAGGATTAAACGGGTACATGTGAGGGCAGAGATGGTTATTGTGGTTGATTTAGCTTCCTTGCGCCTAACAGGCAGCATAGAGCTGTATACTCCCCAGGGAGCTGAGATGGTATTTGGAATGTTTCATGGGCCCAATGAGCAGGGGTAATAATGATGTAGCGCCTTGAGCACCAGTCCTGGTGGATACGTGCGTTTTTAACATACATACTATTATTATTATTATTATTATTATTGAAAGGCCCCGAAAACTTAAAGTTATTTTAATTATGGTAAATTTGGCTTATCATAATATAAGATGTATTTACTTCTGTCAGGACAAATGCAGGATGGTAAAGTGCAAGCCTTTTTAACAGAAAGGAGATCCTTAACAACTTCATGTCATGTGGTTTCACACTAGGTTTCACACATAGCTGGGACACCCCCAGACACCATGTTACGTGTGAAATATTACTCAATAATGATCATATATTTTTTTGTCTTGTTGTTTTCTTTTCTTTTTAGTTAATGGACCAAATTTTTAAAATACCAAGGAAAAGTAAACAATTCGACAATGAAAGACACTTAACACAGAGCAGAATGGATTTCACACGTAACAGGGACACGGGGACACCAAAAGTTACGCGTGAAACCGTAATATCGGGGAACACCATATCACATCTTCACACATTTATTTCTTTAAAATGTGTATCTCATGTTTAAATTGAGTAAATACAACCAACATTTCGACCTAAACAAATGGCATAGTTTACCTTTTAAGGACAAAATGTTAATGTCTGGAAACTGTACTTTTTGTCCCACTTTTCTGCCAAGACAATAAGAATTTTTGGCTTTTTTTTTTAACCAAAAAAAGGAACTAAATGGGATCAAGATAACAAAATTTGTAGGTTTTATCAATGCAACTTACTAGAGTTTGTTACACATAAAGTATCACTAACTTTAATACATTTCCTATTCAGTTAAATTATAGAAAAAAGACAATATTTCCTATTGGACCCCTAATTTATAGAATGACATGTATGTAAAAGATGACTTGGCCTGTCTCACATTTAGAGACCGGACTTACCTGAAACGAAATAAAACTGAGAAATTTACACAGCAGTGTATGGCAAGCTCGGCATACTGCTGAGCATTCACATTACACGCAGATTGATGCCAGATTGTGTTTACCTTTAATGGCCATTTTTAACTTGTCCAAGCATTTCTGCAGTCTGTTGGGGTCGACCGCATCTGGCTCTGAGAGTTTTGCCTGGAGAGTATTGAAAAAATGTACTTGTGTCACTTTTACAAGTAGATGACAGAGAAATATAACACGATAAAATCCACAAATTCCCCCTCAAAAGTTAGAACGCCGACAATGTGCCACTGTTTCCTGGACAGATTTTGGCCCGTACAGGAAGCATGCTGGCAAACAATTCTTGTAAGTTAGATGCAAATAAGTCAGCGTACTACAGTCTGTGCTGTAAATGTCCACTTAACAGTTTGATAAGTATACACAGTTTTCATGATCTAACGCTCGGACTGCACACTTCTGAGCAAGGCTTTATATTTGCAACAAGACGATGTTTACAGCGAGTTATTGTGGAGATCATCGCGTGTCACTACATGCATAGACACAGGAACGGCCGCAAAGAGTCCCAACGTGCTTCATGGCGCATGTGTGAATATTCATATTTATCTGCAGCCAATCACAGCGCAATGACTGTTGGTTCCCCGGATGCTGTTTACATGTTTGTACAATACATTCTACACACGCGGCTTCGAGCTGAAAAATGCATGCACATGGCATCGTATAGTACACACGTACGTACGTACAATGTACAGTGTACATGTACATATGTACATGTACATTGAATACTCGCTTGCACGCACCCCAGAGCTACGTGTACATGTATGTTGTAGAGAGCGGATCGCGTGAGTTCGGCGGCGGCGGAAAATAAAATCAACGGAAATAAAATCAATGCTTACGCGCAGGGCAAAAGGCGGGGAAAAATCTGGACCATCGGAAGAAAAAAAGCGGAAAACAAAATGTGGCACGCTGAACAAAAAAGCAGAAATCCGCTAAATAGCGGAGATTTCACACCCCTGATAAGTGCCCCATCAACGGCCAGAAAAGGAGAGTTGGGGGTGACCTAGACTGGTTCCCGATCCAACCACTGCGTATTTCGAATGATCCAAAGTTATTGGAGGCGGAGATTAGTCTGGCAGACTATCGTAAGTTAAATTCGAATGTATTCGCGCACCAACGACGCCTGATGACGCTCACGCGCAAAAGTTGCGCGTACTTCTTGGCTATAAGGACATTTTATGCTCACCATGGCAGCACGTAGTTTGCGGCTTGTCTCTGACCACACCTTGATCTGCTCACTAGTAGTTTTTAGTTTGGCCATCAAGGACGATAATACCTCCTCATGGTCTGCGCTGCCGTTGCCATTCATTTCGGAGCCTTCAACAAATCAACATAAATACACGCTGATATGATGAGAAACTGCACCAGATTTACATGTAATCCCTGGCTACGTGACATACATGTATAGATTTCGACTATTATTAACCCGCCTTTGAACAAAGAGTGACTTGGAATTTATAGGAAATGCTTGGGCAAGATAATGAATATGCATTATTTAGTTCATGACCTCGTGTTTGTATGGCCAGCCGCGCCGCGCGCCCGACAAACGTCATAAACTATGGTGCATATTCATTATCTTGCCCAAGCACGCCCGCATAATGCATACATTACAACGCGGCCGCCGTTTTGAAATTGCATGGAGGACATTTTCAGGATGATATTTGTGGAAGATGATGACTGAAAGTCGTCTTTTGGCCAGATGGATGAAAATATTGGGACCAAAGTAGCTGGAGTTACCCAGCCCTGAGTTTTATCATTGGGTTTTCATCTAGGGCTGGAGCGCATTTTTCTCAAAACTTGTAGTATTTGCAAAAAAAATTTGGAAAATGTTCAATTTTGTCCCCGTTACACACTAATTGCAACTGCAACTCACCCCAAACTTGCCTGGAATAACCATTACACAGGTCCTTGAAGTAAAAAACGATCCACGATGAAGATTCAGCCTACAATTGCAGTGAAAACAGGAGGAATAACCGCTAACTTGACAACCTTGCTGGATTGACCAGGACCGCTATTGGTTTGTGCACAAAAAAAATTGTGTACAATGAATGGCGGTCGATTAACAGGCACAGAGAGCGATCGCTGTCAACTACTCGTTTTTGCCGGCTGCGCTGGCTGTTGGCGCGTGACGTCACGCGGAAGCGTAACACCCGATGCCTGTTTCATGCACTAATATAAGGTTTACCACTCGCATCACAGCTTTGGTACTGGAACCGCAACCAATAGTGCATGAAACAGTCATCGGGTGTTACGCTTCCGCGTGACGTCACGCGCCAACAGCCAGCGCAGCCGGCAAAACGAGTAGTTGACAGCGATCGCTCTCTGTGCCTGTTAATCGACCGCCATTCATTGTACACAATTTTTTTTGTGCACAAACCAATAGCGGTCCTGGTCAATCCAGCAAGGTTGTCAAGTTAGCGGTTATTCCTCCTGTTTTCACTGCAATTGTAGGCTGAATCTTCATCGTGGATCGTTTTTTACTTCAAGGACCTGTGTAATGGTTATTCCAGGCAAGTTTGGGGTGAGTTGCAGTTGCAATTAGTGTGTAACGGGGACAAAATTGAACATTTTCCAATTTTTTTTTGCAAATACTACAAGTTTTGAGAAAAATGCGCTCCAGCCCTAGATGACAACCCAATGATAAAACTCAGGGCTGGGTAACTCCAGCTAGGACCAAAGAACGTTTTTTTCAAAAAGGTGTGAGTTTCTCTACGACTAGGAACCTTAACTTTGGATATTTCTGTCCTGGACGAGAAGATAGTTAATCTCGATCAAAATCTGTAGCAAAATCGCTACATCAGATTGAAAAAAATTCAGTCTTTTTGGAAGCATTGAGCGTCTGGCCGTACTGCAGAGCTTGCGATAGTACTGTACGGCCAGACGCAGTCGGGTTAACACCTTCCCAACACCCTGGCCTATTCGGTTTCCCAAATCTTTGACGCTCACTGTTGGTCCGGGCTCCCCCCCCCCCGCCCCGCCCCTTATAAACCGCTGAACAGGGGTTTTGTCGTTTTTGTCCTAACTGAACTCTGTGGTGGCCGTAAACAATGAACACGCTGCATGCAGTACATATACAGTGCATCTATACACGTACCGTGATATATTACTCATGAGCTTCTAGTGACGTCATAGTCATTCATATTCATTATTCGCTCTACTCTCAGACTTTTTTTTATGTAGGACTTAAAACCGACAGATCGTCAATCATGTTTCGCTGGTACCCACCGGTATTACACTGTAATGTCCAATATACATTCAATACGTGAGGGACCAGCAAAACATCAAATTTTCAAGGTGTCCACACAAAATTGGAGAAAAATACAGAATAACGTCAATAAATTAAGCGTTAAACAATATACATACAATAACGTTAAAACGCATGAAGCAAATGAATTAAAATGGGTGGAAAGCGTACCTAGACTGGGCTTTATCGGCCCATTTGTTTCCACAGAGGTTGGTACTGAAACCCCGACGGCCGCCATATTTTTGTCGAATGATATATAATTTATAACGTGTAGTTCGTGTCAGACACAGCGCGACGTTTTCCAAACTTAGACTTCGTTCCAGCTTGAATTTTTTTGCCGAATCTAGAATAATTTTACTCAGTCAGGACTGGGGTATTTTGGTCTTTTCAGGGCACGGGGGGGGGGGGGGGGGGGCACATTGTACCCCATCCTAATTTCCAAATGCGACAGCCAATTTTCCAAAAATTTTGGCAAGACTGTTGGTTGGCCCATGGAGGAATAAGTTCCTCCATGGTTGGCCGTTATTTTATTGACCTCATTTGGTGGCGTTGCGGTAACCACAAGAGGGCGCTTTACTACATTTTGCCAATTGTTGGGTCAAAAACAGTACTATCGTCATCATCTTCCAGTTCTGTGCAAAAACATGCTCGGCCTTATGTCTACAAATATGCACATTTTCGTGTGTTCATACAAAAATAACCCCACCTAATTTATTTAGGTACCATGCTAACCCCCAGAAAAAGTAAGGAAAGTCACAACATTTCATGCATATCATGGGGTTTTTTTAGGTTTAAGTTGCATGCTATAGGCTAGTTCCACCCAGGAAAGGAATGTCTTGCAGCCTGAATTTTGTTTGCCTGTTGTTTTTTCTTTGCCTTGAGTTGAAATATAAGTAAAGTAAAGTAACAAGTAATGATTTCGTTATATATTCCACTACGAAGGGAAGGGAGTGGGTGGTATTCTGCCGCGCCGCGCGTCTCACAGCTTCAGCCTAAATTTTACTTGTCAGTGATGTTCATCAGCAAAATAATGCGTACATTGAACGATTGACAGGCAATGGGCTATGACGCCAGTGTTCACCCGCCAGTTGAAGCTGCAATTAGCGTGTGACAATTAGTGTGTGACAATTAGCATGCTTTGTCTGCGCCCGCCAATTGAAATGAACGATGTCCATTTTGACTGGTAGGCTTTAGAAACTTGCAATTAAATCCGTCAACCAGCCATGATACCAAATAAGCAATAATAGTTAGGCTTTCAAACCAGTCAGTCTTCATAACAGTTACCTAGGCAATGCATGCACTGAAAACGCTATTCCCAAGACACAATAGACGTATATGGACGTGGGTTATCATGATATCCCATTACCATTTGCCAGCAATGGGAGTACCGGTATCAAATTGGTTTATTTAATTAGTAAAGCCTGAAATAGTGTCTTGCTTTTGTTCGAGCGGGGGCAGGGGTAAGTGTTGGGTTGAAATTGTAGGCTTGCAAGCGACACAATCTACCGAACTGGCTGGAATGAGCGGTTGGGAATACATGTAGGCTATAAAATTGTAGAATTTTACGGTGTCATTCGTTCGACGTTGGTGCAATTTGTAGAGAGCATTAATCTGGGCCTGTAAACCTTTATTTAGAATACAATCGACTTCAAACACATCATGGAGAACATTTTCGCCTCGAATGCAACAGCCACAAACGGGTCGGTTGCTGAGGACCATCCCTGCAACGTTCGATATATTATTCAGCTCATCGCCAACATCTTGGTGTTTTTACTCGGAGTGCCCGGTAACTGCCTGATTCTCCGTGTCTACTGGACCAAGACTCGTACGACAAGCACCGATATTCTGATCAGAGCCCTGGCCTGGGCTGATCTGGCCGTCTGCTTGCTGAGTATGATCCAGGAGATTATCGGAATTTCTCTTAATTTGGCCGCGGAATATTCGATGTATTCCTTTCCCCCTGGCCTGGGGCCGCTCATAGTATATGCTGTTATCAATGCACTTGCTGACGCAGCGATAGTCTCGTCATTCAGTATCACTGCGGTGATTGCGGTTGAACGCTATGACTGCGTATGCCGTCCGCAAAAACGGATTGTCAACCCCCGACGGTCTAAGATAGCTGTTCTGGTCGCAGTATTGTTCGCAATTGCTGTTAATGCTAGACAAATTGCCCTGGATGTCTGCTGCAGAGTGTCTTGCGCCGTACCCCCTTCTTTTTTTGACTGGAACATAGAAACGATTGTAGAAGTATTTTCATATGTGATCGCGTTGGTGACAGTGGGTTTGTGTTACGGGAAAGTTTACGCCACCATCCGTAAACACGTCAAAGTAGGGCCCGCCCAAGTTCCAACTGCACGCGATGAACGCAGTCCGAGTGATCTAAGAGTCGGACGTCAAGTTAACTGCTCGACACGACCGACACCACCCCAGCAGAATAATGAGTTACTGACACGTAAATCGAATGTAATTGACGAGGCCGTGACGAGGTTCGTAAATCCACCAAGCACAAGCTCGACAACTCAAGCAATCTCTTACCAAACGAAAGCCAACGATGCACGCCCTGCTGTTCGGGTTGTGTCCTTCTCAAAGCAAGACTCTTCTGGCCCTAGCCAACCCAATGTGATTCCCGAACCCAAAGCTAAAACTGCGCCCAAAGACGATACCCCATCGCAGAGGCAGAGCCGTCCAGAGCCAGGACACGCCCCTCAAAGGGTCGGTGCTGCCAAACTACAGCGTAAGACAACCAGAATGCTTTTCATCACCAGTGTGGTGTTTCTCCTGACATGGCTGCCCTTCCTTGTTGCCGTTGTCCAATCGTATGCGACCGCACATATTTATGATTATAAAATAATTGCGGATCTTTCGATTATTTGTCTGATCAACAGTGTAGTGAACCCACTGATTTACGGGATCGCAAACAGACGATTTAGGAACGACTGTAAGGAGGTGATCCGCGAAATCAAATGCTTCAAATGCTGGTAGACTTTAATAGAAAGTTGTTTTAAAAGAATGAAGCCACTAAGAAAACAAGTTTCACTATCATCAGACAATTTTTTTTCTTAAAAGTTAAACAACAGAGGGGAAATTTAAGCAGTATAAGAGCAGGCAACGTTAACGGCTATGTATATTTAATATTAATGTCGTCACGATAAGTGAACTGTTGAGTGTGAACTGCTAAGTGAAGCGCAGTGAGCCAAAAGTAATATCCATGTGTGCATTTAGTGCGCAGGCATGTCACTTAAAAAGTGACATCACAGTAGGTCTACAAGCCCATAACATTTATAAAACGAAACCTGTTTTGTACCTATTTCTTTAAATCAGAGAATCGACGTTAAGTACAGGCCTACGACTAAGGCCTTGTAATCAGGGAAAATCACTCGGCCATACCGTCATCATGAATAATTTACAGATAACACACAAAGACAAATACAAAAATTAGCCTTCTTTTAGTCATTTTGTTAGCGTGCCATGCAGCTGTTATTATATAAAAATGAATGGTTTTCACATGTAAAAGTGAACATTGAATAGTGCTGAAGGTTTGAGTGATTGATGGCCAATATTCGTTCCGGTACAGATTTTGTTTTATGAGCTTTCGGGTTTATTTTGATGTGACAATAAGCTGACTTGGAGTTCCTTGACAAAAAAAATGAAATGAATGACGTCCACTAATGTGTAAATGTTAATGATTGACTGGTACAGGGAACTTGTAATAACGTTATGTTCATTATCAATCCGTCAACCAGCCGGCCATGATCCTCTAATAATGAACAATACAGTTGAGGCTTTAATGCCATTCAAGCAAGCAGCAAGATTTCGGCTTATTGGTCGATTTAGTTTCGTCCTTTTAAAGAGTCAGTTTCCATTACAGTTACCTAGGTAATGCACTGAGAACGCTATTCCTGGGGCCTTCAGTAGATAGACGTGGCTAATCAGAAAAGCCCGTTATTGTTTGCCAGCAAAGAGTAGTTATCGGATGGATGTAGATTTAAAGGGCCTAAATAGTGTCCTGCGTCAGTTCGAGGCGGGAGGATTTTGCAGACGAGAGTAAATTGCAGGCGACACTACCGAACTGGCCGAAATGAGTGGTTCGATATAATTGTACAATATTAGAATTTGACAACTCATTCTTTCTAGGTAGGCTCAATTTTCAGGGAGAAGCGAATCCTGCGTTGTGTGAACCTTTACTTTGAATTGACTGGAAACACAACATGGAGAACATTTTCACCTCGAACGCAACAGCCACAAACGGTTCGGTTGCTGAGGAGCATCCCTTCAACGTTCTATATACTATTCGCCTCATCACCAACATCTTGGTGTTTCTACTCGGAGTGCCCGGTAACTGCCTGATTCTCCGTGTCTACTGGATCAAGACTCGTAAGACCAGCACCGATATTCTGATCAGAGCCCTGGCCTGGGCTGATCTGGCCGTCTGCTTTCTGAGAATCGCAGAGATTATCTATATTTCTCTTTATTTGGCCGCTGAATATTCGATGTATTCCTTTCCCCCGGGCCCGGGGCTGTTCATATTATATGCTGTTATCATTGCACTTGCTGGCGCAGCAGTAGTCTCGTCATTCAGTATCACTGCGGTGATTGCGGTGGACCGCTATGACTGCGTGTGCCGTCCGCAAAAACGGATTTTCAACCCACGACGGTCTAAGATAGTTGTTTTGGTCACAGTGTTGTTTGCATTTGCTATTAATGTAGGACAAATTGCACACAATATCTGCCTCAGAACGTCATGCACCGAACACGCTTCTGTACATGTGTACTGGGACATAGGAGTGAAAGCAGAACCAGTTTTATTTGTGATCGCTCTAGTAACAATAGGTGTATGTTACGGGAAAGTTTACGTCACCATCCGTAAACACGTCAAAGTAGGGCCCGTCCAAGCTCCAACTGCACGAGATGCTGAACGCATTCCGAGTGATCTGAGAGTCGGACATCAAGTTAACTGCTCGACACGACCGACACCACCTCAACAGAACATTGACTTACCGACAAGTGAATCATTTGTGGAGGAGGCCGTGACTAAGTTCGTACATCCACCAAGCACAAGCTCGTCAATGCACGCAAACTCTCACCAAGCGAAACCCAACGATGTATGCACTGCTGCTCACGTTGTATCTTTTGCACACCAAGACTCTTCTGGCCCTAGCCAACCCGATGTGATCCCCGAACCAAAAGCTGCCCCCCAAGACAATACCCCATCGCAGAGGCAGAGCCGTCAAGAGCCAGGACACGCCCCTCAAAGGGTCGGTGCTGCCAAACTACAGCGTAAGACAACCAGAATGCTTTTCATCACCAGTGTGGTGTTTCTCCTGACCTGGATCCCTTACCTTGTTTTCAATGTCAAATATTATGCGGCTCCAAATTTTGATGATTTTCAGGAAATAATTGGAGCCATTTCGATCATTCTTCTGATCAACAGTGTAGTTAACCCACTGATTTATGGAATCGCAAACAGACGATTTAGAAACGACTGCAAAGAGGTGATCCGCAAAATCAAATGCTTCAAATGCTGTTAGACTTAGAAGTCTGTATTTTATTCTTATAAAAGAACAAAAGGCACTAAGAAAACAAGTGTCACTGTCATGAGATAAACAATAATTAATTAGTAAGAACAGACAACGTTAACGGCTAATAAATATTTAATATTACTAACGTCACGATGAGTGCGCCGTCTTAACTGTACTCATATCGTTGTGAATAGCTACAGACAACACACGAAGACGAATACAAAAACTAGCCTTCTTTTTGTCATTTGGTATATTGTCCCCGTTATTAATATTACAAAAAAACATGAATGGCATTCACCTGTAAATATGATCATTGAAAGTACTGATGAAAGTTTGAATGATTGAATGTAAATAACGTACCGGTGGAGGTTTTGTATTCCAAGTGAACTCTCTGGCTTATTGTGATGTGACAATTAAGTTATTACTTAATCCATGTTGTCTCTCATGGCGCGGTGTGAGCTCCATCCTCTGAAGAGAACAACATTGACCGGAGGAGCGGGGGAGTTGGTGACCGTTGGAGGCTAAGGTTATTTCCGAGTGTCCCAACCATTTTGGCCGGGATTGTAGTTTCGTTCATTGAAGCATAAGTCTTCATACGGTAATGCAGTGACACCGCTATTTGTGGGGCCTACACTACATGGACATGGTTCATCAGAATAACCCATTATTGTCATACAGCAAAGCGCAGCAATTAGGGGCCTATGTTGAAGCTAATCTCGTATGTTGACTGATCAGTCTTCATCACAGTTACCGAGGTAACGCACTGAAAACGGAAGACGCGCACTATAGACGAACATGGACGTGGATAATCATATCCCTTTATTATTAATGATCAACTTTTTTTAAAAATGCTATTAATGGCGATTAGAACTAAAACAATTTCTTTTGCAGCCTGGAAGAAAAAGAGTGCTTGCAGAGATGAATCTCGTCTCGAAAACGAAATTAAAGATTTGTCTAATAAGGTTGCTCACGGTGATGATAGTCTGTTGGATACATTGAAGTCTAAACAAACTAGCCTTGTTAATCTTCGTAAGACTAAATTGGATGGTGTAATGATTAGATCTAGAACAAGGTGGATGGAACACGGTGAAAAACCATCCAAATACTTCCTTAATATGGAGAAACGTAATTGTATTAACAAGACTTTTAATCGTGTTATTAATGATGATAGTACCGAATTAAAACCCTCTAGGAATATTATACAAGAGGCACGTTATTTTTATAAAAAACTGTACTCGTCTTCAGAAGGGGAAACAACAGTTAATTTACAATCTATTTTTGAGAATTCGGACTCTCCAGTTCTTTTAAATATGGTACGTGACAGTATAGAGGGCCCCTGTCCCATCGAGAAATATTAAATGTTTTGAAGAACACAAAAAATGGCAAGTCCCCTGGCTCAGATGGTTTTAGTTTTGAATTTTACAAGTTTTTTTTCAACGATTTATCGTGGTATTTAGTACGGTCCCTAAATTTTGGTTATGAAACCGGTGAACTGTATGTTACTCAGCAGTACGGTAGTATTAATTTGTTGCCTAAAGGGGATAAACCTCGTCATTTTTCAAAGAACTGGAGACCGATCTCACTATTAAACACTTCGTACAAATTAGCTTCTGGTTGAATAGCAGAGAGACTTAAAACATGCCTCTCCTCTCTTATTCATGAAAATCAAAAGGGTTTCTTGCAAGGGCGTTATATTGGTGAGAATATTCATTTAATGTATGATTTGCTTAATTATACAGAAAAACATAAGATTCCTGGTATGTTTTTATTGATTGACTTTGATAAAGATTTTGATTCTGTTTCGCATGATTTTGTACTCAAAATTTTGAACCAGTTTAATTTGGGTCCTTCTATACAGAAATGGTTTCGGTTTTGTTTTTTTACAGTGGAGCGACAGCTTCGGTGTTAGTAAATGGATTCTTATCGGAATCTTTTAAAATAGGGCGTGGCTGTGGACAAGGTGATGGTTTGAGCCCTTATGTGTTTCTTTTGTGCGCCGAAATTATGGGCATGATGGTTCGTTGTGATATTATTTTAAGGGGAATTCAGGTAGATGGCAGAGAATATAGACTTTCTCAGTATGCTGATGATACAGTATTTTTGGGTTCAGAGCGTTCTTGTGATAGAGCCTTCAAGATTTTGGGCGATTTTGCTAGCATTTCTGGTCTTAAAGTAAATATTGAAAAAACCAATGCGGTGTGGATTGGTGGTAATAAGGGTCGACAGAAAGGTCTATGTGATCATATTAATGTGAAGTGGGTTGGTCCTCAAGATTATTTTAGGGCACTTGGTATTGATTTTTCCACCAACCTTGATAATATGACGACTGTGAATTATAACAGAGTTTTTGATTCTACTTGTAGTTTAATTGAACAGTGGTCTAGAAGAAATTTAACCGTTCTTGGCCGTGTTACCATAGTGAAGTCGCTTATTTTATCCAAATTTACTTTCCGTATTTTGTCACTCCCTGACCCACCTTTGTATTTAATTAAGAATCTAAATGTTATATTGTATACATTTATCTGGAAAGGTGGCGATAGAGTTGCCAGGAATCAGATGATTCAGAATTATGGTCATGGGGGAGTTAAGATGATTGATTTGCGATCCTACGTCAGCGCTCTTAAGTGTACTTGGATCCGTAGATTACTGAACACTAAGGCCTCAGCTTGGCCCAATCTGTTTTATAAGATTACTGAAATTGAGAATGTGCTTTTTGTGGAAGGCGGTCATTCTAGTATTGTACATTCACTTAAGAGGGCAGCTCACCCTAACCAGTTTTGGATTGACGTTCTCAATGCTTGGAGTTCTTTTGTGTAATGCCATGTGCCAGTTAATCAGAATGATCCTCTTAGCAATGTTTTGTGGAAGAACCACAGAATTACGATTGGGAACAATTGCATTTTTTACAAACACTGGGCAAACAAAGGGGCAAACTTTGTGTCTGACCTACTTGACGATAAAGATGTTTTTTTTTAGCTTGGAACGCTTTATGTTAAAATTCAGTATTAGGACTAACTTTCTAGAGTATGGTGGAGTTGTCAAGGCCGTCAAAAATTCTTTTCGTGATTTACTTAAAGAGGTTAAGTCAAATAATTTGTTTTCCTTTTATCCCATTTAATTTTATTTTGAGATACTTTTGTCAGATAAAAAAGGTTCTACCCGTATTTATCAAAATTATTTTTACTTCAGGAAAAAAGGTTGCGAGGAAGTTCATTGACAAATGGGAAACAAAATTGAGTATCAATTTCCCTGCCACTAAATGGTCGGTTTTCTGCAGTATGCCTTTTACGATTACTTGTGATACAAAATTACGATGGTTTCAATACAGATTGGTCCATAGAATCCTGGGCGTCAATTCTTATTTGGTAAAGATCGGTAAAGGGGAGAACGACTTGTGTTCCTTCTGTCATGTAGAAAAGGAAACTCTGATTCACTTATTTTGCACTTGTGAGATTTCTTTATCGTTCTGGACTCAAATTAGTGATTGGATAAAGGAGACTTTGAATATTAATGTGTTTGTAGATTACGAGATGATTTTATTTGGCATACTTAACAAAAACTGGAGCGCCCTTAATTTAAGTCTTCTCCTATGCCGTTACCATTTACAAAATGAAGATGAATGGTAGTAAACCGTCTCTTTTAGTATTTAAGAATGAGCTAAAACGATACTATGTATTGGAAAAATTTATATTTACTACAAATGGTGATCTTGCTAAATTTAATGCGAAATGGGATCCATTCTCTCTTTTATGTAATGATTAATTTATTATTTGTTTATACTTATTGTAAAACGCAAGAGAAACGTTTCTTCTGAATAAATAAGTTTCCCCTGAGGAAAAAAAAATCATATCCCTTTACCATTATGTCAGTGAAGTGATGCCAGTGTGAAATTGGTGTAGATTAAAAAGAGCATACAAAATAGCGTCCTGCAGTGTGTGAGAGTGGTGGGATGAAATGTCAGGTTTTGGGTCTTTGACCCAATTATACCGAACTGACATGTAAAATACTCAAGTCAAATATCTTCATACATTTACCTATGCACAGAATCGCCATTCATAGGGCCTACAATGATGGAGTAGATAATCAGAATGTCCCATTATTGTCTGCCAGCAAAAGGCAGCAATTATATTGGACCTACTCTCGTATGTTGACTAATCAATCTTCATCATTAGTTAATGCACTGAAAAGGCTGATACAAAGACGTACACCATAGACGTGCATGGACGTGGATCATCATATCCCTTTATCATTTGCCAGCAAAGTGCAGTATGAAATTGGTGTTGATTAAAAAGAGCCTACAAAAAGAGCGTCTTGCATTAATTTTGTTGGAGTGACCGGATGAAATCACAGGCTTTGGGTCTTAACCGACTCAATCTACCGAACTGGCTGAATCGAGTCGTTCGACGTAAGTGCAATTTTTAGAGAGCGAAACCTGGGCTTGCGAACCTATATTTATAATCCAGTTAATTGGCTTAGAACAAAACATGGAGAACATTTTCGCCTCGAATGGCACACCTGAATACGGATGGGACGCTGAGAGACTAAATGCCGTCAACGTAGATACCATTCTCCTCATCGCCCATGTCTTGGTGTTTCTACTCGGAGTACCCGGTAACTGCCTGATTCTCCGTGTCTACTGGACCAAGACTCGAAAGACCAGCACCGATACTCTGATCAGAGCCTTAGCCTGGGCTGATCTGGCCGTCTGCTTACTGAGAATCCCGGAGATAATCGTGATTTCTTTATTTTTGTGGGGAAAGTTTTTGGCGTATTCATTATTCCAGGAGCTTCTAGACGCTGTTATTCCACTTACTTACGCAGCAATAGTCTCGTCATTCAGTATCACTGCGGTGATTGCGGTAGAACGCTATGACTGCGTATGCCGTCCGCAAAAACGGATTTTCAACCCCCGGCGGTCTAAGATGGCTGTTTTGGTGGTAGTGTTGTTTACAATTACTATCAACGCAGGGCAAATGGCTCTGAATATTTGCTTGATAGTGTCAGGCACCGAACCCCCTTCTTTACATGTATACGGGAAAATAGTAGAAATTGTAGAGCTAGTTTCATTTGTGACAGCGTTATGGACAATGGGTGCATGTTACGGGAAAGTTTACGTCACCATCCGTAAACACGTCAAAGTAGGGCCCGCCCAAGCTTCAACTGCACGGGATGCTGAACGCATTCCGAGTGATCTGAGAGTCGGACGTTAAGTTAACTGCTCGACACGACCGACACCACCTCAACAGAACATTGACTTACCGACAAGGGAATCATTTGTGGACGAGGCCGTGACGAGGTTCGTACATCCACCGAGCACAAGCTCGTCAATGCACGCAAACTCTCACCAAGCGAAACCCAACGATGTATGCACTGCTGCTCACGTTGTATCTTTTTCACACCAAGACTCTTCTGGCCCTAGCCAACCCAATGTGATCCCCGAACCCAAAGCTGCGCCCCAAGACAATACCCCATCGCAGAGGCAGAGCCGTCCAGAGCCAGGACACGCCCCTCAAAGGGTCGGTGCTGCCAAACTACAGCGTAAGACAACCAGCATGCTTTTCATCACCAGCGTGGTGTTTCTCTTGACCTGGATCCCTTACCTTGTTACCGTTGTAAAATCGTATGCGTCTGCATATGATGACTTAGAGAACACAATTAGAACTATTTCAATCACTTTTCTGATAAACAGTGTAGTTAACCCTCTGATTTACGGAATCGCAAACAGAAGATTTAGAAACGACTGTAAAGAGGTGATCCGCAAAATCAAATGTTTCTGCTGGTAAACTTAGAAGTCTGTATTTTTATTCTAATAAAAGAAAAGAAATTTAAGCACTAAAAAAGAGACAGTTCTTCTGTTATCAGACAACAACGAATTTAAGTAGTAGTTTAGGCAACCTCAAGGGCCATGTTTATTCCTAATATTCCTGACGTCACGATGAGTGCGTCTTGATACCTGTTAATGAAATGGAGCTCGGTATTATTATAAGCCAAACGTAATTTGCATGTTTGCATGGGTTAAATTAATCAAAAAGTGACGTCACAATATTAGGTCTATAAGGACATACATATAACATTTATAAAACGAAGCCTGTTTTCAGTATCAAGGCAGTTACGTCGTTGTGATCGTACCTAGCGCGGTGAGGCGATCCGTAACACAAAAATCATCAGTTGGAGATCGAGTGCGGCGAATTCGTTGTCACGTGATGCGCATCGTTGTCACATGATGCGTATCTTTGTCATGTGTGATTCCTATCCTACACCGGTTCCCTTCATGGTCTGACAGATAGGTCAGAGTTATGAGCGGAAACCAGTTCAAACTGCCCTAGTTCCCGACTCCCCTTTGTCGTTCGAAATGATCTGGTGTACAAACGAGAACCAGTCTATACATTATGTCGAAAGAAGTCTCGACACTCTCGCTCAGCGATAATTTTTATTTTAGTGAAGGAACACGCACACAGCCAATGGAGTCAAGGCTGATTCGGATTGGAGATCGCAGGGTCGACTGCATGAAATGGAAAGTTAACGGCAGAGTCTAAAATTAGAAGTTCCGACTAGCAAGTGTTGATTTTTCCGATGGATCGGTTGACATTTTTTTTCCAAAAAATAAAACATATTAAAAAATCCAATCCGCCGACAAAAAGGAAGCCGGCGTGGACGCTGATTTTTTTCTTCGCCTTATTTTTGCCCGACATACGACGGACGCACATGAAAATTGGAGTTTTAATATCTGCAGGTTTTGTACGAGTGACTTTCGCGCTTCAGATCATTCTCAAAGATTCAATTTTCGTCGTGTTTTTCTCGCTTTTTATCAAGGCCACGCGTTATTTGCTAGTTGAGTTTCTGTAGTGAACAATGTAGCTAGAAGCCATGCGAAACTTAATTAGATATCGCATTGTAGCGAATAGACATCAACAGAATTTCAACTGCGTTCAGGGTTATTTACGTTGTGCATGTGAGACATTCAACATAAAATGATTCCTGCTCGCTATTCTTAGGGCCGATACAAGACGGACATGGATAATCAAAATAGCCCATTATTGTCTGCCAGCAGACAGCAAACAAGACCTGCTTTTGAAAGTCAGTCTTCATCACTTTTACCTAGGTAATGCACTGTTCCTACGACGCACACTAAAGATGGACGTGGATAACCAGAATGATAACTCATTACCGTTTGTCATCAAACAGCAGTTATCAAATTAGATTTATTAGAAAGGCCTTAAAAAGTGTCTTGTGTCAGTTCGAGACGGTAGAACATTGAAGGCTAAAGCGTCACAATCTACCAAACTGGCTAAAAATGAGCGGTTCGAAATGCATGCAAACTTGTAGAATTTAACGAGTCTCTTGTTTGACTTGGGCGCAATTTTCAGTGCGTCCCTCGCACTCAGTGAAACCTTACTCAGAAGTAATAATCCAGTCGATTTGAAACACAACATGGAGAATATGTTTGCCTCGAATGCAACACCTGAATACGAATGGGATGCTCAGAGACTAAATGTCAACTTTCAATATACTTTTCTCCTCATCGTTGAAATTTTGGTGTTTCTACTCGGCGTACCCGGTAACTGCCTGATTCTTCGTGTCTACTGGACCAAGACTCGCAAGACCAGCACCGATATTCTGATCAGAGCCCTGGCCTGGGCTGATCTGGTCGTCTGCTTGCTGAGTATCCCGGCAATTATTGTATGGTCTTTATTTGTGTTCGGAAAGTTTTTGCCGTATTCATTTATCCTAGCGCTTATAGACGCTGTTATCAATGCACTTACTGACGCAGCAATAGTCTCGTCATTCAGTATCACTGCGGTGATTGCGGTAGAACGCTGTGACTGCGTATGCCGTCCGCACAAACGGATTTTCAATCCACGACGGTCTAAGATGGCTGTTTTGGTCGCAGTGTTGTTTGCAATTGCTATAAACGCAGGACAACTAACCCTGGATATATGCTTTATAACGTCAGGCACCGAACCCCCTTCTTTACAGGTATACGGGAAAATAGTAGAGATTGTAGAGCTAGTTTTATTTGTGACAGCGTTAGTGACAATGGGTGCATGTTACGGGAAAGTTTACGTCACCATCCGTAAACACGTCAAAGTAGGGCCCGCCCAAGCTCCAACTGCACGCGATGCTGAACGCAGTCCGAGTGATCTGAGAGTCGGACGTCAAGCTAACTGCTCGACACGACCGACACCACCTCAACAGAACATTGACTTAGCGACAAGTGAATCATTTGTGGACGAGGCCGTAACGAGGTTCGTACATCCACCAAGCACAAGCTCGTCAATGCACGCAAACTCTTACCAAGCGAAACCCAACGATGTATGCACTGCTGCTCACGTTGTATCTTTTGCACACCAAGACTCTTCTGGCCCTAGCCAACCCAATGTGATCCCCGAACCCAAAACTGCGGCCCAAGACAATACCCCATCGCAGAGGCAGAGCCGTCAAGAGCAAGGACACGCCCCTCAAAGGGTCGGTGCTGCCAAACTACAGCGTAAGACAACCAGAATGCTTTTCATCACCAGCGTGGTGTTTCTCCTGACCTGGATCCCTTACCTTGTTTTCACTGTCAAATACTATGCGACTCCATATTCTGATGATTTTGAGGAAATAATTGGAGCCATTTCGATCATTCTTCTGATCAACAGTGTAGTTAACCCACTGATTTACGGAATCGCAAACAGACGATTTAGGAGCGACTGTAAGGAGGTTTTCCGCGAAATCAAATGCTTCAAATGCTGGTAGACCTAAGCCTGTGGTGTATTCTCAGAAAAGAACGAAAGGCACTATGAAAACAAGTTTTACTGTCATCAGATAACAAGTTAAGTAGTAAGAGAAGACAATGTTATCGGCAAATTATATTGAATATTACTAATTACATAATATCCATCGTCGAATTGGTTTGGCTTTTTCAACCATGGGCCAGCCGAACCGTGTCTGGAGAAACAAACGCCTCACTCTCCGAACCAAAACCCGGATCTACACAACCTGTATCCTACCAATCCTCTTATATGGATCTGAGACATGGACGCTGCTCAAGGAGGATGGACGTAGACTCCAAGCTTTCCATATGCGTTGTCAACGCCGCATACTTGGGGTGAGATGGTCTGATTTCATCACCAAAGAGGCCAGCTCTCAGAAAAACCAGGCTGGAGGATATTTGCTGCATTATATCTTCACGGCGTCACTCCATCTTCGGGCACATTCGTCGACTCCCTAGCAACAACCCAGCACACGCCGCCCTCAAGCTGGCCGTTGATGCATCTACAGGAGTCAAGCCTGATCCTGGTTGGTCACGACCACGCGGCCGCCCCCGAAATACCTGGGTGCGACAGGTTGAGGCTGGCCATGCTCTATCAGCCCATGACCTGTAGCACACCTCGACTGATCGGTTGGTGTGAGTGGCTCAACATCCCATAGCTGGATTTGGAGGGCTGATGACGATGATGATTACTATTTACGTCACGATGAGTGCGTTTTAACTGTTAAAGTGAAGTTTTAAGCCTAACGCTCATATCGTTACGAATATTTTACAGATAACACACAAAAACAAATTTCGGAATATATAGAAATGAGTGACGTTTTTATGTGTAATTTTAAGGGAGTGACTTTAGAACGTGTTCATTGACAATCCGGCAACCAGCGACAATCCCATAATAGCATTATTAGGTTTTGATGTCCTTCTAACAACGAGCAGCAAGTCTTGGGCTTATTGGTCAATCTAGTTCCGTCTATTGAAGCATCGGTCTTCATACGGTAATTCATTGACACCGCTATTCCTGGGGCCTACACTCCATGGACGTGGATAAACAGAATAGTCCATTAATGTCAGCCAGCAAAGCGCAGCAATTACATTGGACCTAATCTCGTATGTTGACTGATCAGTCTTCATCACAGTTACCGAGGTAACGCACTGAAAACACTATAGACAAACATGGACGTGGATAACCATATCCCATTCGCTCTTTTCACGGTCCGCCATTGGGCATGCACAGCCTCGATCTGGCAACTTAACACAATAAAAATAGCCCGGTTCAGTGATCTGAACCCCGTCACTCAAAAAGTGAGGTCATAAATAAGGTCAATAAGTCCATAATATTTCAAAAACGAAACAAATTTTCTACCCATTTCTTGATATCAGTGAATCGACGTTAATTATAGGACTACGACCCAGGTGTTGTTATATGGGGGAAAACCCATTGGCTGCCATATCATTGTGAATATTTTACAGACAACACACAAAGACGAATACCGAAAAAAAGGGTTTTTGATCAACTTTTGTTTAGGTTAATTGGCTGGATGGTGAGGGGGCACAGACAATGGTGTGTCACTAGGTAATTTTCACTTCTTCTTTTTTTGTCATTTGTAAGGGTCTCCGATATATTAAATGAATGGAGTTCACCGGTAAATGTCAACATTGAAATGAATGATAACAGTTCACATGATTGATGGGCATTAACGTAACGGCGCAGGTTTTATTTTCCGAACTTATTTCGATGTGGCTTATCATCCCAATTAGCTAACTTAGTTGGCTTTTTCCTTCGACCAAGATAGAAATGAATGACGTCTACTAATGGAGGATTGCCTGGTGCAGGAACTTGCAATAACGGGCTTAGACTGCAATAAAGTTACCTTCATTAAAAATCCGTCAACCAGCCAAGATCCGCTAATAATATTCAATAAAAAGTAGGCTTTGATACCCTTCAAACGAGCAGTAAGACGTTTGCTTATTGGTCGATCTAAATTCGTCCTTTAAGGAGTCAGTTTTCATTACAGATACCTAGGTAATGCACTGAGAACGCTATTCCTGGGGCCTTCAGTAGATGGACGTGGCTAATCAGAATCCCATTATTGTTTGCCAGCAAAGAGCAGCTATCAGACTGATGTAGATTTATTAGGAGGGCCGAAATAGTGTCTTGCGTCAGTTCGAGGCGGGAGGATTTTGCAGACGGGAGTAAATTGCAGGCGACACTACCGGACTGGCAGGAATGGGCGGTTCGATATGATTGTACAATTTTAGAATTTTACGAGTCATTCTTTCGACGTAGGCTCAATTTTCAGGGAGAAGCGAATCCCGCGCTTCGTGAACCTTTACTTAGAATCCAATTGACTTGAGACACAATATGGAGAACATTTTCGCCTCGAATGTCACACCTGAATACGGATGGGATGCTGAGAGACTAAATGCCGTCAATGTTCACCTCATTGCCTGTATTTTGGTGTTTCTACTCGGCGTACCCGGTAACTGCCTGATTCTTCGTGTCTACTGGACCAAGACTCGTAAGACCACGCGTTATTTGCCAGTTGAGTTTCTGTAGAGAACAATGTAGCTAGAAGCCATGCGAAACTTTATTAGATATCGCATTGTAGAGAATAGACATCAACAGAATTTCAACTGAGTTGAGGGTTGTTATGTTGTGCAGGTGAGGCATTCAATATAAAATGATTCCTGTTCGCTATTCCTAGGGCCGATACAAGACGGACATGGATAATCAAAATAGCCCATTATTGTCTGCCAGTAAACAGCAAATAAGACCTTCTTGAATGTTGACAAGTCAGTCTTCATCACTGTTACCTAGGTAATGCACTGTTCCTACGACGCACACTATAGATGGACGTGGATAACCAGAATGATAACCCATTACCGTTTGCCATCAAACAGCAGTTATCAAATTAGATTTATTAGAAAGGCCTAAAAAAGTGTCTTGTGTCAGTTCGAGACGGTAGAACTTAGGCTAAAGCGTCACAATCTACCAAACTGGCTAAAATGAGCGGTTCGAAATGCATGCAAACTTGTAGAATTTTACGAGTCACTTGTTTGACTTGGGCGCAATTTTCAGTGCGTCCCTCGCACTCAGTGAAACCTTACTCAGAAGTAATAATCCAGTCGATTTGAAACACAACATGGAGAATACGTTTGCCTCGAATGCAACATCTGAATACGAATGGGATGCTGAGAGACTAAATGTCAACTTTCAATATACTTTTCTCCTCATCGTTAACATTTTGGTGTTTCTACTCGGCGTACCCGGTAACTGCCTGATTCTCCGTGTCTACTGGACCAAGACTCGCAAGACCAGCACTGATATTCTGATCAGAGCCCTGGCCTGGGCTGATCTGGCCGTCTGCTTGCTGAGTATCCCGGCGATTATTGTGTGGTCTTTATTTGTGTCCGGAAAGTTTTTGGCGTATTCATTCATCCTACCGCTTATCGACGCTGTTATCAATGCACTTACTGACGCAGCAATAGTCTCGTCATTCAGTATCACTGCGGTGATTGCGGTAGAACGCTATGACTGCGTATGCCGTCCGCAAAAACGGATTTTCAATCCACGACGGTCTAAGATAGCTATTTTGGTCGCAGTGTTGTTTGCGATTGCTATAAAGGCAGGACAACTAACCCTGGAGATATGCTTTATAACGTCAGACACCCTACCCACTTCTGTACAGGCGTACTGGGAAATACAAGCGATTGCACAACCAGTATTATTTGTGGTCGCGTTAGTGACAATGGTTGTGAGTTACGGGAAACTTTACGCCACCATCCGTAAACACGTCCACGTAGGACCCGCCCATCACCCAACTGCAAGTGATGAACGAAGGCTGAATCTGATGAGAGTTGAACGTCAAGTTTTCTGCGCAACACGACCGAAAACACCCCCAGAGATTAATGGTTTAAACACACGTGAATCATTTGTCGATGAGGCTGTGACGAGGTTCGAAAATCCACCAAGTAAGAGTTCGACAACTCACGCAACGTCTCACCAAATGAAACCCAACGATGCATGCACTGCTGCTCACGTTGTATCTTTTGCACACCAAGACTCTTCTGGCCCTAGCCAACCCAATGTGATCCCCGAACCTAAAGCTACGCCCCAAGACAATACCCAATCGCAGAGGCAGAGCCGTCCAGAACCAGGACACGCCCCTCAAAGGGTCGGTGCTGCCAAATTACAGCGTAAGACAACCAGAATGCTTTTCATCACCAGCGTGGTGTTTCTCGTGACCTGGATCCCTTACCTTGTTTTCACTGTCAAATACTATGCGACTCCATATTCTGATGATTTTGAGGAAATAATTGGAGCCATTTCGATCATTCTTCTGATCAACAGTGTAGTTAACCCACTGATTTACGGAATCGCAAACAGACGATTTAGGAACGACTGTAAGGAGGTTTTCCGCGAAATCAAATGCTTCAAATGCTGGTAGACTTAATAGAAGTCTGTAGTGTATTCTCAGAAAAGAACGAAAGGCACTATGAAAACAAGTTTTACTGTCATCAGATAACAAGTTAAGTAGTAAGAGAAGACAATGGTATCGGCAAATTATATTGAATATTACTAATTGCATGATATCCATCGTCGATTTGGTTTGGCTTTTTCAACCATGGCCCAGCCGAACCGCGTCTGGAGAAACAAACTCCTCACTCTCCGCGCCAAAACCCGGATCTACACCACCTGTATCCTACCAATCCTCTTATATGGATCTGAGACATGGACGCTGCTCAAGGAGGATGGACGTAGACTCCAAGCTTTCCATGTGCGTTGTCAACGCCGCATACTTGGGGTGAGATGGTCTGATTTCATCACCAACGAGGCCAGCTCTCAGAAAAACCAGGCTGGAGGATATTCGCTGCATTATATCTTCACGGCGTCACTCCATCTTCGGGCACATTCGTCGACTCCCTAGCAACACCCCAGCACACGCCGCCCTCAAGCTGGCCGTTGATGCATCTACAGGAGTCA